AAAAGTTCTGTTAAATTAGTTGGGAAAAACGATGGAATTTTGGCCCATTGCCGTATCATAGAACAGCAAAAAGCCTTAACTGAAGCAAATTTAGCTTTTTCGAAATTTCCGAGAAAACCTGTCACATTCCTATTGTCCATGTCATCCATTTTTGTACTTCAGCCATCACCGCTTCACCCCACCCCCAAAAAAATTGCCGCTGCCCATAATTGCCCCGTTCCCCGGGAGCTGTCGGAGAACACGATTTGCCGCTCTATATTTATATTGCCCATGCCGTCACGACTTCCCCAGGCGAAAGCGGAAATCCATGTGAAAACAGTTTTTGTTTATATATATATTACTCACCGCCGCCCCGGGAGCCAGCCTTATATTTAACAGCTCCAAACCGGCCACGCCTAATCGAATTGGGCTTAAAAAGCGGTGTTCGCGCGCTGAATGCACGTCCGTTGACGCTGAGGTGTACTTTATACACCTATTTCTGCTTTCGCATTAGATCCTCATCTAGTTGGGGATCCCAGCGGACCTCGTTTGGCGGAGGGCTAGTCCATAGACCCACGCTATTCCGAGGGCACATCCCCCCAAAAGCGTGCCATCCACTAAATTAGAGGGTGGAAATTGTAACGCTCAGGCGAGTATCGTTTGCCGAAAGTGTGTCTGTGTGTATGTGTATGTATGTCCACTATTCGGGAGGAGCGCCCCCCGGAAGAGATGGACCGGGCGCAACTAATTAATTTTGGCGCCCCCCCTCCTCGAGCTAGCCAGCAGCAGCCCACCAAAATGGATGGACCGGGCCAATGTTGTCGCAAATGCCCCCGGGGGCAGTACTTCTCACTCTTACCCCCCCTCACACTCAGACACAACCAACCAACCTCACAAATGGTGGAACCGCTAAACCGGCTTTTTTAGTGGGGGCTGTACCCCCGGGAGCAGCAGGGGAGACATTTTTGATGGAAAAGCATAACTATGCCGTTTGGGCATACTCTTTTCTCATATTCTGATTTTTCTGCCAATTTTTGTTTGATAGTTTCATGCACACTAACCGACAGCTTCACGGCATAAAACCCTAACCCATAAATCCCTTTAAAACCCCGTAATCACATAGATCTCCTAAAAAGAACCTTACCCTAAAGCCGAAAAAGAATACTTGCGTGTGCGCCTGGCAGCCCCGTCCTCCTAATTGAGGCAAGCTGAGCAGCACATCCGTCGGACCTCCCCCTCTTCCTCCCTAAATGCTTCAACTAAAAACATCATCCTCCTTGTCTTCAGCCCCTCGAAACCGTTTCGCATATTTTCCAATGTAAAATCGTTGATTTAACCGCTTACTGAACTATCTTGGCTTAATTTCTTTTTCCAATCTCTAATATCTCAATATCAAAATTGGCCCGCAACCATTTTTAATCCTGGTCCCTTTTCTCCAAATTGAAACTCGCAACGGATAATCTCCCATGCTAGTGAAAAAGGGGACAATGTGTTTTTCGAGTGGCTCTCGGAACATTCAATTAACAATCTACGCTTACTACCCCCGACCTGGCATCCCTGACGAGAACACTCTGAATCCTTCCGCCCTCGATCTCCCCCCGTTTTTATGCCAGAAACCACCGATTTCCAGCTTACCGGGCCCACCCGAAAACATAATTGACCGTCATCCCCCCCACCACCACAACCACTCCCTGTCCGCGTTGACCAAAAACATAAACTGTAAATTGAAATATGAACCGCGACCGGTCATATACCCCCCAAAACGATAAGCAATCTCGGTGAGTGCCAGTTTTTTCCCATTTTTAACTTGACAATACCCCTGTTGCGATCTATCCGGAGCACATTCTATGTACTACTAAATACGCTCGAATCCACGCGGCTCTGCCTGTTTTCCATTTCGTTGATGAAATGGAGAACGGTTGTGTGTATGTGTGGGGTCTGGTCGGGGTCGGTTGGAGACACTAGAGTAGTTTTTCGGCATTTTTGCTGAGAAAACTGCGCATTGCGGGACCACGGAAATATGGGTCAGTTGCGTATTGCAAATACGGCTGGATGGGGGGTGGGGTGAATGGCCACTTGCTGCGGGTTTTGTTTATATAGCTGCGGGGCATAAGGGGGTGGTTGGAGAGGATATCCTCGTGGGGTGAAGGGCTTTAACTTTTTGTATGCTAAATACCCTAAAATACTATAGTTTCAATGCGTGTATAGAGCCGCGTAGAGATTTTCCAGTGAAATTGTTGGATATGGTTTTTCGACGTTTCGAAAATATCTTTCTTTGCGGGTGGCAGTTTTTTACAATATCGTTTGTGCAATTTTCGAAATTCTTTTGCCTATTTTCAATATTTTAAGAAACTTAATGCAAGTAATTCGACAACCGCTTCTTTTTCTCGATACATAGCTCATGCGCCGCTTGGTCTGCGGATTTAAACCTACCATTTCCTATATTTTCGATACCTTTTCGTGATCTGAATTTGTTGACCAATTTAACGTGCTATTTTTCAGGATGGCGTCTTATTTGGCGCCTCGGGTGGGCGCCCCACCGGGGGCGTTCCCGGCCCTACCACATCGGTCCCCCTACGACCCGTCGACGTCGCAAATGGTCGGCGCCCCGATCACTCCTGCCACCATCCCCCATCCGCATCCGGTGCCCCTGCTTCCCAAGGAGAATTCCGACTGCGGCTCCAGGTACTCATACCCACGGTACTTTTTAACCCTGCCAAAACTCATCCTTTTTAACTTTTATGCCTCCTGGCTGGCTGGCTCCTCCATGGCTACGGTTTACTTTGCCCCCCCCCCAGCCGAAATGTTTTTGTTATTTTCCATTATTATAGACTCAAATTAAAAATGTTAGTATGTTTTTTTGACGCTCTATCGAAAGGCGTTGAAAAATTCCCCAAGAAATAGAATCAAATAAAATAAAATCAAAATGGAACAGCGTTGATATTAGCGGAAACACGATACCTTTTCACCTTCGGACTAGCCAGAAAAGCATCATAAAACCGCGCTCCCGCCACCGCGCGTCCAGCCAAAAGCATAAAACAGTTGAAAGCCCGCAGGGCTGGCCGAATCACCTCGGGAACCCGTTCTTTAGTCTAGCACCTAGACTCTAGCACCTCAAGCAGCCCCCTTTTCACTGGTCAGTGAATGATTGGATTTTGTCGTTGCTCTCGACGACCGTCATGCAAGTGGTGGATGTTTTGCTTTAGCGTTCCGTCAGATCGGAAGCGCCGATTGCTTGGGGGGGCAGCTTTTAAGATGGCTGGTTCACCTTGCTCGAAGGCAAATTTCCGCTTGTGCCCCCATAATAAATGACTCGTTCGACATTTTGCCGGCGGCGGTCGTCGTTTTCTTTGCCATGCTGCGAGGGCCCGTGTCCAATTAGAGACGCGACGTCATCCTCTCCGCACTGCGGATCTGGGGGCAAGATGTTGACCAAATCGACACTGCATAGAGAACAGGCGAACGTTTGCGTTATTTTTCTAGGATGCGTTTGATTGAGCGCGTTATTGAAAAGTTCGTTAAATTAAAAAGTCAACGACTACCAAATCTCCAATAAGGTTGACCCCACTTTTTTTGCCATTTTTCCGGTCGACCGAAGCCCCAAAACCAGCGACTCAGCCAAAAACGCCTTCCGCCTCACCAACGGTCCGGCTTAAGAACTTTCCTTCCTTAGGATAGTAGTGTCGCCCCCGCTGCGGGATTGCAGAAGCAAAAAATGGCTCGATTCAGTGAACACAGCTGCGCGTGAGCCCATCCCAGCTCCCCATCCATAAACAGCAACCTCCCATCCGGTCGGTTCTGCAGAATATTTGGTCTCCCTCGCCATAATCCGCTTGACCCCATAAAAGTGCGGAGCACATGCTCTTCCTCCCCCACGTATCCGCCCCTCTCTTTAAGCCGATGGAATGGCAACAGGGGGGCTGCCGATTCGAAAAAGCAAATGCCGAATGGAATGCTTGGGCAACGGGGGGGGTCTCGTGGGATTTCGTTAATTGGAGCCCAAATGGCGGCCGGAAGTAAACATTCAGTATTTTGATGGGATGGAGAGTTTATATAGTGGAAAAGTAATGGCAAATCCCGGGAGCAAGAAGTATAATAATTGGCACTTTGGGTGGTGCGAATGAACCTTTCAGTATCAAAATTTAAGCATTTGATTGTGCACATAACCAAAATAAGGATCAAATTTTGCGATCCAAAAGGTCCTGTAGACTATTTTGGAAAGCTATCAATCCAGAATGCTCAAAATACATCCCATTCCATCTATCTTCGTCCTCCTTTAATCCACATTTATCTATCTCCCACCGTTCATTACAGATGCTACAGTAGCCTTGCAATCTTCTTTCTAACACTATGCAAAGAGAAAACCCTATTCCCTTTCCACCAAAATTTATGCATCCTCATTTTTTTTACAGCTCCGGCGTCGGTGGAATGAAGACGGTGGAGGTGTCATCAGATGAGGCGGGCTCCTCCTCCTCTCCTGGTGCCTCGGATCCTCAAACCGGCCAGGCCCTCGTTCCCAACATGATGCCCCCGGGGCATCCACTTCCTCCGCCTCCCCTACCCTACTATGCTGGGCCTCCACCGCCCCCCAGGTACCGTAACATTTGCACCTTCAGTATTTTTTTTATACGCAGACGTAGTTGTGGGCACAGGAAATTGGGGAGTACAGTAATTGGAGGCTATAAGGGCAACGCAGAAGTTTCCTAATTATAGCACCGGGGTTTTGCAGGAAACTTTGGTTGTAGGCCGTTGGGATCAAGATACAATTTTTCCGGTAGCTATGCTGTCTATGTATGAATACTGCCTTTATGATCAACATTTTCGAGCTATTTTTTTAGCTTTGTTGCGGACGAAAAGGCGTAGGTGGGTGGGATGGGTTCGGGTTTTGGTAGGACAGTCAGCAGTCGTCATAAAACTTTTTGAAGCTTCCTATCCGCCAGTTAACGGGATAACGGTTTAGGCATGGGTTCCCGGGTCCGCCACCCCCTCCCCCGTTACTCGGTGCTCCCCCTCCACCATTAATGATGCTTCCACCGGGTCCTGCCAATGCTCTACCGCCGATATTCGGCAGCCCCTCGGACCTGTTCGTCCACATCCAACCGGGCGAACGGTTGACGTTGCGAGTTGGTCAGGAGGAGCAAGAAGTGATTGGTGAGTATCACACGATTGTTGAAAAATGAATATTATCATTTTAGGCCCTGCTACCGTTCGAATGGTCGGTGAAGCTGGCTCCCATCCTTCTGCCCTTCCCATCTACGTCCCTCCCGGTCACCAAATACACCAAATCGTCGATGAAAATGTATCATTTTTAAATTATCCGTTCAAACATCAAACTCCCAGGGTGTCCTCCGACATCTCATCCTTTCCCCTGAACCTTCTATGATTCAAAGGCTCCACCCACAGGTAAGCTTAGCCTACCAATTTTTCAACAAATACCTAGGGCCGCATGAATGGTTACGGTATGGCTGGTACCTCCACCGGAATCCACAACCTCATCACCATTGACCGGCCAAACAAGCCGGCCAAGATGAACGCCCTCCGGCCGGTTGACCAACAGCTGATGAATGAGACGGTACGGGATCGAGTTCAAATACCGTACACCGCAAAGTGCCCCTTGGAGTTCATCTTCCGGTTTTCTTTTCATTCCCACAAAAAAGCTCCCCTTCCCGCCGTATTCCGGAAATGCAAAAAAAAATTTCCGGCACCTGAATATCCGCTACCCGGATGTTTTGCCCGACGAAACAAGAGAAATGAAAAGAGTAAATAAATTTTAAACATATTTTTAGCTTCACGAGGACGCGTCGGATATGGACAGCGAAGAAAAAGACCGACTACGCGAGATGCTGAATTGCATTCAGTCCCCCTCCCTGGTTCGCGTCACAGACCTTGAAGCGGATTTACAATGGTAAATTAATTTTTTTTTTAAAAATCAGGTAACGGAATTTTTAGGCAAGAGCTGGACACCTCGGAAGCAGCAGCCCCTGGCGGGCCCTTCCCTCAGATCGACGCCTCCGAGTTTAGCTACTCTGTAATCCTGTATGAAAATCTTGCCAACAACCCGCGCTTCATCAGCACGTACCAGTTCGTTAATTTTGAGGGCTAGTGCAGCAAGCTGTACCACGGTTTTAATGAGCACATTCTAGATGCAGTCCTGAGCAAGGCGGAAATTGCATCCGTCTGTGCAAGCTGAGGCCGCTCACCGATTATTTCGTCCAACTGAAAGCATCGCTCGAAGAACGGGGGATTATTGGGGAGCCTAGCAAAGCGGTACACTTCAGAACGAAGGCGCCGCGACCATCCGCGCCGATGCCGTTGAGGTTGGTGTACTAAGCTCTTTAAATAATTAATTACAACTTTCAGAATCCTCGAGACCGGTTTCAATTATGTCGCCATTGCTTGGAATACAGCTGTCGAGAAAACACATGGTGTGCACTACTACAATGTTTATGTCCAACTCGGCAACGAGCCGAACACCCGTACAGAGGTGTACACCGGAACTGGCGACAAGGCTATTGTCGGAAGTAAGTAATCTCTAGTCTAGTAAGTATCAGTAATAATCTCATCACGAAATCCCACCTTTTTCTTACAGGCCTACAATCCGCGACCCGGTATGACATCTTCGTTTCCGTGGTGACGGATTGCGGAGAAAGTGCCCTGAGCTCACCGTTGAGGGTCGAGACGAGACCCGAGCCTAAGCCTCCGGTTCCCAACGTCCAAACAACAACACCCAGGACTATCAAATTCAGCTGGCTCTCCATGCCCGATCACAAACTGACGGTAGTTCACCTTGCCTAGTTTAATTAGCACTTTTTAGTTGGAAATGTGCGAGGCTCGGAACCCGGAACACAGTCTAAGGATTGTCAAAGACAACCTCGGCGGCACAGTGAGCAGCACCGTCATTGATGGACTGCAGCCGTAAGCTTTTTGATTTTAAAAGATTCTTAATGATTTAAAAGAAAAAGACTTGATCTGCTTGCTCAGAAAACCTGATTCTTTTCTAGAGCCACCGACTACAAGTTCCGGTTCATGCTAGACCACAACCTAAACAACAAGTCCGATTGGGTGACGGTCCGAACGGCTACAGCACGCCCACCTCCAGAAGCCAAGCCCGAAACTCGACCCGTCATCCCGAGCGCACCGTTCCTCATCTCGAGGACGTCCTATAAGAAGATGGAAATCGGCTGGAAATACACTGGCCCCAAGGATAAGGACACCAGCTTCCACCTAGAAGGTGCACCCCGACTCCAAGAAGGTGCACCACCACGCTGGAAAACTGTCTACAAGGGCGACAAGACACAAGCTGCCGTTACCGAGGAGCTCCTCTTCTTCCGTGTCCAATCCCTGGTCAAGAAGAACCAATCGGTTAGTTTTACTCCACACCTCTTATCCAAGCAAACAGCTTCACGACTTTACAAACCAATCCATTTTAGAGCGACTGGTCGCAGGTGCTTAACCTCCCCAACCCAATCGACGAACTACCAGCTCCACCAGCGCCTGGAGTCCCAGAACTGATGGTTGTCGACAAGAACGCTGTTCTGGCGAGATGGAAGGCCCCTGCAGATTCGGTAGATGAACTCCCAAGTGGCGTCTCATGGGTGATCGAACTCCGCCGTAAGGATGCCAACAACAACATTGTCTACTGCGGCCAAGAGAGTAGCTTCAAGATCACCGGGTTGCCGGCACAGCAACGGGTTGAGATCCAAATCCGAAAAGTCTTCCTCGACGACTCCCATCGGGTCGAAGGAGCATGGAGTCCGGCCGCTTCTATCAGCACTCCGAAAGAAGCACCAAAGACGCCAAAGAATGTTAGAGTCAACATGGAAAAGCAAAAGCTCGAATGGACCTCTGATGAAGACAACACGACCAGATTTATTGTCCGTCGTTACAAGCTTGAAGATGATGAATCGGAATGTGAGCACGAGCTGTCCACTCAGAAGCACGAGTGTTCTCTTGGCAACGTCGAACCGGCATCGTACTATGAGTACACAGTGCAGGCTCGAAACGAAAGCGGAGAATCAGAGCCCTCGGACCCGGCGGTATATGAAACAAAGCCAGAGACGCCGGGACATCCGGAAAATGTGACGCTGGAGACGGTGAGCACAAGCCAGATGGTGTTGCGCTGGGATCAGCCCGAAAGCGGTGGAGCAGAGATCATCAACTACATCATTAGGGTACTTCGGGACGAAGAGGTATCTACCAAAATTAGGGTCTGTAAAACTTTATTTATAGTCTATTTCTGAAGAGAGTCTGCCTGCCACAGCCGTACAAGGAGAATATAACATCGATGATTTGGAAGCAGACACAGAGTACACGATTGGTATTTCTGCGGAGAACCAGGTATTTTTTTGTTTTGAATTAATTGAATTTATTAAATGTATTAGAAATTCATGATAAGTATGACCTTTTTTAGCTCGGAATGAGCGATGAGGTGCTGATCGACGGGCGAACAAACGCATACCCGCCAGAGGCTCCGTCCCTCGATGGAGACTGTGAAGCCACCCAGATTCGACTCCGTTGGCAAGCCACTTCGGAAACATCCCCTGGCTCGCCAAGCCGCATCCGATACCGAGTCGTCAAGGTCATCAAAGATAATCGCGATTCTGGTGAAGATGATGAAGAACGGCAAGCGGTGGTCTACGAAGGCGAAGCGTGTTCGTGCCGAATCCGAAATCTCAACGAGAACTCTGAATATCGATTCAAGATTTGTGCTATTGACCGGTAAGCATTAAGACGATAACAAATAATTCACGTCAATATAGGCAAGTCGGCCCTGGCCCCTGGTCAGATGTGTATTCGTACTCCACGACCGTGGCTGTACCAATGCCACTGAAGGGACCACTCACTCCAAATGACAGCGGCAATGGTGTCCACCAGGTTTGCAGAAGAATGAAAAAATATACGTACACTCCGGTATTATAGATCGAGTGGCAACCTTGCATCATCAAGCCGAACAACCGTCGTTACTTCTATTCATTGGAGGTCATGGACTATTCTGTTCCTGAAGCCGCATGGGTCCCCATCTATGAAGGCACCGTTGCCCAATATACCGTCCGGCTTACCGAGAAACAGAAGTCGATCTCGGTCCGACTTCGCATCGGTCGAAAGGATTCTACCGGAAAAAAGGTGTATTCTGCGCCGTGTCAGGTATGAACTATGTTCATTCGCCTCAATGTGTTTTTAGGCCATTTATCTTGCGTACAATCCAAAGCCCGAGCCAGCCAAGGATGCCAGCACGGCCCAAGCCGCTCCGAACATTATTCAAGCCGCTTGGGAATGGTTGAGCTCGAGGAGCTTCGCATCTATTCTAGTGGTATAATCGCATTGATTATGTTAATTCTTGGTTTTGGGCTGCCTTCTTCATCGTCTCAGTCGTGATTGCTGCGTTTTTGGAATACGGCTTTGACGATCCAACCGTTTCCCCCACCAGCCAGGTGCCACCAGTTGCCGCACCACCCCCAGCTGCTGCTCCGAAACTTAAAGTCGGGCGTCGCTGAAAAATGCTGTTAAACACCTCGGCCAGCGTCTCCAAAACACTCTTCCCCGTCTAGGGACAAATTTTCTCATAGTATAACTATTACCGCTATTTCCGCCCCCACATATTTGTATATATTCCTGAGAAATTTATTTTTCACCCTGTTTAGTGCGTGATGAATGTGTGTGATTTCCTTCTCCCGAGTCCATTCGATGCCTTCGCAACTCGTCCCAATCTGGTGTTAGTATCTCCGTATCGTATAATAACTATCCGCCCTATTTAATTTTTCACTTTGCCACCACCCTGTCTTAGCCGGGGCATCGTGTTGAGATATCATGACCGTACCCTAATCCGACGAAACGTTTTTTTCTTCTTGTGATGTGGCTTCCATATCCAGCCCGGTGAGCATCATTTAGGAATCACCGTCCAGTGTCCATTCTTCCATCGCCTTCCCATTGTGTATTTTGATTATTTATTAGAATCAACTTTTATCCGCCCACGACTATTGCTTACCGCGCAGTTTTCTCCCAACTTTGCTTCGCCCCCCGTTGCGCTAATCGTTTGCTACCATTTTTTGGTGAGCGTCATCACGTAGTATTTCATATCACCCAATACGAGCGCGTACAAAAAAATAACCTGACAATGAATACCCCCATCCCGCTATCAACATAGTATTATCAGCTACGAGCCCATTATAAATAAAAAAGTTTTTTTAGATAAAGCTTTAAGTGTACAATCCCTAATTTATTTATTATATTCCTCGATTCTGGAGCAATGAAATAACCCCAACCCCCAACCAACCTGGTCGCTGGCATGTTAGTCTGTTTTTGCATTTTTTTGAATTTTTAGTTTGTAGCCTTTGCTCTGGTGTCTCCCACTCCCGTTAGTTTTCGGTGGAACTGGTTATTGCTTCCCTAAAAAGTGATATGACCATTTCGGCTGATAGCCAGTAGCCAAAATGTGTTATGGCAACCTGGTCGCTATCCCCCCACTTCCCATATGCACACGACAATTTTTGGGCATCAAATGCCTCAAGAAATGTTGCTTCTTCCCTTCCTGTCCCGTTGGTCCATCATCAACAAAAAGTATCTGACAATCAACAAATTGCCCATATTTCCACACCCCCCCAAATCCATTTGATACATAACACACAATCTGTTGCTGATGTTTTGTAACATTTTCCATCGAATAAACCATTTTTTTTGCCGGAAATGGGGTTGTTTTGTGCACAGAGCGATGACGTCAACAGAACCGTTTCTTGTGGGGCCAACGACGCAATTGCACGTGAATAAAATTAGGCGTCGGTTTTCGAGCCCGATAAAGATTAGCAGAGAGGGGACAAGGGAGGAGTCAACAAGCCGCAGATCGGTGCAAATGAACCTTTATAAAAATTTATTAAAGCAGCCATACAATAGATGAATCGTACTAACCTTTGTAAAATCGTAAACATTACAGATCAAGATACCGACAACAGTGCGTATGAAAAAAGTAAAATGATAGCATAGCATGTTGGCATAAATTAGTGCAGTAAAGTTATTATTTCTAATTCATAGTGATCGATTGCGCAGAAAGTAATGAAATACAAAAATTTCAAGGTTTCTGCTCATAGTAGTGAGTATTTCAGCAGTTGGTATATAAGGTAACTGAAAAGCCCGGCGGTGACACACCCACTACATGTCTAGTATCAATCAGTAAGTTCTATACCAAAAACTAACTAGAATAAGAATATCTCGCGCAACGGCTCAATTGCTGCGTTGCCGAAGCGGTGGCGCATCTGTGGGCTCATCAAAATCCCGACACCCGTAGCTCAGCGATAAGAAATTTGGGCGGAGGGAGCGACGAGCCATCCGAGAATCAATCGGCTTCCCCCTACAACCCCCCTATTTCGGCGCCCCTCGTTTTTCCCACCGTTTTTTGTTGGGCTTCGGTTGCAAGTCACGAAATCACTTTCACATTTCCCTCCAGGTGCCGGCTTACGAGCTTCTGGGCAGCAGCAGTAGCTTCTGCGGGCCAGCTGGTCACGCTGACGGCTGCCATCTGATGAACCCGCCGAGTGGCGGAAACTCGGTAAGTTACCGCAATTTTACCGCCCGCCAAATGGCTAGTTCCGGTGTGTGCGGAACCCCCAGAGTTTTTGCCTAGAAATAGGAGCATAATCCGATCAAAAAGCCACTTCTTCATGGATTGACATTGCTTGCGGACGTCCGGTGATAAGGGCTTGCGGCTTCCGTCGTCCGCAATTCTTTCGGGGTTTATGAGGTTTTTGCTTTGCTAGGGCACGATCGTAAATGCTTGTCGCTGCAACGAGTAGGGCAGAGTTCAAAGAAGGCAGTGTGAATTGAATTTGTGTAGTTTCAAGTTGGCAGTGGTTTTGAAGAAGTAAAAAACTAAGCAATTGTTTAAATTTGCTTCCTTTCATTTGTCGAGGGTTGCATCGGAACCCTGGTAAGGACACAACATTTTCATAAAGACTAAAAATTCGGGAATTTGGAAACCGGAGAGGGCATTTCTCTGGGTCTCGACCTTTAGACTCACATCAAAATCCTAAAACGGGGGGCATTTCCCGGGTTGCTAGATAGGGCGGATTTTCCGAGGATGGGAACTTTTATTAGTGCAGCGAATAAATAAAAAGAGCCGGTAATTTTATTATTTTCTTCATGCGTGCCCGGCCCGGGGTAGATGCCATTAGTGCGCGCCTAATCCCGATGGCCTCAGGCGCCACCAATTGCCTATTAATGCACAAATTAACCCGCCTACCACTGATAACGCTCTTTTCAATTTCCAGCAGGCCGACCGCCACATTTTGGCGCACATTGCGGATGTCCTGCCGAAATATGAAACCATCCATATCAAATCTATTGCCAACATCGCATTCGTTAAAACTCTCGGCAAGGGAAGGTTTGGCGAGGTAATTTATCTGAAACCAACCAATCCGATCTAGGTCGCAAAATACGTCGACAACTCGAACGGTAAATTCTTGGCCGTGAAAACGATCAACTTGGAGCTTTTCAAACATTGGAGTCAGAATATCAGTCGAGCAAAACTGGTTAGTGGTTTTTAAATATTATTTGATTTTTCTTAGAGATGTGATCAATTTTTGGACAATGTGAGTCGACTTTATACATTGGCGAACAGTCATCATCGCCTCGCTAATGTGATCGGAGTCTATGCGGACAATTCGAAGATCATGGTGCTGACGGAATTTTGTGGCGGGGGATCGGTGAAGGACCAGCTAGAGAAGGGCCCTTTAAACGAAGAAGATGCAATTCGTTATTTGTTCCAGGTCAATTTTCGTTTTCCGGCATAAGCTTTTTTGCTATAATTGAAAGCGTGAATGAACGAGTAGACCAAACGGAGATTTACAATAGTTGACATTCTCTTTCAAATTGCAATTAAATCTTAACTAGTTAACAAATGAACGTTCTAAGAAAAAAAATACGAAGTTTCTAATTGGTATTTCGAACTTTTTACTCCTTGCAAGACGATCCATCTTCGCAACATTGCACTCTTTGCAATTTAGACGATCGAAGCGCTACATTATCTGCACTCGCAGTCTCCGCAGTTTGTTCACTCTGATATCAAAGGTATGCCGCGTCGAAGAGCTACTGTTTTCTGTCCGCCTCCCTCGGAATTTTGCGTCATCCCATTCCGGGGCGGACGAGACATTCTGTGTGCTGAACATTGTGATAAAAAGGCTGGTCAGGGGATGGCCGGTCGACCAGAACGTCTTCAAATATCCTCATTTAGCGACAAATATCTTGATCACTTCTGATGACTCCGTCAAGTTATCCAATTTCGGGCTTGTGCGGGATTTATGCATTGGTGGCTATGGACTGGCAATGGCCGCGGAAGTTGTAGCGGATGCTAGAGGTATATACACTTCTTGTAGTAATTTTCTTCTTAGCTTCTTTGCTATATCTGGCTCCAGAGGTAATCCTAAGCGAGTTAGGCCCTGGATTCCGCGGGGCATACAAGGCCCCGTCAGATATATGGTGACTTTGACATAATGGTAAATACCACAAATTAAAGGGCGACTGGTTGTACGTTCGTTGAAATGCTAACAGGTCGGCCACCCTACGGCGAATTTTTTATTCACGGTACGACGCTCAAAGAATTGGAGGCTCGAGTGAAGGGTCCGGCACACAAGGTAAAATACATCCGACTCCTTCATGTTTTATAGAGATTACCATATTCTGGCGAATCCATGCTGCCTGGATCTTCATATACTGCCCAACTTATAGCTGATCGTATTTTTGAAACAGACTCTCGGCAACGTTCTACAGCGGCGGAGTTGAAGTGTAGGTACTGCATCAAATTTTGGGAAAGACAGGTGTTCAGCGTTCCTGAATACGTTGGAAGCTGTTCCAATCGCGACGAAGTCTAGGGCAGCGACGTATGAAAGTGTTGAGGTGTGAGCTACCCAGAGCAATTCAACGAAAAACTATTGTAGCATATGGTGGTGCCGACGTCATCAACAATTAATGACATGTATTCTGATGCTCCTTCAGGCAGTGCTGATGAGAGCACTGAAGGTATTGGGGTACAATCCTAAACCGCTAAGATATATGCAGATCCCAAAAGCGTATCAAGCCAGCCATTTGTCCCAATGGAAACTATTGCTAATGGGGCAACACGAAGAAGTCACGTTTCTGTGAAAGTGCGCCGGACGAAAGCGCGCCGCAGAACTAATTTCGAAAAAGTTGTCGTATGTTGCGCTGTCTATGGTTCAAGAAGCGCGTTTTTCTTAGGTAACGTGAAAAACAGCTTCTCACCTTCCATTCAGGAATTTTATCGAAAGCTGTTCTTTATGTAATGCTGTTTATACTCGGTGGCTTAGGCTCTATAGGATTGTTTCTGTTCGTAGCTTTCTTAATAGGTGAGTTATTGCTTCTTTCAAAAAAAGCTGTACTATCTCGTTTAGTATGGTTCATTCGGCAGATGATCTCACAGGCTTGTCATGGATGTGATCTCATGCAACCTCAATATTTGGTTATCAGTGGCATATTTCTGATTCTTCTATTTGCGTTGTTGTTTAGGTACCATAATTATGGCAAGCAATCGGTTTTAGTTGTTGCATGGTTGCACTTGGAGAGTACAAATTTCGAAAGGCCAATCAGAGTTTGCGGAGATCGCGTTTTTGGTTGGAACGGCCGTCGGGTGGCATTCGACTATTTGGCTTACAGGTTTACCTCTTACCGATGCCTACATATTTTTCTAGATTCTAAAGCCGCCCAAAAATAAAGAGGATCAAGAGTCGGATATTGAGGAGGTCGAACTCAGCGCGTTGGTCACCCCAAAGCCAGCTGACCACGAACTCGCAGATTTCTATGCAAGCGCTCCATAAAAATCATATATATAAATTTATTCTTAAAGGCATCAAAATTATATCAAACAAAAGAAAATGTTTGGCCAGCAGGGCAGAGGGTAGGGTAGCGCAAACTTAAAAATCTAGAAGTTAATAGGGCGACTGGGAGTGACGGGTCAGGGATATTCTTTGAGCTACGCATCAATATCACAAGCAATTATACAACCGAGCACTAGCGCACACATACACAAAAAGATAAAGTAAACTATGTAAGAAATTGGCAGCATTTATGGAGCACGGAATGGTCCCGGGTTACTGCGGGGCTTCAATGAAAGTTTGGTTGGTCCATATAAAAATCTGGAAATCCGTTTGGGGTCACTGAGCAAAGAAAATCGGGCAACTCGATAGGGGCGTGCAAAAAATCAGGAGCGTCTAAACCATAATGAAGGATAAGCGATTGGCGGAATTTGTTAATAGCCATTTGAAAATTTCTTTCCGCGCGGGGGTGGAGGGCCTCCGTAATGAGGCATCATGGCCGGGTGGGGCATGCCTGGAGGCGGGAATGGACTTCTTGGAGGGCCCATAAGGGGCCCAGGTCGTCCAGGGTATGCCATCGGAGCTGGTGGGGGTCCAACCCAGCCGGGAGGGATGAACGGCGTCATAGGGGTCGGTGAAGGGGCCTCACCGCGCAAGAATCTGAAATTTTCTTTATTGTAAATTAACGTTAAATTTGCAATAAATATTTTAATTGATTACCTAATTAATTCCTGCTCGGTGTCAACAATCATCACCAAGAATGGGGATCCAGGCACATGCTCTCCGTGCCACTTGACTTCCACCTGATAGTCTCCAGGTTCCCTGGGCTCATATTTGCAATGGATAGTCCGATCATTCTTCTTCTCCTTTTGCATCTCAACGTTGAAGGCTCCCTTAGGCCCGCGAACTCGCACGGTTAACTGGCCGGCACCTGCTCCCTTCGTCTCGACGACAAAGTTGGATTTGAAGCTGTAATGTTTTGTTTCCATGAAGCTGTACTTCGACTTACAGGGACAGAATTCCGTGTTCGATGCCAGGTCCATACACGCGGACCTTGGACGGATCCGGTGGCATTGAGACGTGGATGAGGAAGGGGCTACCATGCACGTGCTCACCGTCATACTTGACAGTCAACGTGTGCTTTCCAACCTTTAAACGAAAAGGTTAAACAGTTAAATCGGTATTACCTCCGTTGGCCGAATAGACAACGTATATGTGCCGTTCCGATGGTCAAACAGCTCGCAATACGCCAACTTGGCGGGTCCCATGCATTGAGCTGAAAGCTTGCCACCCGTGCCAGCGCGTCGCGTATCGATCAAGGTAACAACTTCTTCGTTAACAATTCCGATCTTCATCGTGGAAGTGTCGACCAGGATAGAGTCGGCAATTCCGGATGTGGCGGAGACAGCAACTAGAAGAAGTTGGCTTCCATTGTAAGTCACATACCTGGGAATGGAGAGCCCTTGACATGTCTGCTGTTCCAGAGCACATGCAGTTCGTAGCTTCCGCCGACCATAGGTGTGTAGGTCGCTTTGTAGACGTTGTGCCCAAGCTGGTTCACCTTCACCGGGATATCAGCCTTCTGACCGATGAGGGTTGCAGTCAATCGACCTTCTAAAGCAAAGAGGTTATTAAAGAAAGTGGGTAGTGAGTTACCTCGTGAAATGTCTGAACCATCGACGATGAATTCGGCCTGCTCTTGTAGTTGTGCCCTTCTCAAGCCATCCCCTCTCAAGATGACATGAAGATGATCTGCGAGCTCATCGTCATAAGGTTGATGCGAGCCGGTGGAGCGCTCCCTTGAGAATTTATGATATTGTAAGTTTACATATAGATCCTACTTCTTATGGGCAGGTGCTGAAGACGCAACGTAGTCGTAAGTCTTGCTTGTGCTTGGACCGGGTCCCATAGCAGCGGTGCCAACATGCATTCTAGAAAAAAATATGACTCTTGTTAATATGACCGATTGGTACCTAAGCGGGAACGCCGTCTCGACGGGCAGCTCGTTCCAGTAGAGGTAGAGGGCCTGGCGACCCTGGGTTTTGGGCTCGACAGCCACTCGCCATTTTCCGTATCCCAGCTCCTCCACCACAACCGGACCAGTGCCTGAGGCGCCCGTGACGAGCGCATTGTTGGCGTCTCGAACTTCGGCCCGAAGTTTGCCTGAAAACTTGTTGATACTTTGTTGATGGTTGTTGGATTGCTGGATAGTTGAAGGACGATCACGGCATCAAGTTTTCCTGTCTAAACTTACCGGGTCCGGCAGCTGTGGCATCGATATCGATGACACTCCTCTGATTCAAGCCAAGCTGGATCTGGCCCTCCCGATCAGTCATCCGGTCGTCAACCACCACCTTGGCAGGGTCGATTACCCGAACTTCGACAGGCGAACCTAAATTCTCATTGGCTTCATAGTTACCCAAAACATACCTTGGACAGGCTTGTTGTTGAAGTGAACAGAGACAGTGTACATTCCGACATCCTCGGGGTAGAACACGACTTCGGAGGTGCCATTTGGCCTTCGCATGGTGTTGTGGCGGACCTTGGTCTTGTGCGGGCCCCGAACATCAATCTTCAAGCCACCGGTAGCCTTCTTCGGATCGAAAATGAAGCTGGCGGGCTCGCCGACTTTGACGCTCTGGTCAACCGCAGCGCCATAAATGGCAGGCTGGGCAACTTCCCCAACGTTGATGGTTTGGGGGAAGCCAGGTAGCGGGAACCCGGCCGCCTTGACGTTGACACGGTGGGGTCCGAGTTGAACGGGTAGGAAGGTGGCGCGGTCTTCGCCAGTGGGACTCTTGAGCATTTCGACTCTTAGGGGTTTGCCCTCCGGGTCGGTGACTTCAACGCTGAGATCTTTCGTGCCCGCTTCACGTCGGTTAACTAAAAACGCTTATTATTTTTTTAAAGATTTTTACTATCATTCGTATTCCAATACTCACGCGCAACGGTAGCGGCATGCCGGAGCGTTAGGCCATCCTGGAGACCCCGAACCTGCACCTTCTTGGGGTCGATGACCTGGCATTTGAATGGAGAGCCAGAAACAGCCACATCTCCGAAGGTGACTTCGATGCTGTGCTCGCCTTAGCGAATTTTGGTCATTTTTTGAAACATTCTACTAACCGGTCTGTTCAGGAGTGAATTCCACCCAATAGCTGTCATCTTGCTGTCGGTAGCAGCGCACAGAGAGCGGGCCACCGTTGGGATCTGAAATTCAACCTTTGTTTCCTGGGCTTCGAGACAAATAGTTAGACATTAATAGACAACAGATATGGACAGACATTAATTAAGCTCTGGTCTAAAATCTAAATAATATTGCGTCGCTTTTTATGTATACCGGAAACAAGAACATCAAGTTCTCCTCTAGTAGCACTGTTCGTCGAAACTTCGAATCTAGCGGTTCGGCCCCTCTGGGCAAATCGAAGAGCATCCCCAGTAGCTCTCACAGCTCCTTCAGCCGAGACGTGGCATTCAATTGCTAAAGGGAAATTGAAAGGCTAGTGACCGCACATACGTTGCAGATTGTAGCCATCGATAGTAACATCAACCAAATACATTCCTGGATGCTTAGGCACAAAGGCGCCAACTAACAGGCCGTCCCTGATCTTCTTCAGCTGACATGGGATTGTCCGGTTGCCCAAAGAGACTTCCACTTGGGCGCTGGTTGCACCAGAATTTGTGTAATCGACTAAAGAGATATCATTTTTGGTTTGGTTCTTACTGTTAAAGCGCTGCTCGACTCCAACACGATCATTCTTGAGGCCGATGAGGCGTACAGAGGTCGGATCAAGGGCTTGGACAAGATAGGGGCTTTGCCCAACTGGTTCTCCGCCAACCAGGATGCTCACTTCATGGTCACCATCCACCTGAAATGGATTTCGGTTTCCATGGGGCTCCCAAATTTTTATTTTATTTATTTTATCGTGCTCACCTGTGGTGTCCAAACGGCTGCCATGGTTGTCTGACTTAATTTTGACAAATGAACATCCAAGGGCCGGCCATCTGGAGCAGAAACTCGGACTTCGACGTGATTTTCAATTCCTTTTTCGAGTAGCAGGCGGATTTCAGCTGGCTCGCCAACAACCTCGCGTCCAAACTGTAAGGAAAAATTAAAGTTTTTTGAAAAAGGCAAACCTCCGAAATGAGTTGCACCCCACGGTTTCCATCGACAACGTCAACGGTTTGTTGCTCTCCGACAGGTTCATCTTGCACAAAGCAATCAACCGAATGTTGTCCAGGCTATAAGAGTTATTATGGAATTTAGTTTGTATCGCTTACTTGTTTGAAACGGCATGTCGCTCTTACATTCCCATTAGGTAAATCTTCAAGTTGGACAGGAATAGGATTTCCTTCAGGACTACGAATATTCACACGCACTTCATGCCTTCCGCTTCCATAAGTCGGGACTTCAAATGAATATTTCTTCCCGACCACGCAGGTTTCTGGTAGTTGCATTTGGGGCTGTTCCTGATTGACATAAACCAAGAATTCTTCTCCGATCGGTTCCCCATCGATCATCGTCTCCACGCGGTGATCACCTAATTTATGCTTAGAAATTAAATGAAAACATTGTATTACCTGCGCTTTGCGGCATAAAATCGAAATGATAGCCGTTCTTCGTGCGTTGCAGGTGAACAGGGAGTCGAGAGCCATCAGGAGCTAATACACGACAATGACACAAGGACAAATTTGGGGACATTTGTACGGGGACAGACAAGCGACAAACGGATAACAATGCTTACCCGTCACCACAACGTTGCAGTCACCGGTGCGGCCAGCCGTGTCGATGGCGAAACCTTTCTTTTGGCCGACCTGCAAAGAGTAGATAAACTGGTTATAGGCATAATGCACTTTAAATTCTTAAAAAGATCCCTTTTCTCTTGCTAAGTTTTTCAATATAACCCACCACAGCAGTTGGTGCTTCCTCAAGAAGCCTTGACTTCGAGGCTGTATGAGCTGAAGACTGAGCCAAAGGTTCCGTTTCAAGCCCGTGCGCCAGGTGAAGGCTCTCCATTGGAGGTCCATCGGCAGGCACAACTTGGACTCGCATAGGTGAGCCTGAACAATGTTAATGATAAACTCGCTCCACTAACCCGGAATAGGATGACCGTTGAACTTGACGCTGACGATGTGCTCTCTCGACTCTTGAGGAGTGAAGGAGACTTTGAAGCGGGCTTGGCCTTCGGACTAAATGGATATATCATTATCATATGCTTCTCCATAGCTTACCTGGACGAAGTTTGGGACGTTGCGGCCATCAACGGAAACAATGATCTCCATATTGCCTGCGCCGGCCTTTGCCGCGTCGATCGAGAAGGTGGTTGGTTTTCCAACTCGCGAATCTAATTTCAGCGTTAAAACAGCTTTCTTTTGTGACTTACCTTCAGCAGTGGTAAGTCGGACCTTGTCGGCGTCGTAGGCCTTAACGGTGAACGGGCTACCGGCAACTGGCTCACCGTGGTACGACACATCAATCTAGGCAAAATTCAAGTATTATTGCGATGACCTACCACGTGATTGCCCACACAGTTTGGCGTGTAGGAGACCGAATATCCACCCTGAATCTGGCGGACCTTCGAGCTAACCGCAGTCCCCTGTGGATCACGGATGACAATCGTTGGTTCATCGGTGCTTTCGGAGCCAATTTCGAAGTCGGTGGGCTAAAAACATAGCGTTTTAGCAGTTCGCTATAAAAAGATACCTCTCCAACAGCAATTCTTTCCAAGCCCGGGCCGCTCATCTGCACCGGGGCTGCCGATGCGATCTTACAGTTGAAGGGGCTACCAGGGACCGGCTCATTGTTGAATCGAACCGTGATGGTGTGATCTTGGGTCTCGCGGGGTACGAAAGAGATGTCGTAACGGTGCTGTCCAAGCGAATTGGCCATCGATGGAATACGACCCTCGTTGACTGCCACCTGAAAAGAACGTAATTTACTCTTCCTTGCGATTTTCCTCGTGTGTCCTCACCTCCAAGTTTCCAACACCAGCTTCTGAAGCATCGACGACAAAGTGCACCGGCTTATCGATGGCTCCTGATGGAATATTGCCGACCTTGATCTTCTCAGGGTCGTAAGCGCGGCAAGTGAAGGGGCTTCCAGACACGTGTTGACCACTAGTCTTTACCTCGATCTCGTGGTCACCTAATTACATGAATAGCTTGCAAAATATTACTTACCGACAGCCTCTGGGACAAAGGTGATCTGCATAATTCCAGGTTCCGACTCGTTAACTTCCGTCGGAACGGTGGATTTGTTACCATCTAAATAAATATTTCTTTCAGGTTCGATGTGCTTGTTTTGTGGTAGACTGACAGACTGACAAATGAGAGAGGTGGGAATTCTGAAAATCTGCAATTTTATTAGCTGTTTTCCTTGTAAAGACAAACCAGTGGCTCGATAAACACTGATCTCAAGTTCATCGCCGCCAGCGATAGTGATTAGCAGATGGGATGGTTGGCCAACCCTGGACAGAGACGGAATCTTGGTCACCGTGGTCTTTCCAATTCCGGTGGCTGATGGTTTCTTGCCCTAAATTTAAGTAAGAATCCTTAATTGGGAAACTACCTTTTTGAGATCCTTCTCGCGTTTGAGAGTAGCTGCTTTCTCTTCCTTTTCTCGCTTCAGTCGTTCTTTCTCTTCCTTTTTGCGCTCTTCCTCTCTCTTCTTCAGCTCCTTCTTGCTTAGCTCAGGAGTCCTAAAAATACGTTTTATAAAATCCGGGTATGATTTCCTTACATCACTGGGCTGACCTCGACCGGGACGCCTTCATCGGTGATATGAACTTGGAAAGGGCTATCTAAATGGAGTGTTTAGTATCAGAAGGTCGAGTTACTCTTGAGGACTTCTTTGTTGAAGGTGATGTTGACGGTATGAGTTCCCTTGGTGGCAGGCGAGAAAGTGACCAAGAACTTGGCTGATCCGGTCTCGAGTTGGGCAACATGTGACGGGATAATAACGCCATCGGCATCTTTGATCGCCATCTCCAGGTTACCGAAACCAGCACGCCCAGCATCGACTAAATGAATCTTTTGTTTACTCAAAGTCAATCAGTTGATGCATCTGGTCGTGTACCTTGCCTACCTGTGAATTCCACCGTATCGTTCAACTTCGAATGACTGGGAATATCACCGACAATGATCTCCGAAGAATCATAAACACGGATCGGGAATGGTGAAAGCGGATGTTGGACCTCGTTAACGTAGGCGAACACCTATTACCAACCTGTACCAACAAAACCCAAACGGCTCACCTTGTGCGTTCCAACCTCAGCCGGCTTGAACTTGATCTCATACTTGCTGCCGCTTTTCTTGACATGAGGCTCGATTTCTGTGGGCTCCTCACCGGCAGGCAGGTGGCGAACTGGTGCTAAAATCTGAGTTAACAGGATGGATATAGTTTTCTTACGCATGACGACAATCCTCAAAGTGTCCTCCTTGCCAAGCTTCAGTCCATCGAGCTTGACCTCGACGTCCTTGCCACGTCGGATGACTTCGTGTTTTGAGGAGAACTTGGATTTCCCAAAGTCGAAAGCCTTGCCGTCTTTGTCTTTCTGAAAAGCGGGTCTTCGAAGCCTTCTTTCTAGCTCGAGGAAAACTAATCCAAAAAAATTCAACGGTTACAAAAACTGCAATTAAATCAGGAAATGCTGGCGAGGAAAATTAATGGTAGCTTTCAAACCTTTGCCATCTTGTTCAACGTATTTTTCGGGGTCGTTCGAGGAGTCGTAGGTGCCGATGGAACTGGAGAATGTGGCATCTCACGTTCCGGAGCGAGCACTTCCACATCCACATCCCGTCGCGGAATATCGTCCCAAAATAGGAAGCAAACCAATTAGAACAGAAAAAGCCAGTCAAAAGATTGCAAAATAGAAAGCATATAGTCAAGCTAGCTAATCTAACTGCCAAATAGAAAACCAACCAGATGTTGCCCGGTAGTAAACTCGTGACGATCTCCAGCTACCTCCACCACGTCTCCGTAATCGGAAACGGGCTCATGTGGGTAGTCGACCGAAGCCCTAAAGCCCAATTTTGATTACACGAGTTTAATTTTACACAGAATCATGCGCTTCGTGGAAGCTCTTGTGCAGCATGCTATCATCCGACCTGCAAATAGCCAAGTGTGCGTCAAAAACCAATAAATGATCCCGATATACATTAACACTGCCCCCAAAGCCAACCTAATTTCATGCGATTTTTGGAACTGCTCCCGCTTATGCTCGGTGGAAGGTGGCCGTTGGGTTTGGATGTCACGTTCTGGCCGCATCTCCACCACCGGCTCCGCTCTCCTCTCCTCATGCAAAAGTCCGTGGCGGGACAGGATTTTCTCGTCCTCCCTCCGAATACGCTCAAGTTCCGCCTCCCTTTTAGCGTGGTCGACCTCGTCCGATTCAGAAGTTCTAATGAAATAAAGGGTAACGAAAAAACCGGGTGCTCATGCAAGGAACCGAGCTTAAAAGCATACCTTGATAGGCGCGGCTGTTGTTGCTTAGAATCGTAAATATGTTCGGTTTCTTCGGTTCTTCGAAGGCCCGATGGAGCGGAAGCATCCTGAATCGAAAGTAGAAAAACTGAATAAAAAGTACCTTGATGATTTCCGACTGCGTTCTGGTGAAGCTTTGGGCGGAGTTCTTTTTCTCGGTGTCTGCCGTCTTGGCAAATGGACGATCTTCGTCACTTTCGGTGTGGGTAACATGTGCAGGTTGGTGTGTCGGCGACATCGAATAAGAAGTTGTCCTAGGAAAGTGTTTTTGATTGAATGTTTCAAAAAACCTCGTGGTTGTCGTTTCGGTCGTATAATCCGGAGCAGGGTACGAGTCGTAATGGCCTCTGGTTGGTGAGACCATCCTATCGGTGGTCTTCTCCTCGAAAATCTTGCCTCTGGGCCCATAAGTTCCGGAAGAACGTTCATGAGTTCGTCCATATGTAGGCGAGGTTCCACTAAAGGTTCCAATTTGACATGACCACTACGAGACAAGTACGTTTGTGAGAAGCATCAAACAAGTTAACGAAGGGATACCGGAATGTGCGCTCTTCGTGCTCATAGCTCGTGTAAAATGGCGAGCGGCCTTCATCTCCGGTAGAAGTGACTGTTGTTTCTTCGAAATCTCTTGGCGGAGAATGCGGACGTTGCCGCTCGTAGTGACCGTATACCGGTTCGGCTGACCGTTCTGGGCTTTCCTTTCTTTCGTAGCTAAAAGCGGGTAGTGCAAAAAGCTTCAAACAAAGCAAAGCGGGTCTTTGGTAAGCAAATACCGTTCATAAGCGGAGGCATAAACCGGAGACTCAGATCGGTGTGATTCGTAGTGCTGTTGGGATTGGGTCTGTTGTTCTTCGTAGTCCCTTCTAAAGACAAATCAAAAGTGCGATGACACTCAAAAACAACGTGGGAAAGCGAAAATTGACATCTTCTCACAAAATGCGGGCGGTAAGGAGAAGCCAAAAGAAGCGCAGCTTACGTTCTGAGAGGGAACTGTCCGTAGTCGTGCTCGACGGGCGATTCGCGACCTCTCGGCTTTTCAACAGTGCCTGGTTCTCCATATTGAGCTACGGTGTAGCCGATCTTAAAGAAAAATAGAAGTCAGGCGATCCCTTCCTTACTTTTCCGGATTCCCTTTCGTAGTCAACCGGTGGGATACGAACACGCTCCTCTGCGTAAGGTTCTACCTGCTCAATTCGGCGTATCCTCTCAGTCGATCTAGAATTGCAATTTCTACACGATTTGCGTTGCACAAACCCGATGTTGGTAGGATGTTCCACATAGGATCCAGATCCACGACGATGGCTGGCCAGGATAGAAGAGGAACCTTGCTCCAAGTAGGCTGATCGAGGAGAGGTTGACTTCGGGGAGTCGGATCGCTTCAGGATGCTGCCATGGGCAGAGGTGGGATCAGTGGAGTCAGCTAAAAGCCGACAATAAGTTTATTTAATATTTCTTACGGCGCGAGTCGCCCCTATGTGCTGGGCTCTGTCCGGTGATTCCTTCGGCCCATCCTTGACGTGGTGAGTCGAAACCTACACGAGTAATCGGGAGCACTTATACCCTTACCGGCTTTTTCCCTTTCAAGCGTGGACGAATACGAGTTGTTGACCTCGCGATGCGGAGAGTACGAGTGGGACACGCGACCGGTAGGGGCATAGCTCTTCTCCCAGGGTTTTCCGGGGCGGTCCTCTTGCCGTTCGAAGCGGCTACGCGGCGATCCAACATCCTTGATCAGGGAGGCGCTTCGCAAGTCTTGGGAATACGGCTCAGCTGATCGTGTCCTTGTTTGGCGGAGGAGTGTAGGTGATGTAGGGGAGGTTGGGCCAGTTGGGCTGCGTGCTGAATAGCCGCCAGCGATACCTAAATTTAGGTTATGTTAGCTACAATTTGGCGCCGTTGCTCTTTTTCAAACTCTGAACACTTCCACGTTTTCATTTCCCCCGCAGCGTCTGCAAACGCGGCCATACCAGTTCGCAAAATTTCCCTAATCTCATTCCCCCCTTCGATCTCCCTTTCCACCTCTCTATCGCAACATAACGAATTCCGGTGATACAGTTAAATTTCGGGTCCGGGCTCAGGGATTGCCGATTGCGGCCGTGTCCCGACCGGTTCCCATGCCATTCCAGGGATGGAGGGGCAGGCCGAAGGTGGCGAGCGAGAAATGGAAAGGGAAATGTTTGGACCCCGGGACAACAAATATAGGGCCACGTAAGGACCGTCATACAACAGATGGCTACTGGACGATCGGACTTGCCTGTATTGAAGGTCGTCCTGGTTGGGGAACTAGGCGACAGTGACGAGTAGCCGGCTAACGGGGCCTGCACTGTTGAGCCGACTTGTTTTGGTAGGATGTCGACCTTGATGGGGCATCCTGAAAACGGCTGTTTTCCCAAGGTTGAGAGGATTTGAGAATGGAAAGTTTTGGTAGGGCTCAATCCGCTTTTGACACATTTACCTCGCCGGCAACAACAATTCAAGCGGCATTCTCCCCCGTCTATTTGTTACTATTGATTTGTTGACAAAGGCCTCTCAAAGCATCCCTCCTACCCTCCCACAACCAACCACTAGAGAAACAGTAATTCCATGAGCCCGACACAAAGAGGCGTGCCTTCTTGAAATGCCCCCGACAATGGAACGCTGTGATTTCTCGACTTCCCCTCGCCTCGTGTCCTTGCGGTAAACCTTGCCCAGATCGGGTTCTGGTAATCGAAATCGGCAACCGAGGCGCCGACAAGTGGCATGTCTTTTTGTGGGAAAAAGATTAATGAGCGACGGCTCTCCGCGGTATAGGATGTTTCGCGAACGGGATACGAACCCCCTCAAAAACAGCTGTTTTCTTCAACGGGATGAACATCGTTTCACACTTACCGTGGACAGCTTCCCCGTTAAAGGTCACGTCGATCACATAGGTGCCAGGATGTTGTGGAATGAAGGTGACGAGGCATCTAGGCAGAATGGGCTTGGAATTTCGACTTTATCAATTGTACTGTTTTTTTAAACATTTTTCGACAAATAATCCAATGCGCGCGCTCTTCAAACACGATTAGTAACCCCGGGAGGGGGGGGAGTGCGCTGGAGCGCTGCCCAGCGAAGCAACGAGGCAAATTGAGAAGGGCAACCCCCAGCGAAACGGGACTACGGCATGAAAGTGAGCGCCGTTTGACGCTAGTTTGATGGGGTTGGGGGTGAACTTGAAACGACTAGTCACGTGATTTAATTGAGACTAAGGGAGGTGAGTTTTTTTTTGGTTGAAACTGTCTGGTTAAGGGAATATTTCAAGGCTCGCAAAGCTAAGCAAGGAAAGTTCAATTTTTGATAAAAAGTAGAAAGCTTTGGCATAGCTATTTCGGACGGATTCATGAGTTTAAAGATAAATAGCAAAATTCAAGAACCAACCTGCCAGCCCCCTGCATCTGCACATTGTTCGGCACACGGCCCTGGTTGACGGAAATCTCGAGTTGTCCCTTGCCCGCATCGACGGCATCAACTGCAGGTACAACATATACTTGTGAATAGTAGTTGAGTGTGGCCCCGGGGGCCCGGCGCTCCTCGACTCGCCGGGTTTCCTCTACGCGCTCCACCACCTCGCCCGAGGCATTCCTGTTGATCACTTCTTTGGTGACCGTCTCCACGGTCTCCTCCAATATGAGACGTCCCGGGGATCTGTGCAAGTGTATGGGTAGGAATGGTTTATGGAAGGAGTTTAGGTCGTGCGATCTATGTTTTTTTGAAAACGTCAGGCGAAAACGAGGTGACGCTTTTCACCGTCTCAAGCAAATGCGCACGAACACTTCCCATAATCCATCCCAACCCACATACCTGGGAGACAGTAGCCGTGGTGTCGACGAGTGACCAGATACCGTACGAATATGCAAGGGCTCAGTCACCCGGCTGCGCGGGTCCATCACCAATCAATTTGACAGCGCCCAAAAATCGCCGGTAACTATCAGTAGCCCCCTCACCGAATATGGCGGGGAAAGAGAGGGGGAGGTTGAGGGTGGAGGCAGAGCAATACCTGGCCGACCGGTCTGCGCGATGGCAGCCCCCGATCCCGAGAGGCTGGTGTGGTGCGGGGCGAGCCAACGCGAAAAGGTAAAATTGTGTGTGCTGGCAAAGAGAGGTGCCCCGGGAACGGAGCACCGCCCAAATAGCAAAAAGCGCGCTTACCCCCGTTGGCGGAGAAATGTGGTAAACAATTGGAAGGTCAGCATCCGTGAGGGGGGGATGTTTGGGGATTCAGATTTGCTGGATTTATTGGATCCCGGACGTTCTTCCAGTTAACCCTCTGTTAGAACAGCGTCCCACTTTCTTTACTCACCAACAAACTGCACGGGCTTCCCGGGTTCTCCACCGCCAAGTGGTTCGAGTCGAACTTTGTCGGCTGAGTAGCCAGCTACAGAAAGCGGGCACTCATCGACTTTCCTTCCGGCAATCCAGACGTTCATCTGGTGTTCACCGACCTAAAATGATTCAATCGGTTTTCTCCTTCTCATTATTTTAACTCTTGTGTTTTCCTAACAGCCAAAACTAAAAGAAGGTTTCTGGTTGGTTACTCACCTTCTCCACTCGATATTCCACTCGAAACTTTCCAGAACCTCTTGGCAAGATTTTTATTGGCAGCTCACGCCCATCAGGCCCTAGTAAACAATCATTCTATACCCGTCTAATCTTTTACCTGTGATTTTGGCTTCAATATCTCCCAATTCAAGCCCCTCGCCAGCGATCTCAAAGCTGGATACTTTATCCACCGCCGCTCGGACCAGCCCGATGCCCGTCAATTCGGAGTAGTATGACATTGCCCTAAAAAATAGCCTTCTTTGTGTTGTTTTCTTCAACCAATTACCGATTCGGGTGGGCTTTCCGGTTGAGCGTGCCCCGATCCCCATCGGCTTCCACCCGCCACGGCGAACCGCGAACACCTTTAATTATGCGGGATCGACTAAGGGATGCTGCTCTTGCCACTTACTCTCTCCGTTAAACCGCATCTCGACGGTGTGAGTGATGGGCTCGGTCGGGGTAAACAGCGCCAGATATTGACGGGAGCCGAGATCGCGCACCTGAACGGGCCCGCAAAAATATTTGAAGTTGCCAAGTGGTGTAAAGTGACATTTTGGGGGTGAGAATTTCGCGGCTGTTGATGAAATTTAGTGGTATCTTATGGATTGATTTAGGGAAAAAAGAATTTAGAGGCAAAGTCGACAAATAAAGCTTTGAGCGAAGCAACGGGGAAAAATCAAAAGTTATCGCGAAAACAAATATTGAACAAGGTTGTCAACAATAGTAGTAGTAATAGTGGAATGAGGTCAGAACATGGCTCACCCTGCATGGAACGCGGCCTCCATTGATCATGATCTCGAGATTCCCCGATCCGGCCGCCGAGGCGTCGACTGAATATGGATATTCGGTGAGAAAGCGAGCCCACACAGAACCAACGCTGTTCCTTTTGGTGAGGACTTAGTGGGTGGATTATGGAAATGGTAACGATTTTACGGAAATTTTGGTATTAGGATGTTTTTGGAATTCCTTCACTATAATAAACCTTATTTTCCCGAGCGAATTTAGGTTTACAAAGAAAAGCTATATAACCATTGCCATTTCCAATCCTCCCATTTACAATACCACTTATTAACGTTCGTATCCGACCCATACCCACGTTGCCTCCGGGATTTACCAAAACATCCTATAACAAAGGCTTACCCATTGCATGGAATACAAAAAATGAAAGAACAATGTATAAATGCCAATAGGAAGCTTTGGATGAGGGCGTAGCCAAGGACTGTCGATTGGGTGTGGGAAAGGCGGCACAATTGTATCCGGGATTCTGAAGTGGGCACCACGCGCGAAGAGAAAGGGGCAAGTAAATAGGAACATGGTGTTTGTCAACACGGCCGTTCGATCGACTTTTGTGGCGTTTGACTTGTCTTGGGCATTAGGAGGATTTATAGTAAGGTTGTTCTTATTCAAATCAGACTGCCAAAAATTGTTGTTAAAATGGGGATTTTGATTGAATTTTTTCATTTGATTACTTCAGAATCCGATAGCAAATTTGAATATTCTAAATTCACCGATCGTATTCTCAATAACAATAGACAGGAGGTACTGCAAAAGGAAAAAAAGTCATTGAAATTTCTAGAGAAAAAAGAAGTTTTAAACGCCCAAGTTTCTCAGCAATAAAACAGGCCCCGTCCCCATCGGTAGGATGGTTCAAAAACTGTATACAACCACCGCAAAAAAGGTTGGCTGACTCAAGCGGGGCGACGGTCCTATGAAATGGATCGAGAGCCGAAAATTCAACCCTTTCACCCGAGCCGGGTAATCGTCGGTCGGCGCCACGGCTATGTGGGCCCACAGCCACACGCTATAACCGAAATGGCAGTCACTCGACGGAGGTCGTGCTCATTTTTACAGCCCCAAAATTGCATTAACGGGGTTCACCCACGGCAAACGCCGGCAAAAACATAACCCGTTCGGCAAAGGGAGAATTGGTTCCAAATGCATGGCAAATAAGAGAGGATGAGGCTGATGGAGGTATTTTAAAAACTATTTTAAGGCGGCAATTTGGGTATGGACCGGAACGTTTGAAACTTTGATGCAATAATAATCGGACTCACTTTCGAAGGACAAATCGTTCTGGATGTCGGATTCGCGGATTCGGCGCGGCATGGAGCGGACAGCAACTCGTTCTGGGTCTCCAACATTGCATACAAATGGGCCTTCGTATACACTCTGGCCGTAGAGCTTTACATCAACGGAATGTTCCCCTGAATCGAAACTAGAGGGCAAGTGCTTTTTATATACCTGCTTCCGTTGGTTTCCATTCTACCCTGAAGGTTCCATCATCTACCGGAGATACACGGCCAAATTTAGTTGCCCCGGTTGGATCTTGAAGGACTTTTTATATATTAAGAAAAAACATAAATGTACAAACTAATCTAAAAACTGTGCAGCTACTTGTCAGAGACAAAAATGACATAGCACTGGTAATTTTTGGCTAGAAAAATGTAACTAATAATCGTTTTTTTGCGATACGCTACAATGTCAGAAAATTCCTTGCAAAGCCATTCAAACATATGCCCGCAGCCAAAAACACTTATAAAAACATAAACTTACAAGCAACTACCAGCCATCAGAAGGCGTTGACGAAGACATTGTGACATTGAAGACGTAGACGTAGTGGTGGACAGGGTGAGGGACAGGCGAAACAAGGACCAGACAAGACACACAGACAAACAAAAGCACACGGATAGTGAAAGCTCGAGGACTTCCTGCTACCTGTGATCTGGACACTGATATCCTTGGTTTGTGCTCCAACGGCATGAACGCTGAAACTGGCGCCACGTCCGACGGAAGCCATCCGAAGATTTTCGCCGTACACCGACACCGAGCTTGCATCAGCGATATCGAGGAGGAAAGGCGAGCCTATAGTTTGTATTTTTAATAAGAATCATAGATAATATAACAATTTATAACACTATCCATTTTATCTGGTTTTTTCTGACCTACCTTTCACATCCATTTTGTTGAACAACACGTGGATCTTATATTGTCCAGCCCCGTCAGGTGTGAAAATTGCCGTGTATACCTGATCATTGCGAATGTTTAACGATCCTGTAAATACACAATTACCTCCTGATAACCTTGTCTTTCGAGGGCGGCCGGAATATGTCGGCCGTGGCGGAGGACGGAGACCTAAAACGCACGGGTTTTCATTTCCGGATTCCATAGGAAAGGGGTTCAAATTCAAAAGACTACATTCAAGTTTACAGAATTCAAAGTTTGTTAAGCACATTATGAGGGCAGTTGAGATTGACCTGATTCTTACCGGAGGAGAGACAACGCGGTTTCCGCTGTCAAAAGTCTCACATCACTTTTTAGCACAAACTTTTTGCATGCGGGTGGCGGGAGAAGATTGACAGTCGGAACTGGCAGGAAACCCACGGGAAGAGGATGAGAGAAGGTGCGAAAAAGGCATCGAAAAACTAGGGCAAATTCCGTGCAAATAAGGAGCGGGGTCTTCAAGGCTCGATAAATATATAATTTGCTTATTTTTTAAGCAAATTACGAAAAACACAGTTATCAGCATAAGACCTAAATACCAAGTTTCGAAGACTCGGAGATGAAGCATATAAATTTTCACTTTTGGGGATCGCAAAGTATAGGTCGTATGGTAGCATTTTTCAAGATAAAGTGGTATTAGTAAAATAGAATTTGAGATGCCAAGGCAAATCGCAAGGTTCTGCTGAAAACATCTTCTAAGTATCGACGGCTTAAAAGGTCACGTCGCCCGAACACCCAGCATTCTCAAAAAGGAACTACGCCCCAAAATGCGTGAAATTTTTCGGGAGAAATGGCAGAAAATCAGCGGCGCAAGGGGGAAAACCGGCCACGGCATTGATAGATTAGGGCTATTTGGTTGATACTATAGGTATGTGGATGATGGTGGTGGTGCTGTTGTGGGGGCAAAAGGACTAAAGGAGAGACTCTGTCCCCCACTGGTGGGATTCGGGCCGGTCCCCTTCCAATTGAAGGTCATCCCCGCATCCCAGCGTCCACACCCCAACAGCAGCAATCTAAGACATCCTCCCCTACAGCCACACCGTGGATACTCCCACCCAACCACCCAAAAACCGTCGAAGAGAGCCATCTCGACCTCCTCCGTATCCACCCCCCTCTTCCCCCTCCCTACCACCCTGTACAACATGTTTATGGCCGAGCAACCGTTGGGGCGCGAGGGCATAGATACATGGATAATTGGTGGTATCCTACAACCATCGCTCACAGATAAGTATAGGATCTGAAGCTCCAGGGATTGCGAGGTGACTATCCGGCCTCCAACCACCGCGTCAGCGCCTGGTATCACATAAGGTCTTTGAGGGCTTTTTGCAGTTGTGCTCAAAAGCCCATTAAATCAAAGCTAGGGGGTGGTGTTGGTGGCTGAACTGATGAGGGAGCAAAAAAGGAGTAACGGTAGGTCTATCGGAACGATAAAGAGCGAACCTAAAAACGTTCCGCCAATCTTATCGTTAGCGGTTAAATCTGCCCCGAAGTTCTAAAGATCTAGCTGAAGAAGACACCTTGGGATATCAATAGCAAAGGACAAGCTTTTACACTAAAACTATGAAAACAAATGTGTAACATGCCAAAATCAAAGTCCGTGTGTCGGGAAAGTTGAAGATGACGAGGCGGTGTCCAGACCGCAAACAGGCAACAATGGGTTTTGCTTGAATAAGAGGGAATGTTTGTAGAAGGCGTTTGAGTAATCAAAAATAATATAATTTGAAGCTAGTCATGATAGAGGAACTCACAAATAAAAATTGATGCTAATTAAGCAAGGAAGAAAACTAGAATTGAGCAGAAAAGGACAGTGATTATCAGATCCATTGGGTTTTTTGAATAGATAACTTGATATCGAGCTTGAAGAGAAAAATCGTGGTGAGACGACCTAATTCAAACTATCAAAAATGAAAATTACCCAGGAAGCCAACTGAAAAGATTAGCCAGACAAGATCAGTAAACAGAACGCCTGGTCAAGCCAGGCAGAGCCCAGGATTGTTGATCGAGATGCCCCACCGCGACATGGAGAGAAATTAGGGATGAGCTGTGGGTTGGCAGTTCTACCCGGGTGGGGTCTTGTGGACGAATTGCAAATAGCAGTCTTCCTTCCACCCCTGCCGCGTATCATTCCTTGGGGGGTGTCGTGCTACGCCGGGAATCCCGGCGAATTCCTGGAGGATCAGCGCCCCCACCCGAATCCAATCCACCCCATGCTCACAAACATCGGTCGAGCCAAACGAGGGATCCCCCTCACCCCTGCACCTCTGCGACACCAAATCACCCTGTTCACAGCATATTAACGAGAAGCGGCATAAGTGGGGGATGAGGGGGACAGAAATGATTGTGAAGATAGATCAAGGGATTTGGGGGATCTAGGCACGATATCGACTATTTGTGATGCCAGGATCAGAAATCTACTATTATGTACGACTTAAAGGGTTTGTCAAGGAATAAACTGGTGATCAGATAAATCCGGCACAAAAAAATGGAATAAATTGGTCACGAATTTCATAGTCCCGAATTTTGCAAAACGGAAATCTTGCAATGTCAAATTATCGTAGAACCAAAATTTTAAATTCATGAATTTGCATAATATGACGCTACTTATCATCCAGTTTTTCAAATCACTTAAATTCCGCATGATGAAAATTCCAAACACTAACAATAACCCAAAACACCAGCATATCTTACCTCGACCTCGCCCAACCCAGCTGCCGAAGAATCAATCGAAAAACGGAGCTCCTGCCCGACGAGCCCGACGTCAAGCCCGTAGACGTTCACCAGGTTCGGGTCGTAGACCTAAACACCTTATCACAACAAGCTTCGAAATTACCTGGCAATCAAAGGGTGACCCCTGAATATGTGCCTCGTCGTAGATGATCCCAATTCGCCAGGTACCTAAAAGAAATGGCTAACAAATCGTTTTTTTTTGTCAATTTGGCGCTTTAACGAGTCACCCGCAGCTTCGTCCCCTGAAAATTTGGGCCGACCTTGTAGCCAGCCACCTTGTCCCTCAGTACGGCCAATTTTAACGGGCGAAAAGTGCAACTGGCTGTGAAGGGATTGGACTCTGGGAATCTGGGCTGCCGGGCAAATTGGACTTCTCGGGTTTTTCGGGGGTTATCGACTAGAGGCTAGGTTCATGGAAGGGTTAGAATCTTTGAAAATGGCTGCAAAAAAATATGCTGACTGACAAATAAAAAACACCAAAGGAATTTCTTAGAATTAGAAATTTGAAAAAATCAAGATACTTTCAAGGCCGTATCCATAGATTAAATAAAATTGTACTCTACGCTTAAAGTAATGAGAGACGAGAAGGTTAAGGGGTTTTATAAAGGTTCACACGTCAGGGTATATCCCAGCGTATTTTCCTTTACTAGATTTTAGTCATATACGTCCTTCCCCACCATCCTCATCCCCATTTTCCACCCACTCCTTTTCAACAAACGGTAACCGATTTGCATCTGCAAGCCTCCCTTTCGGGATCATTGTGAACAAGGACGAGTCGCGCCCAGATACGATCGCCCAGCGGGCATTTTTATGAAAATTCGGCATATCCGTGTTCCAGAAAAAGCAAGGAAACAGCAGCACACCCACCGACTTCGTCCGGGTTGAAAGTGGCCGCGTAAGAGGTACCGCTACGCTCTACGGGGCACTTCATAATACGAGATGTTGGTGATTCGGCCTGGACTTTCACTTCACCCCTCGAAGCATCGCCGTGTGCATTAATCTTATCGGCTTTGATTTGGTAATTAGAACGTGATTACCACAACTTCTACGATCGATCCGACGACGCATGGTTCTGTCAGCCCGGAAAATGAAATGAGACCCACATCCGATACAGTCCGAGTACGACTCATCCTCTTGATCTCACGCTCCTAAATGGATGTGAATAATTCTAATAGGAATGTCCATAAAAATCTAAAACCTTGAGAATAAAATATAAGGTAAGGCTTTACTTTACCCCCCCCCGGCTGGAAGTTCCAAAAAGCTTTTCGCTATAACTTTTTATGTTACGTTATTTTGGTCTGTAATTCAAATTTTGAGTACTTTTATTATGCTCTATCAAATGGCGCAGCAAAAATCTGGCCAAAATGGCGGAAATGTCGAACATTTTTGTGAACTTCCGACCCGGGGGCGCAAAGTAAAACCTAGCCAAATATGATTTTATACCGTTTGCCCGTATGAATATGGCCTCTCGTTCCGGGTGATCGTTTCACGGTACGAAATTTCCTCAGTTTCTTGATATTGCGTGTAGTCAGGCCTAAAAACGGACCAATTACCAGTCAATGGCTTCCGAAAACGAATAATGATCCTATTCCCTAACCCCTGCAACTTTCCCTTTTTTTGCCTTTTCCCCCGCAATTCTCCAAAAAATAATATCCGTTTTGATCCCCCGGTGTGGAAGCAAAGGGTTTTTGACGGACTCGGGAGATCTCTCGCGGTAACTGTGGCGAGTCTTCTCAAGTCGCTCCTTTTGCTCTCGTTGTTTCTTTTCGATGCGAACGGCACTCTCCCTCTGCTCCTCCAACTTCTTCACAATCTCGGCTCGTCTCTTGGCGAATGACTGATTCTCGATGGCCACCTAGAGAAGAGAGGGGGGGTCGGGTGGTAAACAAACAATCGGCAACTTGTCATGAACTTTCTTTTGCGGTAAAGTATTTGTTGCAAAATTCAAGGCAGGATTTTTAAAATTTGCTTATGATTATTCCATACCTCCTCGTTGGGGCTCGCCCTCTTGGTGAAGCTAAGGGTGCGGCGTATTGGTGCTTGGGGAGTCGGAGGTTCCCTAGGAAAGAGCATGGCTGTATAAGAAATTTAATACCTGGTAGCTTCCGGTGAGAGGACTTGCAGGGAAACCGGGCTCGACGGGAGCTCGATGCCTTGGCACAAAATCCGGATCTGGAATTTCGGATTCATGGATTTTCGGGCAAAAAAAGGATCAACGAAGATAGATTGCTTTTGGGATCTCTAGGAGTTGCGAAGCCAGAGGACCTGAACCCTCGCGGAAAAGTAAAATTTTGCATGCAAATTCTACTCCTCGAATTCTTAACGGAATGTAGAAGCTTATAGGCAACAATAGCAAATCTTGGAACACAGTCAATCTATCCCAATTCACAAAAAAACGCTACAAAAACGGCTGCACGTTGTGTGTTGCCTTTGCCGCCCGGCGGTGCGACCGGAAAAGCCTGACCCAAATAGTGAGAATTCCGGGGTGGCAATGATTAGTGTGGCTCAATCAAAGCCGGCTGTACAGAACGGCTAAAGGGGGAGGAAGGCTTGATGACAGAGATATAGGCTCCCGGTTGGCGGATATGGGCAAAGCAGAAGGGTCAAGGCCCCCAATCCAGCCCCATACTACCGTTTACAATTGCCAAACATTTACTCCCCGCGATCGGCCTTCTTATGGGGCGAAGGGTGGTGATATAGTAATTCAGATGTAGTATTGTGTTTGTGGGGAAAACGACGCTTTTTCTAGTTCAAGAATTAAGGATGGTGCCTTAAAATAGAATGATTTTGCGGAAAACATAAATATTTTTTAATCAGAGCTTTTACTGCCATTTTGGGCTTGAAACAAAAATTAAATAAATCAAAATTTAACAAAAAATAAACTGCGATTTTGTCTAACGTAATTAGTGAATTGAATGTGGTCATTAAGATTTGTTAATTTAGAAGATAAGTTTTGTAGGTAAATTGCATAGATTTCGAAGGGTTTTAAGTAAGTCGGCCTTTAATAAAAAATTTTGAAATTGAGACCAGCATCCTAAGACAAAAAATATACCACCACCAGGGCCGTAGCGATCCCCGATTTTTGGGGGGGGGCAACTCCAACAAAAATTTTTGGCAACGTATCAAAACTATCAAAAACAGCGCCGCAGGCGAAAAATTTTGAAAAACTTAGGGCTCTGACAGTAAAACGTCTTAAAACAACTTAAAGGCGCCGCAGGCAAAATTTCACGAAAAATCTGGGTCCCCCTGTTTTTCGGCCTTCGGCCGTTTTGGGGGGCAACTTGCCCCCCCCCCCCTCCTACGGGCCTGACCACCACCACCCGGCGGAGCAAATTATTAACACACTCGACCCCGGTACATAATTGACCCCGGACGTACCGCCAAATTACCATATAAACAAGGTTTTTATGACCAACCCTCGCCTAGCCGCATCATCAAACAGTGCAGGGGACTGTTATTTGAGCCTATAAACATAGAGCGCCCTACCGGAAAAATAGAATAGCCGCAAAAAACTACTGCTTTCTCGCTATCGCTCAAATTGATATGCGTAGAGGGGGAGAGGGGTATATATTTACAAATAGCAGGTGTTCGTTCCAACAAAAGGTGCAAATCAGGGGTAGAGGAAGCGTGTGCCCCAACCGATTGGACGACCTCCAAACGGATCACAGCCATACCTCCTTCCAACCAACAGCCCCAAAATACCCGAGTCAGGGGGCAAAGTGCCCGCCATTCGGACCCGGTACCGCCCCCATACATAGCATTTGGAACGGCGGATGCCGAGAATACAGCGGCTACCTACTCAAATCTCCCACTCTCACCGCCCAATCAATCTACCACCCCCCCCCCCAACCCCCTCAAAACGGAATTAAAATCGGAAAAACTCGGGGTTGGTTGCCGGCAAGAAACGGAAGAACACCCAGGGTATCCCCCCCTTTCCGAAAGAATTCACACCTCCCCTCCCTCGCAAACTTTTTGTTGTTCAGCCACCACCAAAAAAGGCAGACATTGAAAGGTGCTGGGATGAATACGCCTCGTATCTCCCAGCGACTGCGATTCCTATGTAGGCCCCCGAAAACGGATGTGAATAAGTATAGAAGCGGAAAGTTTGTACAAAACTACCTATGATGCGGCCATTTCAATAGCATATAACAATTCAAATTTTTATAAAAATATTAAATTCAGTGATTGGGCTGCAAAGGGTTCTTAATACGACACATTGTTTTCCACGGAAACCACATGTGCTAAATTATTAATTGACCGAAAAATTGACCACCCTCCAGATGCCACATAATGACTATCCCCGCCAAACAGAAAAATATTTATCAACAAGATCATACCTGATGATAGCCAGCCTGGATCGGCACCAAAGAAAGCACAGCTCCTTGAACTGTACGGCTCTTCCGGACTTGAAGCTCCTCCGGATCCAACCGTACTCCCGATGGATCGAGCACTAAATAGATTTTCACCTATAAATCCAGGAGACCAAACCTTCGATCTCCAATTCCTCGGTTCTGACCTCACCTCCATCCGCAAATGCCAGGTCGAGATTGACCTGGATATTTGTGAATTATTTAATCCTCTTTCATACTTGTTGGTTCGTATAGCATTGAGTAGTGGGAAAAGAGGCGGTTGGGCCAACGGTGCACAGCGCCGCTGCTAATGCCATGATGCCTAAAGTTAATGATATCAAGTTAGTTTTAAAAGGTTTGCCTAAATGTTCTCCTTGAGCATCAGCTATATCTTCAGCTCCTACTAACGAGCCAACACCCAGATCGGCAGCTGCTTCGAGAGCTTAATTAAATAGGTGATGAAGTGGCAGGGCTGACAAACCGCATTTCACATTATGAACCCAGCTATGATAATCGTCGTATTGCATCTGGTCAATCTCAGGCACTTGCCCGCCGACTGATTCAACCAGTAAACATAGGATATACCCGTCGCACCATGAAGCCGAAAAATCTTCAACTATCGATTCGGAACCGATTAACTAAAACGTTAAAGGTATAGGATACTTATAGGATTTAGCATACCTGTTGCACCCGGTTCATCGTCGACCGATACCCCGGGGAGCCCTTCTTGACAAAATACGACAAATATGTAATGCAAGACAGCTCATCGAGATCCGGCGAACACAGGTGGGCCGCAGAAATTATAGATGGTATCCCAAGGTATCGCTCGGCAAGGCCCAGCGCCCGTTCGCAATTCTCTTCCCTAAATAATAGCGCTGATTCGGTGGATGCTTGACGGCCCGACAGCCCACACATCCGGCTTCAAAAAATCTGCCATTGAAATCGATGTGGCAAATAATGCTGAACCGAGCTAACAATACCCTCCCCACACACGCACAGCTGGGCCCAGCCAACCATTGTTGGGCCCAGACTGACGTATTTTTTAATTTTTTTTTATAAAATTATAGCAAATTTAACCGGTTTCAAAACTTACTCTTGCTCCGGATCCAAACGGCTCCATTCTGGGCATAACCCTGGCTGGCAATATTCCAATAATGCCGACAATGCCACCCCATTGTTCCAATTTGAGCGAAAATTTGTGATTTTCAATTGTGGCAGGACGGACTAAATTTAAATTTTGCAATTTAATAATTTGATACCTGAATCCAAGCCATCATCAGCTTTTTTGGAGGAATTTTTGTTTTTGAGGCGATTTGGTACCGTTGAATCAAACTCCACACCAATCCGAGGATCAACTTTGCGTTCCCCTCAACAATGTCATGGCTTCCTAAAATCATTTTTATATAATTTTCTACCTGTTCCAACCTATATTTACAAGCTTAATCCCATCCCTCCGCATTGCATCCAGTGCCATTTGCACATTCATCAGCATTTGGATTTCTGTTGGATCTTTGCTGAACACCTGAGGTAAATTAATTTGATGTTTTGCCGTGTGGGCCCCACTTTTCCGGGGCACATTCGGTTTTGCAGGACTTCCACCAGTCGAATCAGGAGGACCCCATCGCTCAGGTCGTTTGACAGCTCATAAATTTTGTAGTCAGCTTCACGGAGCTGAAATTTCATCCTTAGGGGAGTTGGCAGAATTTGGTATTCTATTTTTTTTTTAAATGCTTGTCTATATTGGTAAATAAAAGCAGAAAATTCTAGCCTGTCGATTTTCTAGAATGAAAATGGCTCTAATCTATAATAATAATAATGCTTGTTTTAGCATAGGTAAATAGTGGATTCACGACAAGAGTAATGACATATATATAATATTTATCTTTTGTTGCTAATTTGAATAATTCAGAGTATCCTACTATATATAAAACATAGTGTTTGTGTGTGTGCATTTGCATGCAACTTCCGTCAGGGTGTCCGGAGGATATCTATGGGGGGAAGGGTATTAGGCTACGTATGATACGTCATTAGGTGCGTAATGAAGCCGAGATGACTGCACGCATATCAGATTTTGCAAATTATGCTATTTTCGACATTAAAAATCAATTTTTTTTAAACCGAGCAGCCTCTTTGTTAGGAATTAATTAGCATAAACCGGAAGTGGCGGAAGTCTATATAACGGCGGAAAGGATGCATTTTTCATTCTTTCTCATCGAAATTCGTTCGAATTATGCAATTTGCAGGATATCATGGGCTCAGACGGGGCCAGGGTTGAAAAGTCGCGAAGCGGCTTTTCAACCCTGGTCTCTCCTAAAACTGTTCACCTTAAAAATAAACAGTTGAAATAGGAATATTGTGTGGTACTTTCGATTAATAAGCGTTTTCAGTCAGCAGTTGTGTAATGTATTCTATTTAAGGCCGCTTAACTAATATAATTGAGAATTTTTAACTTTTTTCTCTGATCAGGCCTTCATTCCTGACGATTACCAGGCCACCAGTGACTCATTCCACGCTCCTACGCACTCACACGCACAGCGGCGTTATATAAGGGGATTGGTACTGCAACGGGAGGATCGCGAGCAAAGCATTGTTTACCGTTCCTTCATATTTTGACGGCTCCGGTAAACAGTATCGAGCCTTGAGGCCCTGTGCAGCATATTGATCGTGGCTTGCAGCTATGCCCCCACCACCACCATCGCACAAGCACTACCCCGCCCTGGGCTGAGAGACCGTTTAACCCGAATCGTGTTTGTGGACCTTCGAAGCCGCTCTTGCTCTCTCGCTCTCACTGCTATGTCTGTCTCTCCCTCTTTCTCTCGCACACACTTGCACACCAAGTGGACGTTCCGATTTCCGTGGCCCACCGGTGGACTAGGATATACGAGGGCTCAAGCGCGAACCGCAGTGAGGGTCATTTGAATACCGTCAGAAAAGTTTTACTAAAGAATTAATTATTTACTGAATAAAGGTATTGCAATAAAGTAAAATGAAACTACGAAAAATGCAAAATCTACATAGATACCTGCTAGAATCCCATGAAAATACCATTAATAACTGCATAAAAATCACGCCGAGGTAGGAAAGTAATAGTTGAATTCCCTGTTTTTGACATACTAACATGGGATTTGTTTTTACTAATGAATTTACAGGGTAGCGGACCGGTTGTCTCAGGTATTTATTATTTTCTATTTAAATAGAGCCTAGGCGTTTTCTTCGTAGGAAAACCCGAAAATAGTTAAAGATTTTACAGCGGCCAAGCAAATTCCGATCCTTTTGCTAACACCCACCTGTTCATTAATCCAATTCGTAAATGTGTGCATCTGAATATGCACCCATCTGGATCGGGGTTCTTCCGGTTTCTCATCAGGCCGAGCCGCCATTCGGCTACGGTAACTACTTGCGACGGGAATTAACGCTATAATCAGCTAGCCAGGCGGTTACTAGCGGCTTAGGGCTGAGAGAATGGTTCACACGTGGTTGCAGAAGAAGAGAAGAGCATCGGCAGCGGGCCAAGAAGAAGATGAGGTGATGGAGAGATGGAGGGGGTGAGGGAGTTGGCTGGAGCTGTGCGGGTTGCGGGTTGGTTTGGGACTGGGGATGGGCCCCCTTCTCGGTCAACAGTCAACAGGGCACGAACACACCCCCGCTTCCAGCCAGCCGTCATTTCAGCAGTAAGCTCCACGAACCTTATTACATTATTAAGTTCTACAAAGCTATTATCTACCTCCAAAAAGCTCATCTTCCTACTATACCAGCCTCAGTTTCTACTTGTATCAGCGCGTGTTTATTAAAGAACTTTGAAACCATAACGTAAGAACGAACAACGTAACGAATTATCCGCTTTTTTTGTCGTGTATTTTGGTCTATAATTTCCAATAAACGTTAATTTATTACTGGCCCTCACAAAAATCCATTTCAACGCACCCATCAAAGAAAGACACTGAAGATCACAACTCGCGTTTTGGGATAAGTGAATCACATTTTTCGTTCGCTAAGGCATGGCAAGGCTGGGTTGAATACTGAGTGTCATAAAACATAAATTATTGTTGCTTCTGCATCTCTTGGCGAAGCTGGTCCATCAAGGCTTTATCTTCTGGAGACGGGTCGTAGATGCGGCCAAGGAATACCTGAATTTTGGATTAGCATCGTTTCACTCGTCGCTTGCATACCTTATCCTTGAATAGCTTTCCAAGTAACAGATAGTTTGCAAACATTAAAAGCACTAGAGTGCAGATGTGCTGCCATTCAGTTGTAAGAACCAGCATCCAAAACTGCACAGCAATTAGGATGCCTTCAAAGATGCATAGATAGTTGACAAGCGTACAGGGGCCTTTGCAGATTGACTGAAAAATATGGCAAAAATTATTAAAAGCAACCGCTTAACTTACATAAAACATCTGATGCTCGTAATTCCCGGGTTGAGCAGCAACGGTTCCAAGTTCGGCGTTACCCACAGCCAAATATCTTCGTTCATCAGCAAGGCTTACAACGGATCCAGTAGGGTGTAGACCGTCTGTTTCTGCCCAACTAAAACGAGTATTTGTATAATGTTTCGTTTTTCAAAATGCGTCTGTACTACCAAAAGATCACTTACACTCTTCTCTCGTGATACCCTTGAACCCTTGAACTATCGTCCAAATGCTCCCATGAACCGAGATGCACGGCGGCACTATAAAAACTCGTTGATATTATAAGAATAAACATACCGGTGGAGCAAATCAATATAATTTAACGGAAATAAATATGTAATGTAAAGACTGAATGACGTAAGCGCGACGACGGCAAAAAGTTCGCTCTAAAGCACATTTTCAAACTATACAAAATATCTTGCCTCCCAAAACGCATCTATCAAGATTTTCTGTGGTAGTCCGAAGTTGGTTTTGTACTAAATAATGCATGGTTATATTTAGCATTTGTTTTTACCGGAGCAAAAACACATGGTAAATAAACTGAAAGAAAAGCCGTTGAAATCCCCGCGAAGAAGCATCTCTTCAAACGATGATAAAAATCTTCGGCCAGAATGGAAACTTCCTCACGGATTTGGGCTGAAAAAAAAGATCTGATCATTTGCTTCTGACGTTTTTTATACCTGGTTGTGCGCTACACATATGGGCAATCGATTCATGATCGAGAGATTGTGGTGCTGGTTCCGAGAAACGTTCAAAAATCTGAAAATTTGTAAATTTTAGCGCCCGATTAGTTTCTTACCTCAACGACCTCTACTTCACCACTAAACCATAGCCCAACAGCTTCCCGAACCCTTTGGTATTTGTGTTTTAATTCGCTATAGAATAAATAGGTGTAGAAGATCAACCTAAACGTGATTTATCGACCTTTATTTTTTGAATCCCAAGACTCACGGATAGAAAAACTGCATAACAAGTGAAGGCGGGAAATCGTGCCACACTTTTGTAAAGCTGAACATGAATGATGTAATGACCTAAATAAATCACTTTTAAACAGTTTATTCGGTTCTTACCATTGTCATCATTGGTGTTTTGATAAATGCATATTCAATAACGGTCAGCACCGATTGGATAAATTGATTTCGATTGTTAGAAAGCTTTGCAACCACTTCGGTGATCTAAATTTCGATTGAAAATAGTCTCGTTTAACCTACTGTTTTCCAAAAACAATTCGTCACCCGCAGCCCAAGTAGTAGACCGACACAAGAAAGAAAATACGGATTAATTTGGTGGAATTTCTAAATATTAGAAACCTTTTTTTAATTATGGTTTACTATGCTATAATGCCAATAAGATTTCGGCAACCACCATAGTGATTTATATAGATTTAAATATTGTAGAAATAAGGCCAGGACGGAGTATAGAAATAGTGTGCATTCGAAGAAGAGTTCGCCTGAATTTCTTTGAAGAGAAATGAGGGTCTGTGAGTTACCTGGCGTATTATTTTGTTCCGGCATAAATGGGTGAACAGATACGGTTAATCCAGAAGTTTCAAGTGGAGCACCACTAAATTTTGTCGTGATCTAATTATATAAACACTTACAAAACATTAACATGCACTGGTGGCCCATCATCTGTTCGCTGACCTCCAAAAACTGAGGCCCGATTTTTCCCTCGACCCATGGGATTTTGCCGTATTAATTTGAATAATTACAGTTTCGGAATATATAGTTAGAGCCTCGCAAGGAGTCGTGTGAGCTGGAGCCGAACCTGTTTCTCCCCGACAGACTACAGGTTTTTATGACCACTCCATCTAGAGAGGCCTCCACGCTACACCTATCGACCTGAGCCTTGCGAATTCTCTGTGATAATGCTATTGCTATAGCCAAACAAGGGCTACTCACCGCAAAACCCCCATGAAAGAGTTTGAACAACATATTGTTGATGTTAGTAAACAACTTGGATGGTAGGTTTTGAAGCATACTTCACTAAAAGCCGATTTAGTTCCTTTGCGGATGACGAATTAGTGCTGGAACAATGGACAACCGAAAATAGATTTGAATTTCTGTATCGATGTCTGTGGAAGATTGACCCAGAATTTCAGTAAGTCAAAATAAGCCTTATTTTATACCTAAAAAACTTTCCAGAGGCACACTATCGTCTTGGAAATTCCCGGAAAACATTGCTGGCAGATTCACAAAAGCTACCAATTTGGCAAATGCTATTAAGGTTGTGCTTCAATATGCGAATGAACATTGAAATTCTTTTAGGAGGCCGGGGTTCGGCGTGAATTCGGCCATCAAACTTTATTATATGGTGGACTGACCGACGTGGTTCCCCTTTTCTTGGACTTAATTGAAAGAATTCCGAAAAATGAAGCTTTTTTGGATGTGATAACTAGTAAGTAAGACCCCGCGCTTCGCAAACAGTATTCCAGGTTATCGGGATCAAAAGCTTGCTCAAGCCTGTGCAAATATCCGCCCAAGTTGGGTCCCAGAATTTTGCCGAAGGCTGATGATGAGCTTTGATGGGCGATATTGGTATCCAAAGGAGGTCAGTTTTTGTAATTTCAGATTTAGCCTGGTTACGCTTGTTTCTAGGGATTCCCAGAATATGTCAGTCCGTTCCAAGCTGTCGATTATTGGAAAGCTATTGAATCAGGTGGTGATAGTCGAGAATGGGTTGCTGCTTTAATCAGGTTTTTACATTAATACCCTGCGTTATAATTCTTCGATTTTAGGGTCGGAGGCCTAGATGGTCATTCCGGAAAATTGGTAAATCTACAAGCAACAACTTCTAGCGGGCCTCCGATTGCCGCTAAGCCAAAGTAATACCTTCTCTGAATAAGATAATCTGGCCTAGATTGAAACCTACGCCCCCTCCGAAACCAAAAATTGACACTCACGGAGCCGAAACCGAAGCAAGACTGACGCAGAAGAAAAAGCAACTAGAACAACTAAGATCGGAGCTTGATGATATCAAAATGAACATTGTCCAGGTATAGAGAAAACGTTTGCATTTTTATCCGACATAGGGCAAATGTGAATCCATGCTAATCGAGGACAAAATGGAACCGTTAAAAGCAGCGATGGCCGAGCAGGACGAACGATGGGTAACGCTATTGGAGAATCCAGTTGACGGACAAGCAAAATTACAGGTGAGCAAAATTTATTCGAAGATGATTGTCTTTAGAAAGCACTCGACGACAGTGAGGCTCGCTCCCAGAAGCTTGAAAACAAATGGAAAATTACTAGAGACGAAAAATTAGCGGTACTTGAAGAACTGAAACAACGGAGCGAGAATTCGGTAAGATCGACTCGGCAAAATATCCAAAACCTCATAATTTAGGCAGAAATCGAAAGATTATGTGCAAAAACCAAGGAAGCAATTACAAAACGCGAACAGCTTCTGGAAGATTCGGATGTGCGTCAAGCGTATTTGATTCGATTGGTAAGACTACCTAGCCCGAAAATAAGCAACATTTATAGCAAAAACGCTTGGAAAAGCTGGAAAGTGACGATTGTGATCGGATGGTATTTACAAGGCGAATCACAGAAATTGTCAACAATATAAGAAAACAGCAAGAAGATATAGAAAAGGTTAGCTAGTACAAACGATGAAAAATCAAAGTTTCAGGTGAAAAAAGACATCACCGGCTTGCATAAGGAAATTCGATGGTTGCAATTGACGATTAATCGATCCTTTGATTTGATCGAGGAGCCGTTATTCCAGGTATTGACCAAAAATACCCTATACAAAGTGATTTAGGAAACGCCAAACTCGATGAAAGGGGAGCGAATATATAAAAACTTCAATAAAATTCACAAGACTTGCAATAAGGCAATGGAATGTTTACGAAAACAGAGCAAGATTGCCCGTATTATTGAACATCTTACGGATAGGGTGGGTTGTTATTTCATTGTAAAATTTTATAGAACAATCATTTTGAGGCTTTTGAAATAGCGTATTTACTCAGCTTGACCTTCCCCATTTTCAGGTAGAAATCGGGCGTCAAAGTACGGTGGACTCTCAATTGGAACAGGTTCTCGCCGATCTCGAACAGGTGGAAAAAGAGAGAGAACAGCTCTCAGCGTTTGCTGGTAGCCAGGGGTCAACTGGCCAATGATCGAAGGGAACAATTATTTTCAAAATTCTTCATGTCTCTGTTAATGTAATTTCGACCCGGTAGTTGTTATATTGTGCATACCTATTTATCAGATTTTTTATCGATTCTGTGCGTATATAACTCGTCATTTGCCATTCCCAGCCTATTACGCGGTACTGCCCCCCAAAAACTGCGATTCCCAATATTTTTATGACATTACTTCAATTTAGCAGGTGCTTAAATTTGAATTGTTTGATACACCCATCATGCATAAATTATATTCGTATAAGTTACAGTAGTTAGATCGGTTGGGCGTTTGGGGTGGATAAGTTATCCCGGGGGTTGAGGCGAAGGTCATAGGAAAGTGGCGAACCCGCAAAATTTGGACAATAGTTTTGAATTGATACATAGAAATGGGGAGGTGTGATTGGGTTACCTAGAAAATTATCCAGAATCGGGGGAGTACACCTGAATACAAGCGGCAATGGAATTGATACGAAGTTTCAGGAGGCGGTTTCAGTGATAAATACGGCCTTGGAATCGATGTTTTGGGAGTTGAAAATGGGTATAAATAAGGAACAAACCGCAAAATAAATTAGGAATGCAAGGGGTATGATACAATGAGAATTGTGTTGGGAGTCAGTTTTATACCATATGATTTGAGGAGATGATATGCGTGGTGAACATGTATTTGTCAGCGCACAAATGGCCGCAAAGGTTGCAGCGCCACGGGTCGTGCTCCGTGTGCAATCCTTTGTGGAGTAGTTGTAGGGTGCGATCGTAGAACACGATGCCGCAGTGGTTGCATTGCTAAAAGTCCGGTGATTTTAATTAAGTGCAAATGAACTCGAGGGTATCTAATCGTAAGAAGTAACTTTGCGTACCAAGTCCTTAGTACTTGCATCATCAGAAGATCCTTCCCCAGATGAAGCTCCACTGTCCACCGATGGAGAATGAGAGTGATGGGCAGGGGGCGATGGCAACGACGATAGCCCATTCCCATTCAGCTCACCGGCCCACATTCGTAGAACTGTCTCTTTCGATTCCTAAAAATGATGTTATTAATTACAAATATTTAAGGACCCCAGAACCAAAATAAATCAATAAAATCCTACCGATATCATAGCGGCTTGTTGCGCTGCTGCCGTATTTGACAACGCCATCAGCAGATCTTCATTTGATAGAGAATAAGGCCTCTCATATTCCACCTTCACTGGTGGGAGCTCGGTCTTGATGGGAGCTAGTGGAGCTCCAAAGCCCTTTTGGACTAGATTCTGGATGTGACTCTGGAGGGCAGCTGCCATCGCAGCGGTTGAAGGTAGCATCGGAATTGGCTGGATCTAGAAATTCAAGTCATCTTCTTTTGTAATTTCAGATTTTTCTAAAGTCATATTGGCACTCCTTTTTCTTGCCATTCCCACAAAACCCACAATATTTGCGGTGGGCAAGACAGTCTGCGGCGTTATAGAGGCACAGACCGAGTTAGCGGTTTGTGATCTCTTCTTCCTGGGCTCACGTTTCCCCTCTCGCAAAATGGCAGACGCCTGAAAAACAATCGTAGTACTACTGAAGAACACCTGGACGTCTGGGTTTTTATTGGCACTACATACCACCTTATTAATAAGGATCTTATTGTTCTCGCTTTGCAGACTACGGTGGTTGCAAGTCAAGCAATTAGCTAAAACCCGGAAATTGTCGCTATCTTGAGTACTAGAAGGACCTTTTAATCCAAATCCTATTTCCTGCTAAAGCGAGCACGCCGACTCACCTCGCTGTCATCATGTTTTGTCTGGTAATGCAAAAGCAGACGCCGGGAATTTGAGAAGAGCAGCGTGCACCTAAAGGATCTCTTCAAACCATGTTGAAATACGAACAGCTTGCAGCTGGCCGGAGCTGAGGTGGAGATGATGTGTGTTTCATCAAGATGGGCACGAAGGGTTGAATGTTGGGTGAAAACCGCCGGGCAGCCAGCAACTGGACAGTCGAAATCGGCCCCGGTTTTGATATGAGTCATCGAATGCTCTTGCATCTAAAATGGTAATTGCGGGGTTTTTAGGGTGTTACAGTACCTGATCTTTTCTGAAGAATCGCTTCTTACAGTAACGGCACTCGTACGGTTTTACACCGGAGTGTCGCATCCGGTGGCGATGCATGTTGGCTTTTTGGCTGAACTGCATTTGGCAGACATCACACTGGTACATTTGGCCCTGATGACGTTCGTGGGCTTCCTATAACGTAAAATGATAAAATTATGGGATTTTTGGTGAAAGAGTCGTGCCCCTCCTAGAGGCCCTGAAACCAACAGAATCGAAAACAAATTTTCAGGTGTCTTCTAGGACACGTAAAACCACTCGTAGCCCAAGAACAAAACATGGTTTTCCATTCCTTAAAAATCCTCAAATCAAAGGCATTAAAACGAGCTAATTCAAGAGGTAGAGTTTTACTCAACACCTGCCGAGACCTGGACAGGCTCAGCCCCCCCCCCCCCCCCGTGGCCAGTGTTTGTGTTTTCTCCCCGATTTTTCCTCGATTTCTCGCGCAAAAAGGCGGAAGCGCTCACTCGACGCCTACAATTGGCTGGGTGGAGGGGTCAGGAGGGTCAACAGTTCGACCCGGACGGGTGGGCCCTGGGCCGGGCACCCCCAGGCACCGAGTCCACGTTTCCTTTCACGTGTGGCTCGACTCCGGAGATCGTCTCGAGGATTCCCCCCCAGGACTCGCAACAACTCTTTCCTGGGCTAAGTTAGCCGCTGTGTCAATAGGTGTAGGTGGTATTTAGGTATGACTTGTTATGGTACTATTCCCGCCAGCAGCAACACTTAGTCGTTTCTAGAGGATATTGACGTTTTCCACGGCTTTCGTTGAGAATTCATTAAAAAGCTGCTAAATTCCCCGCACAAGTGGTAGATTTGGAGTAAAACAACGTGCTCAAAATTCTTTTCTTCGTCGAACTAGCTAGGTCACATGCCAAACTTTTAAGTTACTTTTCAACTACCACCTAAGCCTGAAATTTCCTTAGAAGGAGTGTCCTTTTAGTGTCATCGGCAAAACCTTTCGCGACATAGCTCATTCGATAGAGAATTCAAGTTTGAACAAGCTATCGATGTTCATTTTTGCGGAGTGGCCGTCTCTGATTTTATAACTAGTGGATTCTCTTACCATGAGTGCCCTTCGAGCAAAAAGCGACGCCTTTGAGTCCTGTTTTTAAGTTTTATAAAATCAGAGACAGCCAATCCGCAACAACCAACAACGGGAGCTTATTCAGAAATGAATCCTATATCGGATGAGCTATGTTGCGAAAAGTTTTGCCGATGATACTAAAAAGACGCTCCTTGTTAGACATGCCTACCCTTTAATCCTACGGTAATGCCAGGTAACTGAGAAACATCATCTTAGGCCGCGTTGATAATACCTACCAAATGACTCTTCATATGCTGCGACATGAATGTTGTGAAGTTGCAGTGTGGACAAACATGTGTCCGCTTCTCTGCCTTCACATTATTGGCTGTGGCGATGATCAGTGGTGGCGAGCGCTCTCCCGACAATGAAGAAATCGAGTCCCTCGGGGACGAATTCGGAGAATCAACGTTCTCTTCCGTCCAGTCATTGCTCTAAATTCAAAATAGTGTAAAAGTCGTCTAACCTTACTAGACACGGTAATCCATTATCCCCAGGGGACATCCTATGGGGGGAGGGGGGGTGAGGATTTGTGTTTTTGGTGGGCAAATGAGACCTTGAATTTGGGTGGAAATCCGTTGCCGCGATCGGCCGTCTTTCTATTTTTATCGGCGACCAGGATCTTCAGTTACTAAGAGTGGGGAGCGCTTCTCACTGTCAAGGCCAGGCTGGACTCGATCCACAACTTTAACGAAGTAGACGTGAGGAACGGCTGGGGTCGCGGGTTGGGGAGGGGGGGAGGCGAGACCGCAGGGGAGAAGCGGCAAATGTGAGCTTTTTGTCGGGAGTCATACGAAACGAGGAGGGGTACTGTAATGCGCGGAGTGGAAGGGAAAGGAAATCACATAAAAAAATTGAGGAGAGATCGATCACATAAACTCCTTAGATATCCAAAAAAAATTAAGCTGTAACCTACCTGCTCACTGTTACTATCAGAGCGTAGAATCTGCTGCTTCTCATGCTGATCTACATGCACGGCAAAGATCTCCATATCTTTTGAGGTAAAGCCACACTCTGTGCAGCAAGCCGACTGCTTCTCCATGCCTGACGTGGTGTGGAGTGATTGTCGAGCCCACCTAGAATCAAACATCTCTACGAGCCCTTCCTGATACTGCCACCGGGAGTAATTCGCAATCGGCAGGTGCTCGAACTGTCACTAGATTTGTGCCGAGCCACCCAGGGCCAGCGGAGCAAGAAATAAAGCAAAAGCAGCGCCAAATCAAAAAAGCTGTAGGTTGTCTGAGAGATTGAAAATTGGAGCGAGATCCGATTTGGGATCCAAAGAGTAATGCAGCCAAAGAGGCGCACAGCCGAGGTTATAATATATGACAGTAATCAGATGGGTGGGTGATCAGAGGGCAAGGGGTCATTTGGGGGTAAAAGTTTGCCGACCTAGACAAACTTCTGGGCATAGAGGGTCCGAGTAGGGCCAGGAGGGTATGCATATTGTGCGGGAGAGGGGCCTAAAGAGGTATTATTTGCTGATGGGCCAAGGTTTGGGAGACCGGTTCCTAGCATCCTTTAATCCGATCCTAGCTAGAAACATCGGGTAAGGGGTGTTTATTGAGAATTACATAGGACGTCTAGGTCTTGCTAACTTGTACCATAAGTACCAGGCTGGAAGTACCAGTTTCCGAACCCCAGTTTGGTAAAGTTCCCAGCCCCTTTAAACCGAGGCCTGTTATATTCTTAGATTACGCTCGTCAACTCCTGCTATAATCAGAAATTAACCCAAATAGTCCATTAAAACCGGCCTAAGACAATGTGCAAGTTTGGCTCATTGACCTTGACATTGAGGGAGTCGAAGTTGCTTTGGCGGGGCCCACCGGAAACCCCGCCAAATCCCCACCTCGAATCCACCACCCAAAATCAGTGACCATCAAAAAGACCCACCCGAACTATAGCCAACTCGTGGAACACGTAAGAAACCGTCAATTTCCAGGAGACTAGCCCGACCAAATTAGCATGATCCCCCGGCCGGGCCGGGACAACGGACTCGAATCCTGTAATCACTCTGTAATTGCCGGGCCAAAAGGTTCCGGGCCACCCGGATGGGACCCCCCATTAGAGTACATCAGCAGGCTGTACGAATCTCGTTTATGTCGGAATGCGAACATAATGTAAAAATGCTCACGAAATTGGTATCAGAACACTCATTCGGCTTTTTGTTTTCTTTGAAAATCGCTAGAAGGGCATTGACGTCGAGGGAGATTTTTAGAAAAAGAGAAATGCGGTCTCTGGGGATGGCGGGTTTAGAACAAAATCAAAATTTGATTAGGTTATGAGGTAGGAGGGATGTGGGTGATTGAGCATTTTGTGCACAAATAGGATCGTCTGGAACGGAGAGGAAAAAAATTGGGTACTGTAGGAGGGAGTTAAACCAAAGATCTAATGTGCTAAAATATGATCTGTTATAGCAGCAGAGAATACTAAATATTAAATCATGTGATTATAACCAGGTAGATTGGATAATACTAAGCGCAGACGAGTACGAAGGCTTATAGTCAGAAACTAAGAATGAAATAACAGAACCATCCAATTGCCTGAGGGGCGTGTTCGAGATCCCAGACTCCTGACCCGAGAACGGATCCGTTTCCGAGAGCGAAATCGGTTCGAAATCGAATGGGGCTGCCATAAGGGCGGGTGAGAGCAGTGGATACGCAGCAGGAGCTGTGTAGGTGGCATTTGTTTTCTTCTGGGTGGCGCCTCGAAAGGGAAGACGAGGTTGAAGGAAAGGGGGAGCGAAGCCACGGGGGGGAGCTACGGATATGGCTGGGATAGCCGACGGGGCAGCCAGGTTCAGCCCCGCTAATCCACGCTCCGCCACGCTGTGAAACCTGCCATGGGAAGCGCTTGAAAGTGAAATTGATGCCATCCGCACCACCCGGATGAGGAGGAGGAGCAGGCGACACCATGACTGCCACCTTATCTCTGCACTTGCTAGGGTCTTGAGGGGACACGTATTTGGTGTCGGGATTTGGTCGGGTTGAGGATGGCGCGAGGGTTACGGTAATCAAAAAGGATAGGCTCTGGGTCAATAGAGTTAGCTTTGAGCGCGTAAAACGCTCTTTGTGTTTTTTAAATCTAACCTAGGTTACTTGTACTCAAGTAAGAAGTAAGAAAAATTTTGCTGATCTTTTTATACTGATTAGAAGTCGACCCTGATCCACGTTCAGCTTTTGATGCCTACTATGACCAAATTTTTTCTTTCCATTATTTTCCGCAGTCCATGCGGCGGGTCCCCGGAAACTGCACCTGCTACTCCAGATCGTATGATTATCCCCGTTTTGGCGCGCGCAGGTGAGAAGCTCGGCATTTCGAGCTGGATACGAATCGCTGATTGCTATAGTATTCAGCAGAACGGATGGCGGGTAAAAAACCGAAAAGGTCGGATAGCGTAAGGATTGTTAGCAAAGGAACGGGAAGGAGAGTTTACATTGAGATAAGCAGATAAAAATATATCAGGAGCCAAGAGAAAACACGGAAGAGGTCGGGGGCTGGTATTGTAAACTACAAAAAAAAAATAGAAATAATTAAGTCCGGGTGTAGGGGTTGTAGGAAAAATTGTATCTGTACTACTGTACGAGACCAATACCAAAATTCAGGAGTGTGCACTGGGGGAGATTCGAGGGATGGAAGCTTTTGGCCAAAAGTGGGCTGGGCAGTTAGCGAGGGATTACCAGCCACCGGGTGGAGTGAGCCCGAGGTCCATAAACGTGGGCGCGCAGGCCTGGTGGGTGTAGTAGAGACCGGAGGGAGAAGGGCTGGCTGGCAATATGCACAAAGCCGTGCCGATCCGTCCCCTGTGGATTACAGGAGACCGCCCGGATTACGGTTTGCAGGGGCGGAGGATTTGCTTCATTCCAAACCTCGCCCGCTGGTAGCAGCCCCAGCCCCGAATCATAGTCCACCTCTCCGGGCAAAACCCTGCGGCCCCGCATCGGGGCTGATTGGCAGGATCGTGCGGATGTTTTGAGCACCGGATTACCCGGGACCGGGGTACGGCCAGGTTTTGAACGAGACAGTGAATGTGAAAAAGTTGCTGCAAGGAGGGATGTAGTTTGAGAAAAGACGGTATGGTTAACTTTGTTCAAGTTTGTCAAAAGGGTTCATTGCATATTTTTAGGATAAGCGGTATGGCGAGTAAAATACCTTGCGAAAGGTTTCAGATTGGAAGTAAGTACGAGCCAAAGAGTCACTTTGAAGTATGACTGGAAAGCCAGTGCAGACCACTACAGAAATTGTTGCAATAGCATAGTCTTTAAACCAGCAGGCGACCAAATAGCGAAAAGCTTCCGGGGGCAAAGGTGAAAGCCGCCCTTGCTCCTCACCACGACGGACAATGGCTCTCATCGTGGGACGTCCCGGGAGGGCAGGCGCGAACTGTCCATAATGGGGACTCGGGAAAAACGAAGCCCTCAGGGTGGGTGGAATGCCGCGAAGGACGGTCTCCACTCGAATCCCGTCAACCGGTTCGCTTCCCCCAACGAAGCTCGAGAGTCTGCGGACCCGGGCGGAACACCGGTGACCTTCAGGGTGAAACTCCGAAACGCCGTCCCGAGCCTCGACGTCGGACTGAAAGGCGCGGAGGCGCAGCTCCGAGACTCCCCTCCCTCGCTCCTCTTGCTAGACGACGGCTACCAGCCACCTTCTGAGGATTTGATGACTAGTGTTTGTTGGAAGGGAAAGCGGGGGTTTGTGTCGGGCGGTTCATCCGAGAATGCTTGGATCAAGGCGAGTCACGCAGCGAAACGGCGCAACATCCGCTTGCCAGACGACATTTGCAATCAGCCAGTGAAAGCTGACGATCTCACCGAAAAGTTTTGGAGGCTAAAACTGGGTTTTCTGGGCAGAAACTTTTTAGGTGGGTTCAATTTCAATTTTCAAGCCAAATTTCACAGTTTCAATTTGGAAGGTGTTGAGTAATTCTTTTTCCAAGCGTAAAATTTTTTTTATTGGTTGTACGTCAAAACAGTAAGAAACAGGGCATTAATAACATTTTTGATGAAGGGAATGATCTGTTTTCATCAGCAAAACAAGGAAGCCGGTATCTTCACCGATTAGCGAATTCTAAATTTCATCAAATTTCGGGTATTATTTGAACTTGACGTCACTACCTCAGATCACCACCATTCTTCAGAGAAAATCATTTTCTGACCATTCGACAGCTCGTGGGTTTTATCGGTCGTATCTACCCTTTCACAATGAAAAACATTTTCCCAGTTTCAGCGGCCTCAGCAGCCCAATTTCGCAACCAATTTTAGAAGAACATCACTTTTCTGCGAAAGCTGTTCTTTGCCCACCGTTATTCCTTCAACGCTTGACTCTGTTTTTGCGGGGAACTATTTGAGGGGGGAGCCTCAACCCCCACCCCCCTGGGGCATTGTATGGCGGTGGTGACCTTGGTAGAACTCGAAGTGGCTGAGGACCGCCGGGACTGAAAGTGGCTGTGTGCCACCGATGGGACTGAGGCTGATCCGAGCCCAGAACAATGCTCCCGCCCCGCTCCTATCAACACCTCATTCACTCGACACGTTGTCATGATGTATATGAAATGGAAATGTGTGGTGAAATCGGGAATACCGGAAACGGCAGCCACTAACACTAGATTGATTGGTTGATGCCTTCAGCCCTAACAAATCCCGGGTTTCCATTTAGTAACAATCCTTCCGCGATCAAATCCAACGATTCTCAATGTCATCACCCATTATTAAGCTTATTGAGGATTCAACGCCCACATTTGTTATGACGACGCGATGCCCCTGCGTCCTGGATGCAGACAAAATCCGACGATATGTGGCGGCATCCCCTATAAAAGGCATGGAATCGACGAATGAACCACAAGCCATCCAGCTCTCCTGAATTGACGAGGTATCTTTTCTACCGTCTTGCCTGATTATTTATTGCCGTTTAGATGCTGCTCATCGTGGCAGCTTTCTGTGTTCTGGGCGTTTCAGCCCAGTACGGTGGCCAGGGATACCCCCAGCAAAGCGCTCCGGTACCATCGTATGGAAAACCTTACCCGCGTCCCTTCCCTCCACCATTCTACGGCTCCTCTTCCAGCTCCAGTGACAGCGACGAGTGTAGGTTTCAAAACTTCTTAAAACATGTGGGACACATTTGGAACTAATTAAATTTTTTTATTTAGACGGTTGCCGCCGGTGCCGCCAAAAGGACCTCGAGGGAAAATGCCCCGATGAGTTGGCGATGAATGGAACCAGCTGCGCCAAGCCCAGCTTTGACTACGCGTAAGAGCTCAAGCCATTCGAAACTGTTTTTGCTTAGCCGTGAGAAGGGATGCGCCTTCGCCGTGATCTCATGCCGACGCAAGCAGGGATTCCTCGTCGGCATTGTTGCTAAGAACGCCAAGAACTTGAAGGCCCTCGAAAATGTAAGTTTATGAGGTTCAGGCCGCGCCTCAAGACTGCCCATAATGTCCTAATTCATATTTTCAGCCGGTCACAATCGGACTCGGCGACGTTCACCTGACAGCTAGCTGCCACGATAACAAGTAACATAGATCCGGACGTGCTTGCTATTTTCATGTTTAGGGAGTGGTACGTGTCGAGGAAGCAGCATGGCAAAAGGCACCATAAGAGCAGCCGTCGTAGCGACCGCAGTGACCGTAGCGGACGTCGGGATCGCAACCGTCGTCATAAGCGATCCGGAGAAGGCGCAGCCGGTTTCGGCCGTGTGACGACCACCAGGAAGGCGACTACCACCAGGAAGGCGACCACCACCAGGGCGGCGACGACCACCAGGAAGGCGACCACCACCAGAAAGGCGACCACCACCAGGAAGCCGACCACCACCAGGAAGCCGACGACCCACAATGGCTCTGGCCCCACACAGAAGCCGACCAGTCACCCTCAACCCCATCCAACGAAGAAGCCGCATGGACATAACCACATCAGCTGGCCTGTAAGTCTTCTATTCCAGAATATTTTTTAATCAATTAGACTTCGCGGCTCCCGCTTTCGCAATTTGCAAAACACACGTCTTTTCAGAAAAACAAGAAGCTGACCGACCTCGTCTGCGTCTACATCCCGGAGTAAGTGTTTCGACAGATATATCAAAGTTTGATTTTAGGCCTGTGGACAGCCCTTCTGTCGATGATGAATCCGCGGATGAGTGAGCCCCGCAATAACTTCTGTGATAAACATCAATAATGAGCGGCAGTTTTATTCAATCACACAATAAAATTTTTCGAATTTGAACAATAACGGCTATATCACTATATCAGGTGCCTAAGAAAAATTATTACGTAGCTTGAAGATATCTTCTTTTAACTTCAAGGCGAGCTCATGAGTTTGTCGCAAGGCCAGGTCCCTGTGGATGCAGCCATCAAAAAGAACCTTGAGGAGGAAAGCAGGCTCTTGCTTCTTTGCCTTTATCCTTCCGAAAAAGTTTGGTCGGGAGGATGTTTCGGATCCATCACAGAAAGCAGCCTACACAAAACGTAATCGTTGCAAATTCTGCCAAACCTGAACTCCATAATAATTTTGTCCCGCAGTCTCAAAAATTGCTCCCATGATGGCAGGGCCCTCCGGGAAAACGTCAAAGTTGCCTCGCAGATTTTCTAGGGAATGTAAAAATCTGGGGAAGATTGACTTACCAGGGAGATAGGGCAGCGTGATGCCCGACTTCAGATCAACCATCTCAAAAGCAAGCATATTCAAACGCCACGTTGTCGGCTTCAGATAGTCCTTCATCTCTTGCCATCGGTCTTCTGAGTTCAGCTTTAATTTGTGGATGGCCATCAGATGTGTTCTCTGCAAAGCAGATCCCTATAATTCTAGGGGTCAAGAGGAAGGGACGACTTACCGTTAGGCTTCGGGCAACGACGGCGTGAGCGGTTGGTAGGCGATCGGACATTGCATCTGCTTGGGCGCTGCTACATAACTCTTGGACTAAGCTCAGGATTTGACGTCGTAGATAACGGATCATGGTTTCCAGTTTTGCAGGCAGCAACTGAAAGAAGAAATATCGATTGATATTTTAGGCAGGAAAGTATGCGGCGTAGATGCAATAATGAGCAAATGATGTCCTTACGCGCAATACCAAATTTCCGTCTAAAACTACCTACCTTATCTTTTCCACAAAAAGTGTTTAACGATGATCCCATCGACAGCATTGAAAACGCCGATCTCATCGACAACAAGCTGAGACTCCTATTCCTCGCCTCGCTGACTGTACTCTGTTGCGATTCAGGATTCAGATTCTGGATTTCGTTGACTATTCGGTCCCAAACGTTCTAAAAACATATTTAACTTTTTTTAGATCCAAACCTCAATAAATGCGGCGGTTTTAGGAGGGTTCCTCAAAAATGCGGTCGGTGTCCGGCAGTGGGATCGAGCTGTTGTCGCTAGCAAGCCAGCGCACAGTTTTTTGAGCATTGTAGTTATCTAGAAGGCGGTTTCACATCTTGCTCTCCTTTATGCCTTACTTGTACTGTATTCGAGTTCTCATAAATAAGCTCGTCGAGCAGCGTCAACACTTCCGCCCCCATCCTGATAAGACCACAGCCGGAAGCTGAAATCCATTTGGTCATCACCAAACGAAAGCATACCAGCGCATACAAAAACGATCTCCACTTCCTCAAGCACCTTGAACCGCATTATGTCGGCATAAAACGGTGTATCCGATTGCTTTGAGCGTAGCCATAACTGTAAAAGATTTATGTTTTGAACGCGGGTGGTTCTTTGGTTCTGCCAGCCTTTTTTTGTTTTACGATTGCGAGACGGCTCCCGTTATCAAGGAAGGAATTTTCAGGAAGCCGGAGTGGATTATGGTGGATGTTTGGGTCACGATATTTTACCTGATTGACCTGCGTATTGGCAGTCAGTGGATGGAGGTTAAGATGACGCTTGAGAGCCTGGATATCTTCTGGATGTAGATGTTTCCAAATCTTTTTCTCATCACTCGTGGAGTTGACGGAGCATAGGAAATGACCACGTGCGACGAGGAGGCAGCTGAATGGAAGACCATCGCTAAATGGGTGTGTCAAGCAGAAGCCGCGGAAGAGTTCAACTTAATATAGCGAAAGCAAACGAAAGTCTATGTATATGGTTGTTTAGGGCATAGTGGCGTAGCGAAGGTGATGTGCGCACTTACCGATTTGTTCCGATGGCGTCGCTCACGCGTTCTGTCAACGTTTTGAGGAGTGGGATCATGCGACGAGTCTCGGGTGCGAAATAGGAAGCTGCGCGGTGCCCATGTGGATCTGTAACAGCGTATTTTGATTATTTTTATAGCCGGAAATTTTTGGTATCTATAAAATCCACTTCCCAGGCCGATATCAGATATTGTTCACTTCTTTTTTTTAACATTACGGCAGTTATTTAGTTTTTCTTCTGATCTCCGGTAATCCACGTCTACCCATTTTAATAACAACAATATTAGACCTTTCTGGAGCGGTATCCGGCCAGTCAGAGAATGTAGGGTGGCGGTAAGCTGGGAGATCGCCTGGTCATAAACCGACAAATCCGCGTCAAATGATTCCAGCAGTGGACCAAAGTGCAGCTGTAGGGCTTCTGATGATAACTTCAACCAGTCACGAGCCACGTTCTCATCTCTAAAATTTGTATTTGAATGTATCGTCGTTCGAAAATCCCGAAATCTCGCGCGAGAAACAAAAACCCACTCCTCTGTGATTATCAGCAATAAAAAGCCGCAACTCAGTGTCTCAAACAAGATTGTGGCCGAGCCGGACTGCATCGATCGGTAGGGGTCTCGCATCGATTCGGCCGTTCGGAAAACCGAGACGATTGGCAGGAAATGGTGTGTGATTTCGCTTAATTGGTTTTGTTAGGACTTTTTTTGTGAGTTACCTAAGGACACTTGGGTCGTGGTATTGTCGTTTTGGCCATTGACTGCTTTCACTGGTTGACGGGGATGGGAGCTCTTCAAACGATGAATCGGTGTATACACCAGAAGAGGTCGAGGCCGAGTCATTTAGGCAAAAATCCTAAAGGAAGAGATTTTTTTGGAATTGGAAACCGGCATCGGCCGGTAGTAAGCCATGTAATTACGGTTTACAGTCAGTGAAAAGTGTAAAGTTTTGATGCATTAATGGGGGTAGCGAGTATAGAGAAATCAATAGCACAAGCCCTACCTTCTTCAAGATCGATTTCAAATACCCTCGAAATTGAACATCGCCTTCAACGAGTGTAACTTGGTTCTTGCTATTAACAAGTAAAAGTCCGCGCATCATTCACGCAGAGTTCAGAGCCACCAAAAAGGAAGTGGTAGTGTGTATGGGGGCATCGAATAATTGCCCAAAAGGGGGAGGGGGCGCATGGACCAGGTCCTCCATCGGGAGCGCACAAGGCACAAGTTGATAACGGTGGCTATCTTCTGTTTGAGCGTCGGCTGGTGGGAGCCTTGGGCTGCCGCCACCGATTTGGTCTCGGCAAGCCTCGCAAATTTGCCAATGTGATGTCACAACGGTCACATGCCCTACGGGCACAATCCCACAGACCCCAAGTTTGCTTTAGGCACTTTGCCCCCATCTGTGGCCGTGGTTTCTAGAAGATTCTTGCCGATCTTGAAAGAGCGCAGTCGACCGGGACAACAACGGGCTTATCAGCTTCTCTAGTTTGGGGTTTCGGGGAACAACGGAGAGCTGAGGTTGTATACGGAAGCGCCTGAAAATGTTTTTAACTGCCGTGTCGCCTGGAATGCGGAACACCCTAGCCCAGTAAAAGGTTCGGTCTAATATTTACCAAGCTCAAAGTCAAGGCGCAAATTTAGGTCCAAACCACCCCGTTGTACTTTCAAGTTGTTAGTGCGTAGTCAAGATCTTTATCATAAGAAGTTCTCGAACACATTAGCCCGTACTACCAAGTTGTTGTTCGCGCTTTCTAATCCATTCATCCAAACGCAAGCCAAAAAAAAAAACACGCTCAAAAACTATGTTTTGAACCTCGCCTTTTCTTTACTTTTGGTCCACGATCTCACTTCCGCCCACAACACTATCAATTAAACCATCGGTTCGGTATCTTTTCATGTCAGAAACAACGGCTTCAAGAGTCCAACGGGCACCCCGGAATTTGAAACCTCGTGAACGTTTCTCTGTCTGATAAGGACATCGGGAGCCGATTTCAAAGTTCGTGCTTTTTGATCGGCAGGTAATTTCGCTGGCTCCTATCAATCGAAGCACAGTGGTAATAAAAAGTCGAAATGTATGGTTTTGGATGAAACGCAGTAACCAACCACCCTGGATTTGTCTATGTTCAATGGTCAAGCGAATGCTATTGCACAACTTTCGTTAATGTTAGGCACTAAATATCGCTTAATCAAGCCGAGACGGAAAATGTTTCCATCGTTGGCTATTGACGAGATGCCGAGATAATATTATACAAGATTCCTACCCACGCATAATACCTCTAGACCAGACTAACCACTCGCCTCGCGTATAATTTCTACTCCCAAGGATGATGTGTAATTATCATGAACGTCCAACGCACAACATCGTTTATTAGCCCGAAGAGAATTTGTCCAACTAGTCAATCAAATGAGACCAAAAACAATGTATTGGCTCTGGGATCCTCCAATCCACCGGCTTGTGGCACGCTTAACCGAAACGGATGAACTCGTTCTTGCGCTTCTCCACTGAAAAACGGCCATTAGGCAAAAAATTGGCCGTGAAATCAAAAGACAATGGAAATTGACTTACTGGCTCCATCCTCAAGAAGAACCGGGGCGGAGCGTCCGAAGCTAAATTTACAGGTTGGCTATGGTATTTTCTAGTACCGGATGAACTCGTTCTTCCTCTTTCCGAAGCGGATGAACTCGTTCTTCCTCTTTCCAAAGCGGATGAACTCGTTTTTCCTCTTCTCCATCTCCATATCGGGCTCACTGGAAATCACTCGGATCTTTCAAGTATGTTCGACCTACGCGGATCGCTTTCCAAAACGGATGAACTCATTCTTCCTCTTCTCTACTCCCTGGGGCTCCTCTTCAAGCACAATATCTGAAATTATAAATTATCACCTGGAAGTCGTTTTAGTAAATATTATCCTAGTTTAAAAAATAAAGTTCAAAATCTGTCCTCAATATAAACTAAAAAATTCTAGCCACGCAAGAAACCGTGAAATCGGAACTTTTCTGATTAAGAATTCCAAATCTAAGTTATCCCGACCGTTCGCTTTACTTATTCATGTTCTACCTTTTCCCAGCCATCCTTACCTGTCCGGGTGAGCACTTCCTGCATGGCATTTCCGAGGGCGTGCACCTCATTCTATAATCAGCGAATTATCTTTCATGATCCCGGATTGGCGTGCATTTTTCATCATTAGCCGCCTGCAGAATTAATCGAGCTACCCAGCCGAAGATGCGCCAAAAATATTCATCTCTCCCCCAACTACCCACGAACTTTTCTGCCCCCAACCCAGGGGGGAAGCCACCGGAAACATCGAGTCGTGAATATTTAATGGAAATTTTTGGGGAAGTCCAGTAAGATGAGTTTTCAGGAGTGCATTTGAAATCCTGGTTTCAAGATATGGCGAATACCGAAAGGGCACTCGGAATTTATGAAATCAAGTCCTGCCCTGATGCCGGCGGATTCCGGTCACTTCGCCTAAATCCGTTTCGACTAAACCCGTTTCGCCTAAACCCATATCGCCTAAAACCCGTTTCGCCAAAACCCATATCGCCTAAAACCCGTTTCGCCTAAAACCCGTTTCGCCTAAATCCCATTTCGCCTAAAGCCCATATCGCCTTAAACCCGTTTCAGCTAAACCTATTTCGCCTAAATTTTGCTCATTTTCATATGTTTCGTAAGATTTTAAAGAGACTCCTTGAAATTCTTCATTAAAAGCTATGTAATTGGCTTCATAACGTGGTTTCTGACAAGGAATTTGCAAAATTATGTTTAGAAAATCCTAAAACACTTATAAGTATTTCGAAAAATGGTGATTTTTTTTGTTCAAAAATGCAGCAGTGCAAACGGTCAACAATTCAGGCGAAATGGGTTTAGGTGATACGGGTTTTAGGCGAAGTGGGATTTAGGCGAAATGGGATTTAGGCGTACTGGGCTTTAGGCGAAACGGGTCTTAGGCGAAACGGGCTTTAGGCGATATGGGTTTAGGCGAAAAGGGTTTAGGCGAAGTGGATTTAGGCGAACTGGCCAACGCCCGTTGTCACCCTTCCCTTTTTAAGTACTTCCCGTCACTATCCCCTTAAAATTGACCAACAAACGATGTGTTGCCCCTAGGCAGCCTTCTGGCGATTTGGAATGCATGCTCAAAAGTCTAGTAGCACGGAGTGCCGTCGGGAGTGATTCTATTTTTGAGGAGAACCCTTGATACTCGGCAACCCTCAGTGTGGAGTAGAAATTCTTCGAATACCTTGATACTTGACGTATAAGTGGTGTTCCTCAAAAATCGGGAACGCTACTGAAGTTGGAAATTTGGGTAACGTCAGGGAGCAAAGTTTTCTGATTTTTGAGTTAGTGGCAGAAGTAGATATTTTGGAGGGAAGGTAACTGATGGAACTGCCATATTCCACGTATTTTGACTAGCGTTGCTGAGCTGTGCCTTGTGGGCTATTTCCTACATAACTAGCTAAGACTGGATCGGGTTCTTCTTTTTAAAGATAACTTAGTATACGCTTAATTTTTCATGTTATTCTAGTTCTGTCCATTGCCAATGAAGGCCATAAGCTATGCTAAAAAATGGTATACGCCATCTTTATATAGAATTAAACCCAGTAAACAAAACTTCCAAGTGCCACATACCTCCAAAACGCAAAGTCGTCGCTGAACTTCATCAGCCTGATCGCAGGCCAGGACGAACCCTTAAAGAAACGTATTGAAAAGCCAAACAGATTAGATAAAATCGATAGTATCGTAAAAGGGTTTTCGGCATTTCACCAAGCCACCTCAACGATAAAATTACTTATTATGGGAGCCCGTTTTCATGGAAATTAACACTGTATAATTCTGTATTAAAAATTGTCTGAAAATTTGGATACCGCTTCAGTTAATTCCAATCACATTTTGCCTGCAATTGCCTTTCAATTGCCTACAAGCCTAAGCCTAATTTCTGGATCGCTGTATTTTTGATAGTTCTATCCAATTTTGTTAAACTTGCAAACTTTGTCAATAGACCCAAACGTCATTGAGCCTCACAAAGCCGTAATGCCTACCAGCCGAAACGAGTAGGGAGAAGGTGTAGAGGTTGAGCATTGGAGCGTCGGGCCTTGCCGGGCACTGCGAGTGGTCCAACCCTGGTGTCAGCGTCCTTATATACTGGGACCCGCCCACCAATGCTTCTCCTCCCCATCCGAGAGGGCCCAATCATTCAGCCCACCCACCTCAACTCAACACACACATCTTCTACCGTAGCCTAAAAGGGGGCGGATCGGAAGGTCGAGGCTATGCGGTGGGGAAAAACTTTTTTAGGAGATTATGTTTCTCGGAAGTGCTGCAAAAGTATTGAGTTATTGATGAGAAGTTCCGGGATTAGAGGAGAAATGAAATGAGAAAAATTTGGGATCTGGTCCTTAGCGTGCAATCAGTTTGGACCGCCGGAAGAATGTTTTTTGGAGCTCTTTATAATTTTGAGAGCAAGCGAAAGGGTCTTACTAAGCATTGACCCTTTTTTATTTTCATAACCGTTATAACTTCTCCTAATTTAAAGGCACTGAACTTACCGGGTGCCAAATAGCCAACCAATGTGAACACCGGCTCAAACTAAATCGGAAATCCGCGGGAAAATCGCAATATTTCTGGTGTAAGTGACAGCTTACACGAGACGCATATGCAGTAGCATCGCCTACGTAGCTACATTTACTGGTGAGTGCAAATATACAAAAATTTGTTTCTTGAGGAAGAGTTGTTAAGGTTTCCCGGCTCTCTCGTCTCTCAGCCACCCCTGAGGCCCGACAGCTTCTAAATTAATTACAATAACTTTAATGCGGTTACTGAATCCTAGAGTTTGTATCTTAAATTTTAATCGATAACGGGATAAAATACAGAAAACCTAGGATCGCGAAAAAGATGTAAGGTACAGTATAGTTGTTCCAGAGGTGGGGGATCTCTGTAAGATATATATTATAAGTATTTAGTGGGTCTAAGTGTAAGTGAGTAACCGTAGTACGTAAATAGCTTTCGTTTTTTTGTCGTTACCGATGTTGTGGTTCTCTGTCTTCCCAATACTTCCATATTTCGGGCGGCACATCGCTGGGCGGATGCTCCAAGGCCTCCCCCCAGGCTATGAGATGAGGTGTCGCCGTCACGAAATATGAAGTGTGCCCCCCTGTGCATCCATCCGCATCAGGATTGGCCATCGACACGCGACAACGAGCTTATACATGGTGATTAGGCAGCGCATCGCAGTCCATCGGCCCATTTATCAAAAAGGCTGTAAGCGGCCCCCGGTCCACCAAAATGTGCACCTGTTTGTCTGTCCGCCCTATCATAAGCATTGCCCATTGAGAGGCACCCCATGAAGCCGCCTCATTATACTTGAGTGTGGCCACCGCTGAAAGCGGGGGCTCATCACGGCATCGCGACTCTGAGAACGAATATCGTAAGCACATGAATTATTCAAATCTGGTGCGTTGTCTAGATTCGAAAATAGATGGGCGTCGCTTATTACCGTAAAACTTGTGAGGGGTCAGGAATAGGGGTTGGAAGTTTGCAGGGGAAATGTTGATCTGCAGGGTTGCAAAAATAGACCACTGGACGTTTATTAATCTTTGCCCATTATTAAAGCGTAGACTGACAAGATATGTGTGAGACTTGTGAGGGAGCTGTACGTATACACCTATGAACATCTGCGCATCTCTCTGTCCACTTTCTCTGCATAAATTGAAGCTTTTTACAACTATTTAAATGTGTGATTGGGTCATTAATGCGTCAATCAAATTCTCATTTTTGGAACTCCACCATACGTAGCACAATACAAGAAATTAATTTATCATTCTTCTAAATAAAAAAAACGACAACTAAAGCCTTCCATCTACCACAGTATATCTATCGCGGTGAAAGTGAAATAAAGTGAAATTGTTGTTTTTGGGATCAATCGAAAATTGAGTGAATAAAATTATGCGCTAAACAACAATCTTGGAATGTTTTTTTGGGGCCGGAATTGCACGGGTATTGCTTGGCTTGCGTACGCGGGAAGACGGGGGAATCGGGAATAAGTAATAAATATACCCTAAAATGAGCACAACTAAGTGTTTATAAGCGACTAGAAGGCAATGTGCTGTGTACAACAACGTCGTATCGGGACTTTCTTTTGGGGAATTTCGTGTCGCAAAGTGAAACGAAGAAATAAGTTAAAATTTGGCAACAAGAATTTCTGAAATATTCTAAGCACCGCAAGCTATGGAAGGGAATGGGGGAGGGGGAAGTGCATGGAAATAACCAGGTGGAGATCCCAGGTGGAGTCAAATGAGCTAATATTGGTGGTAGTTGCGTGGAAAGGTAAGGGAGCGGATTTTCAGGGAATTATCGGCTCCGCAAGAAAATAGACGCATTGAAGAATCCATGTAAAGTTGTTGCACGCCCTGGACGCTGTTAGCGCCGACCTGGAAATTATTAGCTTTGGATTTGAATTTAATAGAAATACCTGGCGGAAACTAAAGCCAGTCTTGGCAACATGTTCGCCTGCGAAGTGTTGCAGGACTTGCGGGCTGTAGTCGGTGTTCAGCAGCTGAAATTATGGTAAATTGGTGCTCTGCAAGGTTAAAGGCTTACCTTAATATCTCCATCACTACTTCCCACAACCAAAATGTCATTGTTCGGGTCCGAGATAATCGTCTTCACGGCCTGGTTGCTGTCAAACAGCTTCTGGCTCGACCTCTGGCTGTGAGCCCGAATGTCCCAAACAGCAATTTCCCCGTTGCGACCTCCTGAAAGCGAGAGTTACCGGAAAATCCAAGCTCTATGACCTGAAATGATGGAGTAAGAGGCGGGTAGGTAGATGGCGCAGGTGGCACCCTCCGGATGGCAGGACCAATTTTGCACGCAGGCTTTTGAAGTGGGCATCAGTGTGTCCCATAGGCCTGTAAGAATAAAAACAAATAGCTTCCGGAAGTTGGCACTCACATAGATTCAAATCCCCAGCTCCTGCTCCGGCCGTAAGGAGCTGTGAGGAGGATTGTCCCAAGAAGCGCACATCGGCTGCCGATTTTGAGTGAGCCTTGACGTTCTGAACGGTTTAACGTTGTGAATTCGTGGATTTGAAAGCTTACAAAGAATGGCTTCTTTTGCTCTGCCGTTTGACCGGTTTGCCATAGACAAAGCATTCCATCACCATCAACAGCCGCGAATTTGCTGCCATTTGACGAGAAATGGATCTTGGCGACCTAAAGGTTTAAAAATTAACCTTAAATAAAAAATCATCTTACCTTGGCATGCTGTCCGGCCACTCTAGCAGTATAAACCGGCTGACCAACTCCCCATTCCCACATTCTGATCGAGCCATCAGAAGCTCCAGTTAAATCTAAACCCATATACCCTCCTTTCCTAAACACTTACAAAATGGAGCCCCTGGATGCCCATCCATCCTTCTTATGCCAGATATCGTCCGTTTGAAGAGCTAAAAACCAATCGGGGAAATAACAGAACAACCAAACAAAGCTCGTACGCGGGCTACAATGCAAAGGATCGACCACTATGGTAAAGCACGACCACTACAACTATATTTTGCTGTTACCTTGCGCAAGCCCAGTCTACTGCGGTCAATTATGAACGGGGAAAGGGTCTTTAAAATCGATAAGGTTATCGTCAAAATGGAATACCATGTTTGGGGCTGATCCTCGGGTATTGCCGGAATTGAAGAGTTGGTAGTCGTCGTTGTCCTTGAGAGTATCTTTGCGTATGTTCGAAAATTCGACATCGAGTTCGGTTCTAGATGAGGTACATGCATGGCTTAGTTATTTTGTTACTACCTGCTATTTAGCCAAGAAACAGGCGCCGAAGCATCATCTAGTAATTTTGAGATATCCATCTCTTGAAGTTCTCGGCCTGTTGAAACCACCAACCAGCCAGGCTTATCCTAAAATAAATTTTTAGAAATTGTTCAATTCGCTACCCGATTGACAGCAAATGCAACGATCGGTTCGTTCTCCTTATGGATGATCTTGTAGGGATGAGCCTGCTGGACCTGGAGGCTTTCCGTTTCTTGCATTGTCGCGTCGTTTCGATCTTTTTGTGAGTGCTGAAAGAACGATTGAGACTTTAACAGGTATATACCGCATCGTCTTTCTTAAAAATATGTCGGATGAAGATGCCGACAAGGTTTTCTTGTCGGACCAAGTATGACCAGAGACGCTTCACGGGGAGTACTCGTTGGTCCTCAGATTCGAAAGGAGTGTTGGACTCTGAAAACCACTCATAAACTCTCATTCGTTTTTTGGTTATTGAAAACCAGTGCTAATACTTGCCGGCCTCCAAAATCGACCGATATTTGGCGAGAGATGTGTCGTTCTCAGATCCCACGAGCTGAGGATCAGGCAGGATCATTTCCGGTGTGACGTCCGCCCTCATGCGAAGTTCTTGCGACAGCTCCACAGACCAGTTGCAAAGAACTTGGAGCGTTGATGCAATTCTTGGGGCGACGGAAGCTATCTCTGTCGGATCAAACCCGGACAGCACCAGGAATTGTTTCAGCCTAGCGATCATCTGCTCAACCACAGCCAATCGGATTATGGCCCAAGAATAAGAATCAGGGTCGGCGGCTGTGCAGAATCTGCAAAAAAGGTACATTCTAAATTACTATAAATTATTTACCCTTCGTCATCTCGATCTTCATCATCATGAGCATCTGCTTCACTGTCGGTGTCCGAGTCATAGTCAACGCCCATCTCATTTGCCGACTAAAATATTTTGTTTCATTGATAGAAAACTTTTTATACCTTTTCAGACAGCAGCTGCACGATGTTACGATTTGGTGGTACCCATTTGAGCAGAGTGTGCTCGATGATCGGGGTGACGGCCGGTCTGTTCGAGGTTCCTTGAGCATCAGCTCCAAACACCTAAACAATGATGATCTAAAAGATTTTAAAAATTTACCTTTGCATGTAGCTTGGCTCTAAGCGTATTCGAGTCTAATGATGTTTGTTCCGCGGTAGCTGTATCTGAGGATACTGATCCAGAGGATGGACGGGATGGTCCTAGTAAAACATTTCTAAAATCGCAAGGTTACTGCATACTTGGTGGCCGAGCTGGAGGTACCGCCTTCATCCGCTTCTCGCCTCCACCACCAAAAATTGCCGCGAACTCTTTTGGGCCTATGGAGTGGCTGGAGAGGCGGTAGAGCCAGCGAGCATCATAAGATGCCATTGAGTAGGTGAATAGCGACCTAAAGGAGTTTAGAAAATCAAGGGCTTGAGGTTACATGATGATTGAAATGAAGCATTCTACGAGCAGAAGGCGGAGGTTCGGAGCTTCATCGTCGCGCTCGCGGCCAAGGAGTGCCACCAGGGTATCGACACCTGGCCATCTGGCTGGGGAAGTCGAGACTCGGACGTCATCGCTGACGGAAAGATGGCGGGTTCTTCGTGTCAGGATTCCACTAAAATACAGTGGTTATTTCACGTTCAAGACAATATTATTACCTGGTCGCACCAGAATACTGCCTGAGAATGTGGGAATTAGCATAGTCGGCGTCACTGAGCGATTGGTAGAGGCAAGAAGAAAGCCCAAGCGAGATCCCGTAAAGTTTTGAATACTAAACCAAAAGAGTTCTGTAGAGGGCTTAAGTCTCACTTTTGAGAGCGAAGATTCTTTGAGTTGAGGGACATCGGAAAGATTTGAGATTGAGGAGAGGAGATCATGGCATTGAGTCTCGATGAATGCCAATGGTGAGGCGACGAACATTCGCTGCGGGGATACCGTCGATACGAGCAGTGGGAATGCGTTCGAATCTATATCGAGTTCCTTGGGATGAAATTCCTAGGTACCATTGATTTTGCATGGTCCATTGTCAGCTTGGATTTCCAGTAATAGCAACAAAAGCTCCATGAGGGCAGAGGTCAGCCGGTGGTTTTGCGCCATTTGAAGTTGGCAGAATGAGGTGAAAGATCTATAAACGTGTTTAACAATTAAGTTTGTTTTTACCTGAGCAGCTTCTGGTTTGACCCAAGCCATTTTCTTCGCCTGATGCCTAGCTGGAGACGATTGTTATATTCGGTACGGTCGTTCTTCAGAGCTTCATGCATTGGAAGTGGCGAATGGCTAAAAATAATGATTTTAAAGGGGTTGGGAAGACAGCTAAGACAAACGCGTTATTGTAACTACCTTCTCGAGGAAGAATCGTACGTCTCATCAATCCCATCAATTTCAATTCCAGCTTCCGCCGTTTGATAATCGCACAGCGTCTTTAGTACCTCGACTTCTTTCTCAAGCCAAGCAAATAGCTAAAGCTTTATTGACAGTTTTGTTTTGTGATGTTATACCTGGAATCGCAACTGTCCCCCGTCGACCACAAAGCCACCCGCTAGTGTGCTCAGTTCTTCGGTCAGAATTCGAAGACTAGCGATAAATCGAAGCTGCTGGGCGATGATATCCAAAGGCCCTTCTGGGAGGACAACCACCTAAGCTCAACTCTGAATGTCGTCGATGAAATCTCTACCGGTCCATTGGTCACTTTGTCTTCGACGACTGTGGGTGTGGGTTCAGCAGCGGGCGCTACAACGGCCGTTTCTTCGTCCTCTTCGTCATCGTCATCATCGCCCCAATCCAATTCCAGTTCATCCTTCGCCACAACGTTGGCCGGCTGTGACCAATCGACGTTCGCAACCGTTTCAGCTGGCTGTTTTTCTGAAGCCCCACTGGCTGATGCACCCTATCATCACGTTTAAATGCACTGAGTCTGATATACCTCTGAATTCAAGATTGCTCGAATAGATTCATTGCCGGGCATGGAAATGTGGATGTGTTTTGGAAGTCGAGAAAGGACGTCCAACGCCAACATCGGGCACCTATAGCAGATTAGCTCCAATGTTCTGTTCCTCACCCATGAGCCATATGTTCAGCTGAAGTCCTAAAGAACAGTCTTCGTTCGGCTGGGGTGAGCATGAGCTCCATTTGCCGGGCAACGGCCAAGAATTTTTCGGTCGACCCGATCTGGAGAAACATCATAAAGGTTTGTTTTTAAATTAGACCTGCGATCCGGCATCAGTCAGTTTTTGTCTAACAACCAGAGGATGGAGGCGGAGATAGGTGTAGAAGTTGAAGATATTGCTGAGGGTGAATTGTTCGTGACGACCATCACTGTTGCTATCGAGACGATCAGATGATGCTTCCTCCACAAGAGTATGTGCTGCTTTTGCATAATCACGCAGAAGCCAATAGGCCATCGAGCGAATGAAAGGATCCCTAAAAATACACAAAATTTTTCCGGAAGCGCATACTTTGACGCGTCTCTCGACAACACCGTATCCTCATCCACATCTCCACGCGCCTCCTCAAATTCTTCCACGGTTTGCCCAAGAATTTCTCTACAAATATCTCATTTTTCCGATTTTCTACAGCAACCAACTTGCACAGTATTTCCTTAAGGTGAGCCTGCTGCTTGTCCGGATCCTGCTCATACAATCGCAACACAATCATGGCCAATTGAATGTCGTGCAGCTTGTCAATAAGCACCTAAACGGTTTTTATTTGTTCTATGCGTTTTTTTTCTACCTTAAGAGCATCAACAAGGCGTTCGGCCAAAAGGAACAGCGCGGCAGCTTGCATGAAACGCTGTTTGCTCATCAAAACAAACGCGTTTTTCTCGGCTGTCTTCCGATGGAATGGATCAGAAAAGTCGCTCATGAAGAACCCAGACATTCTCGTGTCGCGAGCATTCTATAAATGATATCAAATGACAACCAAATCCTTACCTTGAACAGGATCGTGAGCATGTTCTTCTTCCTCATAGCCAGCCAGTAGAGAGCAGCATCCATCGGGTCTTGGTTTTGCTTGTAGGCCGCCGCGGCAAGCTTTTCCACGCAAACCTGAGAACCATTTTTGGGATTGTCATTGCTAACTAACCTTCAATGAAGCCGTATTCTTCAACCACCATGCTATGCCCAACCCTTTCAGTTCTTCCCAGGTTGGATTTGATTTTTGGAGACAGGGAATGGCGTTGAGAAGTTCAGTTTCGGTCTCGGAATGTTGGGCCCAGATGACGTGGGCTGAGGAGAGACCGCGTACCTAAATAAAGAAGAGTAGGAATAAGGTGATATAGGGAAATACCCTCAACTGCTGCTTCTGCTTCATCGGAAGGCAAAGCAGCAAGTACTCGTGTTGCTTCATTGACATCAAGAATCTAAGGCCGCACTCGTCTACAGTATCTATGCCTCCTGCGGCCGCTGCATATCCACCAGCTTCGGCATGCTCCCCGAGCACTGACTGCACAGCCGGTTTCATCGCTAAAAATTAGGATAAATTTTAAGATTTTCGACCTACAGGCATTAGCTTGGGTCAGCTTGTCGATGGCATCTGGGTTGAAATGACTCAAGGTGTCTGCGATAGCCAGTAGATGCATTTGGTCCACAGATGATAGGCCAGGCAGATGAGTATGTGTGAGCAACTCGGTCAATGCTCTGTTGTGCTTTGTCGAAAAGATGATGGCCGGTGGTGGACCGTCACGCTGTGAGCCCATTTCGGAGCCAGTTGAGGATAATCGCTCTCGGCCTTCCTAAATAATAATATTGATAAGCGCCAAACTATTTGATATTTGAATCCTTCTGTTACTGCTTGAGACCCACATGATCATCCTGGTTCAACAAGTCATCCAGGTTTTCCTCGACTTCATCGGTAAAAAGTTCTTCATGTAACCCTTCCGCCTTCTCCTTGACATCATCATTATCATCCAGGTCGTCCGCCGCCAATAAAGCGTAAAGTGGGAGGGGCGAGATATCATCGATTTCATCATAATCAGCCGCTTCGTCCATCGACAGTCCGAGCTAAAACAGTTAACACCAAAAAAGTTATATCAACCTTCGATCCGTCATTTCGGTCATTACGGCCGCTGTCATGATCGACTGTAGACATCCTCCGGATTGATGCAGCTCTTGCCAATGGTTCGTTGGTTTGGCGTTGCTAAAAGGTATTAATGAGCTTCTCGGAATATGCTTGCCTTTAAGCACTTCAGCACATGCAGCAGGATCGCTTTCACTCGTCGAGTTCTGCCCGCATTCAGCAATACAAGAAGCTGCTTTGGGTGGTACTGCGGGAGGATTGGCGATGCATTTCGAGCGAATTCGAAGAGACCTAAAGTATTGTTCAGTATCGTTTTCGAAAACATACCAAATCCGGAAAAGGCTTCCACTAGATTTTGTTCTTCCGAAGGTTCAAGGTCCGGGATTGGAGCGGCCGTGTGAGAACTACAAGCATATAAAGGCATATAGGTAAGGTAATTACTGTTTCGCGGCTTCGATCAACAGCTTCGTCCTCATACGGTCATGGTCTTTGGTCTTCTTCCCAAGTTGGTCCAGCATCGAATGCGATGGGCTGATGCCTAGGGTACTGGTGCCAGTTCCCTTTCGTCTAGAATAGTTTTCATTTCATTAAGACAGGATGGTATACTTGGCATTGACCGGCAGAGGAGCCACAGCTTTCGGAGCCTGTTTCGGCTTTAGGTTCCATTGGTTGTAGCACCTATGCAAAAACGTTCATCAGTAATTGATCGTCTTAAAATACCTCATCTCGGTCTGCATCCCCACAATAAGAATCCCGTCTCTGGCCCATTGGAGTGAGGTGGGGAGTGGCGGTAGACCATCAGCAGAGTTTAGGTCGAAGATCCTCGTGCATACCCAACGAGTCTAGATTGTGTTAATTAAGTGTATAAATAGATATTTACATACCAATTTGTTTTGCATGTGTTCTGGAGCAGCCAAGCTGCTCGATTTTCTCAGACTTGGCCGCCGGATGCTCACTTCTGTGTCCCTCATCGCCACAACGTTCTTTTGAGCTTGGTCCTTAATAAATTATCATACCTGCAGCCATAGATTTTCATACCTGCGACACCTGGGTGTACAAATAGATCTTCGACGCGACAGCTACAGTCAAAATATGCCCGCCATCCTCGGTTGATACCCAGTCAATCCGGATCATATCCGAGATCGGCACTAAATAAAAACAATTTCCCCATCGACAAGATGAAACGAACGATTATCAAAGGTTTCTTGTGCCTTCAACGTAGAGGTACTTAGCACACGCTTGATTGTGTCATATTGCGGCACTGAAACAACAAAGTTAATGACGGGCGTGGAGGTGCAACTGAATGATAATTAATATACTGCAAAAACAGCGAAACCAACTACCGATAGAATAATAGGGTGTATAAAAGATTGTGAGTGGATCAAAACTAATAGCATTTTTGGTGTTGCGCAACTTAGCGAACTTGTGGATGCAAATTTGAGGAAAGAATAGAAAAATTCTTATAGATTTGCCCGTATATGGACGTTTAAGATTCGTCAAAAATCAGACGCTTCCTAACTCGACTCGGACAGATCGGAATCGTAATTATGCCATTTGAAAATCGGTGTAAAAACTAGTTTGTAACAACCTTCATATTTAGGTTTTTATATCGCTCCAATTCTATAAACTGAAGATTAAGATTAAGACACAAATGCCTGACGATTCCCCTTTTTGGGCCTTCAGATGGCACAACTATGATTACGATCCGACCCGTCTGCCTCGAGTAAGAACGCTGTGTATTGGACACCCTGTATAACTCGAAAAATGCAGAGTTTTCAATAAAATCATTCATAGTCTCAAGCCACCACACACAACACACCATGCACATGGGAGGCCGTGGACTGGGCTAGAAGCCCATCAAGCAGATGCTCTTCATGTGGGCCGTGGTGGAGATGATGCTGGTTGAGGCCGGTGCGCGAGGCAGAAGCATGGAGCATTTCGAAGAGTCCGGAACGAGGCCGCGTCAATGATGCACGAGACGACAATGATCCACTAGCAATGAGTGCGGGATGCATGGCGGCCCATCCCTGGGCTGCTTGTTCACGCATACCTCGCGCTGTCGAGGAGTAGTCGTCGACATTTGGTGGCCTGAAAGGTGAATGTTTTAATTCGCGAAAACCGGTTTTTTGAGTTTTTCGAAATTCCTTCATTTAACAATTTTACATGCAAAAATGTAAAAATCCTTGACAAAGTGGGCGAATCCCGGGCGAATCCGATTTTTTGCTTTTTGGTGGTTCGGCAACAAAACATATTTCTAGGCCCACGGCGTGCGATGTTTAGGCCTGGCTCTCACTCTAGCGCCGCAGGCCACAGAAAAGGCCCCTGGCTCGGGCTCTCGCGCCGCAGGCCAAACAAAAGGTTCTTGGCCCGCGTTCTCGCGCCGCAGGCCAGATCCTGAAGGAAAACCAGTAGCTAGCGCCGCAGGCTTAAGGATTCTAGCGCTAGGCTGTCTCTGGCGTCACAGGCCAAAGAATGACCCCTTGACTCAGGTTCTAGCGCCGCAGGCTAGGGAAAAGAAGGTATTCAGATTCATGGTGTCTGGACGGGGCCAGTGGAAAAGAGCTGCGAAGCGGTCTTTTTCCACTGGTTAATATTATTACATATTTTATGCTAATTTTGTAAACAAACCGAACTTACCGAACTTGGGGGAAATCAATATGATCAATAGTTATCAAGTCCTCCCGCATCCATTCCACACCACCAGACGACTCGCATTCGAAAATCCCGATGTCAATCTAAACATCATCCTGTTCGACATAATTTTCGATCCCATCTAGGAACAATCAGATTCCGCTACTTGTGTTCATAAAGTAATGCCCAAATTCGGGGGAAGGGCGATAGGAACAACACGTCTACGTGCTTACTTTACGCTTTCCTTCGACAACTATCTGAGCCTTTGGGAAATGCTGGAAGGATTAAGGAGGCAACGGAGTGCTTCTTACTTTTGTCGGGCGATCGTGAGCTCCATAGGAGGATGTTCTTGAATCATAGGCGCAAGCTAGCCTTCCGGAGTGTGCAGCCGCAAGGGCGTAGACCGGGCCTGAAAGCGTGATACAAATTCCGTACGTGTACGCACCATCAATTTCGAGTAATGATGGGCTGGAATCAGAAATCATTCTCCATTCTTTCCAACGAAATTCGTGGATTCCCTTGGTCGGATCTGGTTGGGTGCACTTCCAGAAGCGGATCATATCGTCGTCGCAGGCCGTCATCAACACATATGGAGCCTTGCAAGCTGGATACAAGGAGGATGAGGAGAGATGGCCTGCGGCAGGCACTGCTGCGATAATCTAGCATTCATTCATTAAATGTAGCATTATTGATTTTCCTCACCCTTGTTTCATTCGCCAGCACAATTGGTTGATCGCAGATTTTTGTAAATTCGGTATGGAGTGAGGCGACAGATGGCGGTACTGGGCTGGCTGGACGTAGGAATCCCTTGTTATCCGGCAGGTTTTCAGAATCTGAAACCGGAAGTTGATATTCAGAGTTGTTTTCACTTACCCAGGATTGGAATTGGCGTTGCCTGCTGGGAAGCAAGATTTAGCGCAAACATCAAGAGTCTAATTTGAATATAGATATTTTGTGTTCAAAAGCATTACCTATCGACAGAAGCCTCCTTCACAACAACCACAATAAAGTATCGATCGCTGAATGATGGTGCACGAGTGCGGTCTAAATTTCCATGTTTGAAATGTTGTCATCGATTTTACCATTGATCAAGCTGATATTGGCCAAAGGCTCATCAACATCTCGGTCATTATCTTCAATCACCAATCTTTCGTTGTAGACGTGGAAGAACAAGATTTTTCCGGTAGGCTAGATTTTGTTTTCCTTGAATCACTTTAGCTTAGGGTTACCAGGGCTTTTTGCAGCTTCCCAATCTCAATCACACATCCCGGTTTTGCAGCTGATTGCGTGGAAACGATCTTGAACGCATCGGACATATTTGTGTCGGGCGCCGTCCCATTGGGGAGCAACATCGAGGTGCTCTTTGCCTTTTCATCGTCGTCTTCCTTCGTTTTCTTGGCGTTGTAGATTTCAGCAAGTAGTGAACGAGCATCGACCACGGCTTGATAGAGCACCAGATCGGTTCCATTTGTGGCGATAAAGCAGGAAGATGGTGAGTTACACACCGTGCCCAGAGTGCTACTAAAAAAAAATTGAATGAACTGGACAACCGCGTAAAATTACCTTGGGAGGATTGCCGGTACCCAGGCAATGTGTTGGAAAGAAAAGGCTGAATGGGCGGCAACTTTTGCCAATTCCGATACACCACCGCTTCGACAAAGCGGACCAACAGACGAGATTTTCCATAGGATCGCCTAAATTAACGTAAATGATTTGTGTTTAGCTGTCCACCTCCGACAAACTATCTTTCCGCTCGTTTTCTCCAATGTGCTCAGTTGCAGTAAAATGTGATGTTGTGATGACGAGTGGAAGAACGGGATGGGGAAGAATCTAAACCTTAGGTAGGTTTTTCCAATTTACCCTTACCTCGTTAATTTGGAACCTATGACCGCACATCCGGCTGATATGCATAATGTTCAGCACGGTGGTGTATTGCGAATTTTCATCCATTGTTAGCTGCCACAAATTCAGGGTGCCATTTGAATGGTTAGTCAGCATGTAGATGGAATGGCTTTGATAGCGTTCAAGAAGGTGGGCATTGGCTGAATAAAGTTTTTCTAACTTTGATATACGATTTTTACCTTCAGCGTCATTATGGCATTTGTGGAGCACATCAAAATACACTGGAGTGTACGGGTTGAATGTGTGCAGCGTTGTTCGTAATGATGCTGCATCCGTAATTGGGAACGTACCCGGGAAACGCGATGAAAAAGAGACGGATGGTTGACGTCGTGGATCGTCCAACCATTCGATGGTCCTTAAATAACGATAATTATTATTATCTATGTTTTTAACGAACCATGTCAGCAAACTCCCATCAACCGGATGAACGGCAAATAAAATGTCGTTACTCTTGGCCCATTGTCGTAGCATCCGCTCCAAATTCGCGTCCAGACGATCTTTGGTTTGGGAGCCAGTCTAAAACTCAACAGCTTACAATGTTGTTTTTAATCTTACCATGGAATCGCTTTCTTCATGATGAACGCTGGGTGGTTTTGAGGAGAAATTCTGGCCAAACTCTGGGGAAAGAAGGTCTGGTGTATTGGTCACCTCAGAGAGCTCTTGCGATGGAGGCACCGGGGAAGTGCTTTCTAATTTATCATTGAAATAAATTCGCTAAATTCTTACTCATATCCCGGAAATCGGCGAACAACATCTCGGCAAAGAATTTTTCCGCTCCTTGACTGTACACAATTTCCTTATTGTTCATCCAGTGAACTGCAAAGGTTTTGCGGAGGGTGTTAACGCCTTCCATTGTAGGGACGAGTAGGCAATCTAAACTGTGTAGCATAAAAATGAACGCGTAAGGCATAATTTTCTGTGCTTTTTTATTTTTTAACCTACCGGTCTCGGCATTAATCGAAGCGCATAGATGGAACTGAATGTGTCCGGGTTGTGAAGTTTGTGCCTGCTGACTAAAGTCGGAAACCGACGAAATCCTCGAAATCTGGCTCTCAGCTTTTGTCGCTGCGTCATTCTTTTCTCGGCTAAAAATTAAATCGTTTTTTTTGCACATTTTAACTTACATATGATGGAATTTCCTTAGAATCTTGTTGCGAGCCCTCTTCACGTTGTGCTTGAATTTTCCATGGCCCTTCTTCTCATTTGCATGCGGGGCAACATTCTCCGTTTCGTTGTTTAGTTCGAACATCAAACTTTCGGTCGAGGGAGTTTCCTTAAAGGTGGTAAGCACGATTATTTCTTTGAATCGTCTATACCTTCCATATCCTTGATGTATTATCGGAACACCAAGTAATCAACACATTCGAAACGCATTTTCTAGATTGTTGTTAATATTTCGTTTCAGAAAATTACCTCGGCATATATCTTCCAACACGTCTCCACTCAAACCCAGTAATAGGGTTCGGATGGTAGAGCGGGTAAAACGAAAACGATACGGTATTTGTGGCCTCATCTAAACATTGTTTTTTATGGAATAAATAAAACTCTTACCAAGTATTTCGTACCAAATCTTCACGATCGATTCTTCATCTCCACATGTTGCAAAGAAAAAGCCATCCGGGGAATATCTGGTTTCAAGGTAAAATAAATTAGTTGTAAACAACCTGATAAATTTTGGCGGAGCTTTTAGGGCCCTAGACCATAGCTTTTGCCAGTCGTCCGCTGCAACGTGTTGATCTTCCTGAATTGTAAAGGTGACTGGGGCTTCAGAGGCATGATTTTGCAAATTGCAGCGCTGTTGGTACAAGAGAAGCTCGTTCCGGATGGCCACGAGAAGGCGTTGTCCTGAATGAGGTTATGAAACCTATACGATGATGTCATACCTTCATAGTTCCAGATTACAGACGATACAGGACCCTTGACTCGGAGGGAATGTGTTTCAAACCATTTGTAGTCGAGCAGCTAAGTTTAGGTATTCTAATTTTGCGATAGCTTACATTTCTCGGTTTTTCCGTTTTGTGATGGGAGGGCTCAAAGATGCGGATAACATTTCCATAAGTAGCGGCAATCTATAAGAAGATTGTAAGATAGAACTTGATAAATTTTAAATACCTTTCCAGTGTCTTGACATGTGCTGACACTGCTTACAATATGGCAATCATCTTTTCCAATCCCAGGAATGACTTGTACTCGCTCGAAATTTGCTCCCAAAATGACGATATTTGCCCCGACGGCGCATACCTATATCGAAATATATAATTTAATAAAGTTTTTAGATACCGTAAAGCTGATCCCATCGACGGAGCAAACAGAGAAGACATGCTCACCCTGATTTAGAGCCCCAGTGATTACCTGGTGTGCACTCATACATGCACACGAGGTTTTGATAATCTAAAATATCACCTGATTATTGAATAAATAGTTTAAGAAGCAAATTGAGAGGTTAAAGTGTAAGTTTCATGAAGGTTTTCGGTCATAAAATAAATATTTTAAAAGGAAATTCGCAGACAATATTGCTATATTACTCTTGCCGAAAAGCACCAGGCATGCCATCGATCAAACGACAAAAATCGAAAGCTTCTGCATGACTAATGAACTACTGGGCTGTCCGGCGGTCAGCGTGGAAACACCAAAGGCCCTGTACACGACATCATAATATATTAGGCATCGTAAAGCTATGCATACAACCAATTTTTACCCAATCTAGCCCTTTAAGCTTCACCCTGAACCCTAAACCTTGCAGTTATTTACTCCATACTCTTTTTATTGAAATTCCAATATGTAGTATACAGTTTGGCCATGAAAATCGGGGCGCGACACACGATGAAATGTCAATAAACAAAAATATTGGGCATTTAGGGGAGGCGCAGAGTGGTGCCGCTCAGCTACGGTGCTGCGTCCAGATGCAAGGCTTTTCGGGCAAGGAGGGCAACATAACTAGCTGGCAGAATATAAGCGTTAATGGTGAGGTTGAGGTTTTTTGGAGAGCTTAGGTTATCAGTCACGTGCCCCCGAGCCACGCCCTTATCAACCGAATTTTTGGGTCAAACAACCCGCGTAAAATTAACTATAGCGCAGCTATAAGTAGACCGGAAAACTTTAGTATACGGAAATTTCGAAACAATCAGAAAAAAACAGGAGCCGCTGCTCCCAACCCATAACCGGCGGGGATTAATTTGCATATTTTTACTAGACCTTTCAGTTTCCCGAAAAACAAACAACACACTGCGCTATGCTCACTGATCATTCGTATGGTTTATTCAAATACCGGGATTGCTGCGTTGAAATCGTAAAACGAAAAAATAGTTTTGGCCTGGTTATGTGGTCTTGGAGTTTAGGATTCCGTTTGCATCCGCCTCGACAGCATCGGACATTGATGGGAAGATATAATTCACCATGTCTGCTTTTTCGAACGCTTCCAATTGTTTGACCAACGCCAAGACGCCATCTAAACTTGGCAATTAATCTACAAGACTTATTTGCATAAAATTACCGTTTGGCGCGACATAAAGAAGATGGATATCGGCTTTTTGTAACTCGAGGAACGCCTGGAATTTTTTGCAATGTTTGAAAATAATGCAGCAAATTACTTCAATTAAACAAGTTGCCCCCATTTGATCGACAAATGGTATTCCAGAAATATCCAATACAACGGTTCGAACTTGGATCAACGTTTTCTTTATGCTGATTGTTGATACTTTCTAAACAGTATAATTAATCTTTCACAATGGTTGCTAACCTTCTCCAGGTCAAGTTTTATAGAACGATCCCGCAACGGGTCTGATTCCCCATTTTTCTCTGAAGAAGAGAGGTTCAATTTTCTGGAAGTGATAAAGTGTTTTTGCATGGGTTGGCTTGCCTGGCCTCTGCATTAGCCATCTCGATCGAAGTGAAAAGAATTTTCTGGAATCTCTCTGAATTCAGGAACACGAGTGGTGCGGTGAATTTTAGGCACAAGAGGCCGTTCACGACAGTTGCGTCGCTACAATCATTTGAAATCGACTTTGAAAAGCTTTACCGATATTTCTTCAGTGATCTATAATAGTCACGATCTTTTTGATGACTCATATGGCCCAATTCCGTGAAGTTAGACCTGAAAAAAGCTCTATTAATGCCAATTTCCCCAGTTACTATCTTTCCTATACCCCTTCCACCCGTCTCAATGCCAAACAGTTTCAAAACAAACTGTCGCTCGGGTTTTTTTTTTTTTGGGTGTCGGGTGGGCTGTTCCCCCACACTTGGCTAGAGTTACGTTCAAATATTTGACATGAAGCTCTTGGCACGCGTGGCGCTAGCATTGAGGGTGCTTCGGGTTGGGGTGCTGATTTTTCTCAAAAGTGATGCCAGTGGATGATGGGTCCTCGGGATCAGTGTCCACTCATCTTGGGCGCGTTGAGAGGGTGCTCAACCCCTTTCAATTTGCATTCATCGGCTTTCGCCCCCCCCCCCCCGTCAGCTGCTTTTCAAGCAAAAATTGATCAATTTTGGGTCCATGTTTTGAGATAACTTTTAACTATTAAGGAAATTTGTCTCTATGCTACCGTATTTTCTCTTTTCTTCTATTATGCCCCTTCTAATTTAGGTTTCCTCGCTAGAAAATGTTTTAAGCTGAATTTACAATTTCAAAAAGCCAATAATTTTGTTAATGCTCACCGTAGCAATGTGAGTAATTTTTGAAGTGATGTTAAATGAAAAAAAAACTTAAAAAATTGGACAAAATCGCTACCGTTTTTCTAGTTTTCGCTGATCTCAAGATGGAAGCCCTTCCCCTACTAAAATAAAATGTTGCCTTTTGGGTGAATGAAAAAGGAACGCCCGGGTGATGTTAGAGGGATCATTATACGGTATTTGGAATCAACCTTCTGTGATATTCTAAGCCTACCAAATCGGACTCTTTTTTGCTTCTAGCCAAAGCTTCTCCCTAATCAGCTTCACCCACCGCCGCCAACTGCGAACAATTCAGACACATTGAACGGATCAAGGTGCGCATTGGCGTGACGAACCTACGGATCCGGTCCGTTGTTTACGTTTTCTCAATGACTCTTCGAATGGCCCCCCGATCGCCATAAGAACCGCCAAAGACCCACGTGTGGGTGGGGCCAAGGTCTGTTGGGGGGTAGTAGAGATGGTCATTCGTTGGGCAGGCTAACCTTTGGCAATCCTTAGATGCTGCTATCTGGCCTTAGATCTGACCTAGAAGGGTTCGATGACTCAACTAGCTATTACTTGATATATATCTTAAACGCCACGATTATGCCTCTAAATTTGGTTTTCGAAGGCCAAAACTTTTCATTATTTAGATGCTCCGATCCAGCAGCTTGCTACTTGGGTTATTCTTCTTGGGTGTCGTTTCCGGCTATCCGGGTGGCTGGGATTGTGGGCTTGACACTGGCTTGATGGGAGCCGTCACATCGAAATTAGCCTATTTCATCGCCTACCCATCGACTCGTACATCAAGTAATATTAAAAAATCACTAAAAATACTTACTAACTAACTCAATATACCAGAAACTCACTATATGATTTCTAGCAATCAACCGATGCTGCCGGGAACATGATCAACTCTTGGAAAATAAATGGCTCCAAATCTCGCGCAAAGAAATTGATCGCCTCTTCTGCCAATGCCTCGAAAATACCGATAGCACTTATACCCGTATGATTGTAGAGCCGATTTTCTGTGCCTCTGTCAAATTGTACTCTTATTTTCATTGAGCAGGCTTCCTCCACGTTTTCTTGAGACTAACGTGTTCTTTTGCTCATGCTCATGCTTTTTTCGTTACGGGTTTTACGGATGCCTACAAATATGCAATAAATTTCTATCAGTCTCGTGCTTCGGACATTCGACGTGGCAGAGGGCCAACTGCGCCAGTTTGTCACTCGGCGACTCGGGGGATTCAAGCCGCTGCAAAAAGGTTTTTGCATGGAAAATATGAATAAAATTCTTCCTTTGATGAATGGTCACGTCCAACATAGCCTTTTATGACAATTAAACTCGTCAGAAAAACATGAAACAAAGAATTTTTGATTTTTACCGCTTACTCACAGGCACTTTACGATCAGACCTTACTACTTACTAGTTAGTTACCGTGTATTAAAAAATGATACCTCTGAATTGCAAACTAATTTAAATTTATTGAAGCACGGCTTTCTCCACAAATTCTCCACAATTGAGGCACAATTTTTCTGGCATCGTTTTTCCTCCGGGTGGCCTTAACAACCATGCCAGGGCCAACTGTCCCTATCTATCCACCCATTCCCCTTGAATCTTGCGTTTCGCTTTTCCGATCGAAACTGTCGACTAGGTGCATCTTAATTTCCTTGCCGGTCCCAGCTATCCTTGACAACTTCTAAAGAAGATGAAAATCCGCCTGCTTCTCCTATTGCTAGCAACTCCCGTCTTTGTAAACGGATGGCAATGCGGTATTGGCTCAATCACACCTATTGTCTGACATTCTTTTCATCGGTTCAGGGCGGTATGTAATTTACTGATTTATGGTAAATGGATTAATTCAGGAATCAACGGCTGCTGTGAAGAGCATGACAGATTAATAGCGGTTCTGGAAGAGAGTTATCGGCAACGTTGGGACCGCCATACCAGAATTTGGATGACAAGGAGCGAAATTGATCAGCGCTTTTGCCAGTGCCTTAGCGGTTACGATAGTTTTTACGTACGCTGGCTTATCGAGCCGTCATTCTGTGCCGCCGTGAAGATTCATACGTACTTTACTGCCCCTCGCTTTTCATGGTATGATTAAACTCGATAACTATGCCACTAGGAATCGATTTATTGTGAAATAAAATGATTGAATAATAGCGAGAAAACTACCCTAAAACTTGCAGTAAAGTTACAGGAAGACACAAAACCACGGGTTCTTAAGTCGGAGATTAGGATTCTCAAGGCAACATTTTTCTGACACCCCAGGCCAACTGTCTTTACCCATCACCCGGCCACTACGTTTTTCCATTTGCTTATCTGATAAAATTCCTTGGACCAAAGGTATTTATTGGATTTCTATCGATATCTTGTAATTTTTATCCTACCGCCCTAACGATACCTATACGAAATGAAGCTCGTTCTGATACTCTTGCTGCTAACCGCCCCCGTATTTTCTGATTTTCTCGATTGGCAATGTGGGATCGGCGCCATCTCTGGCAGAATTTCATATCTTCTAACAATTTTCTCATCAGCACAACGCGGTAAGTAGTATTCTTTTTCGCTAGGATTGTTCTGGTTGAGGAATCAATGAATGCTGCCGAGAGCACGATACTCTAATCGACCGTCGACGCAACGGGCTATGGTTAACTAGGGGCCAAATCGATCGTCGTTTTTGCCAATGCCTCGACAACCACGATAACTTCTTTGTGCGCTGGTTTATCGAGCCGATTTTCTGCGCGGCTGTGAAAATTCACTCGTTCTTCTCGTCATAAGGTTGTCGTAATTATTAGGTGCTACATAGGCCAAGATGGCTTGATTGAAATAAAATATTTTAATTCCATTTATGACTACTCTCTATCCTACTCAATTCATATATGAAATCCTATCCTATATAAGCGAGAAAAGTAGGTGTGTTTTCTGTCATGCAGATTTCTCGGCCGCCAGACCGAATTGCGAGCTGATTTTTGGCATGGAGGTGGAGAAACACATTCCTCAAAAATTCAAAATTTTTTGCGAAATTCTTTCATTTAACGGTTTTACAAGCAAAATAGTGAAAATCCTTAACAAAATGGGCTGCGAAGCCGCGAAGCTGACTTTTTTCACTGGTTCTACATGATACAGATTCAATAAAAGAATATCGATAAAGCAAAAAAAAAAATCACGAAATTACTAGTTCGGATGTACAAACTTTTTTTGTGTTTTCAGAAGCTACAAGGATCCACTTAGGGTTAGGTTTAAAATTTAGAAGAAACCAGCGCTGACCCCCCGCTACGCGGCGGTTCAGCGCTGGCCCTCCCTTCCCCCCGCTCCCGAAAAAAAATTTGAATTTGGAATTTGAATGCCGGATTTGGCTGAATTTTCGGTCGCGCGAACGGACGGACATTAGAAATTTATATATAGTAGATTCCGATAAAAAAGTATCAATGGTCTACAGCAGTGTCTACCGCCTGGTACCATCAATAACTTTTTTCTGCTCACTTGCTCGCGGGGATGAGTGCAATCTGTGCCAACTGCCCTCTGGTCCGAAAAATACTGACCTTATCTTCAATTTTTCTGTGGGTTTCGACCAAAACTTATAGAGTCCCCGTAAATACAGAAAAATAATGCAGATTCTATTCATATTCTCATTAATCTTAATTATTGCTCTGTCGTCGGCTGGACCTTTGACAAATTCTACTGGAGAACCCCGACCTACCCCGGTGATACTCACGCGACCGGAATTCCACAAGTGGAAATGCGGCCAAAATGATGGATTCGTTACAAATGTTATCACGAGCCTACTAGCAAGATTGTCGCCCGAACTGGCTCGTAAGCTTTCAAAAATTAAAAAAACGTTTCGATTTAGCTATCAAGGTTTGCTGTGTTGTGCATGAGCACCAAAGGCTCAATCCGAAATACTGGAATCTGACGCGCGAAGAGGGTGACTTGCAATTTTGCCAATGCCTGAATCGACTTGAGACTTTCTATGCTCGATGGGTTATCCAGCTCTCATTTTGTGCAGCTGTACGGGTTAATACATTTCTATTTCATTAGAGAGTAAAGTAAGAAGAAGAAACTAAGTAAGAGGGAATAAATATTAAAAGTTGACATACCGTTGAATCCGCATGATAAGTGCAACCAGTTCGAAAGCAACACCTATCGCCAATCCTTCCACAATATCGAGGGCAGAAGTGGCGATAAAAGTCACCAGAATTGAACACTAGTTTAATTAGTAATTTTATGGAAAATAAAACACTTACCGCATCGATTTTATTGCGTTTCCACAGTATTGGTATTTGATCGAGTTGCTTAAACATACCTCTTAACGCTACGATAATTATACAAGACAGGAGACACTAAAATGTATCTCTCATCATAAATTCTTTCAAGATTACCACTGGCAACTCCTCTAATAAAGGGCCAGCAAAGAAAATTATAGTAAGTAGTAACAAGCTTGAAAATACAGTGGCAATTTGTGTCTTGGTCCCGGCCGCCTGAATTTCTATAATCTTTTTTAGAGGCATATACCTCGTAGACTAAAGTTCTTGCCAATGCTGTACTGCTTGGCCACGCCGGAAATATCGAACATAAACTCTCCATAATACCGAGCGCGAAAAATTCCTGAGATGTTTGAGAGTTTATTTTTTTATTCAAATCTACCTGCTTAGCATCCACTTTGTAGTTATGTTTCTTGGCGAATAGTTTACCCATAGAGATGGTAATGACCAGAACGATGACGGCAATGGCCAGCGCATCTTTGTACATTAATGAGAATAGGCCTGGGTTTGGAAGTTGAGTGCTTGGCAAGCTAAAATTTAACATTAGATATATTGATATTAGTTTTATTTACCCGGTAGGTATTTCACCGACAACCTTAATTCCATAAGTGCTGTGTAGGCGTAGAAAATAGGAAAATATCGTACCAAAAATTATCTAAAATCAGGGAGTCAAATCAGTTGTTATTCCTTACCACTAGGAGATCATATGGCACCGGGATTCGTGAGTTCAACTTTTTCTTGATAATCGGATCGATGCAACTTTTTGCGATATATAGCACCAAAATCGTTGTAAGGGATATTAAAAATGTTGAGAGACTAGCGTGGCCAGCTTTGATTGAAGAGAACAATTCGGAATACACCTAGGATTCTCATCAATCTTTGTACACGAATTCATACCCCAAACAATTTGCCAATTCCAGTCACCCTAGGCAAGGAGACACCGAGTAATTTGTTGAGTTGAGCCGTAAAGACGTGAACAGAAGCACCCGTGGTAAAACCAATTATGACCTATGCAAATATTTGAAAAATTATTCGGACAAACTTGATCAGACAAGAAGCTCGTAAGGAAATCCATTTGAAGTAGACCAAGAAGGATCTGCGAAAACGAATAATAATAAAAAAATTTCAAACCTGTATAATACCAACTAGTAACGCTAATGATCCTACAACTTCGACCCGGATATCATACGTCAAATTTTCAAAGGCTTCCTCATCAATAAGTTGTGAGGAATTATCCGGAAACCGCTCATCATAAAGCTGCTGTGTCAACCTCAGATTACACGAGCCGACCATAAGGCTCACAACAGCAAAAACACCTAAATTTACGTAAGATATTCCTTCCGACTTAACAATACCTATTGATACATGTCGCGATGTGCCAAACACCATATAAACAAGCGGGGCAAAAAGTGAGGTATATAATCCATTTACCGGCTTCATTCCAGCTAGATTTGCATATGCCATTCCTAAATAAAAATTATGCACTGATTGAGGTGGTGAAGTTACCTTGTGGAACATGCATAATCCCAACTGTTAATCCGCCAATTAAATCACTAATCAACGTCTCCTTAAAATTATAATTCGGAAGCCATTCCAAGATTGGGATGTATTTCTTTAGAGGTTTTGGGTTCAAGTGATCCTTGATCATCTCGTATCTTTCCTGTAAAACGTTAAAAAAATTTAAATTGCCAAACCTCATCTAGCAATGGTCGTTTACGTTGTTTTTGCAAAAACCCAAATTCTTCATCAAATATCATCTATTTTAGATCGGTTTGTTAGGTTAACAAAGTATTCAAACCTGATTTTTATTAACCTCTTCATAATAATTGCGTACATCCGGTGTCCCGGCTTTCGGGACACTTGCTGGCGAATCACCCATGAGCAAAAATGGCAAGCATCAAGGGCCAATGAGGCTGGAAAAGGGGGGAATCGAGTTGTCGGAGCGGTTATTACAGAAAATTTGTAGCCCCGACAACAGGGGGAATTCTTTTTGCGTTTCAATTAGGGAACGAGGTCCCAATTGAGGTAATGGAATCGTATACGGGAAAGGGGGTAAAAAATCAAGAAAAAAAAATCAAGAAAAAGGGGTCAGGAAATTGAATCGGTTATTCTAAGGAATAAGTTAGGATATGGCGACGATAGCCAAAACCTGAAGTCCAGAATGATCAAGAAAAGCGTAGTTTTCTTAGTCTTTTGTTATTCGTCTGGTAGGCTAAAGGAGCCGGCCATTGTGCCGGCTTTTTCTTTGGGGCAGAACTTTGTGTAAATAGAGGAGCATCGCAGGTATTAGGTGGCCGGGTGATCACAAGGGGCCAGTAAAAGCACGAAACGAAATCAAAGTAATCGAAAATTAGCTATATTTTTATAAAAATAAAATATTTTTTGTGACAAATTTGTCTCGGAAGCCAGCCACTGTTCCTGGAAGAAAAGCTCATGCAAAATGTGGCAATAGATACCCCCTTCTATTTTGAGACACAACCCTTGCGAGGCATCATGCAAAATGAAGAGGCGAGATGCTTGGCGGGCAGTAGCCTCGAGGAATTTCGCGAGCAAGAAAAAAGGGCTCACCGGGCAAAAGCCGGGAGAGGGCCAAAAGAGCCGCAAAGGGCCCCTGGGGCCCTCTCCCCCTATTGATCACGCAAAAGCTGAAAGCTATCGAAACGCAATGTGACAATGTCAATAGGGGAGTGATTTTAAATTTTGAAAATCTGTGATTGACCATGTGTTTTTTGAATTTGTAGAGGTGTAGTTAGTAATATCCTATTCAGAGCACGCTAGTCTTTATTAAAAATATGTAAATTTAATCTCGAATACTACGCAAAATGCAAGCGCTCCTGAGCGGCGCAAATCACAACTGGAATCAGAATCAGGCGAGCAAAATCGGTGGCGTTGTAATAAAAATCCCGTCTGGCAGACCCTGGCCTTTTCAGTCATCAAGGGTAACGTCCCTGAAAAGATATTATCTGTCTTGGAGCTTTTTGAGCTTTTGAGCAGGTTGGATGTGAGGGGCCGGCATGGATAGCTGCCCCGAGAGAGGCATTCCGCGTGCTTCGGTAGCTCAATAGGGAGAGCATCGGACTCGAAAGCCGTAGGATGCGGGTTCGACCCCCGCCCGGAGCACTTGTTTTGCGGATTGGACCCGGAGCTAGTCCATGGCCATGGGACCCCAGAATTCCCAACTAGCAGACAACCAGATGGTTCCAGTCGCTTCGCGACTGTAACCATCTGGCCTTCGGGCTACCCTTCATTTCATACACCATCACATCCATCCCTACCTCTCCCAAAATACCCCCGCTAATGGCTACCGATACCTCCCCTAGCCGAAATCCCCTTCAAAAACTACCTAAATACCTTCCTGATGGCTTCAGATACCTCCCCTAGCCGAAAAACCCTTCAAAAACTACCTACATACCTTCCTGATGGCTTCAGATACCTCCCCTAGCCGAAAAACCCTTCAAAAACTACCTAAATACCTTCCTGATGGCTTTAGATACCTCCCCTAGCCGAAATCCCCTTCAAAAACTACCTAAATACCTTCCTGATGGCTTTAGATACCTCCCCTAGCCGAAATCCCCTTCAAAAACTACCTAAATACCTTCCTGATGGCTTTAGATACCTCCCCTAGCCGAAATCCCCTTCAAAAACTACCTACATACCCCCGCTAATTGCTACCGATACCTCCCCTAGCCGAAAAATCCTTCAAAAACTACCTACATACCTTCCTGATGGCTTTAGATACTTCCCCTAGCCGAAATCCCCTTCAAAAACTACCTACATACCTTCCTGATGGCTTTAGATACCTCCCCTAGCCGAAATCCCCTTCAAAAACTACCTACATACCTTCCTGATGGCTTCAGATACCTCCCCTAGCCGAAAAACCCTTCAAAAACTACCTAAATACCTTCCTGATGGCTTCAGATACCTCCCCTAGCCGAAAAACCCTTCAAAAACTACCTAAATACCTTCCTGATGGCTTCAGATACCTCCCCTAGCCGAAAAACCCTTCAAAAACTACCTACATACCTTCCTGATGGCTTCAGATACCTCCCCTAGCCGAAAAACCCTTCAAAAACTACCTAAATACCTTCCTGATGGCTTTAGATACCTCCCCTAGCCGAAATCCCCTTCAAAAACTACCTAAATTCCTTCCTGATGGCTTTAGATACCTCCCCTAGCCGAAATCCCCTTCAAAAACTACCTAAATACCTTCCTGATGGCTTTAGATACCTCCCCTAGCCGAAATCCCCTTCAAAAACTACCTAAATACCTTCCTGATCGCTTTAGATACCTCCCCTAGCCGAAATCCCCTTCAAAAACTACCTACATACCTTCCTGATGGCTTCAGATACCTCCCCTAGCCGAAAAACCCTTCAAAAACTACCTAAATACCTTCCTGATGGCTTTAGATACCTCCCCTAGCCGAAAAACCCTTCAAAAACTACCTACATACCTTCCTGATGGCTTCAGATACCTCCCCTAGCCGAAAAACCCTTCAAAAACTACCTAAATACCTTCCTGATGGCTTTAGATACCTCCCTAGCCGAAAAACCCTTCAAAAACTACCTACATACCTTCCTGATGGCTTCAGATACCTCCCCTAGCCGAAAAACCCTTCAAAAACTACCTAAATACCTTCCTGATGGCTTTAGATACCTCCCCTAGCCGAAATCCCCTTCAAAAACTACCTAAATACCTTCCTGATGGCTTTAGATACCTCCCCTAGCCGAAATCCCCTTCAAAAACTACCTAAATACCTTCCTGATGGCTTTAGATACCTCCCCTAGCCGAAATCCCCTTCAAAAACTACCTACATACCCCCCGCTAATTGCTACCGATACCTCCCCTAGCCGAAAAACCCTTCAAAAAACTACCTAAATACCTTCCTGATGGCTTCAGATACCTCCCCTAGCCGAAAAATCCTTCAAAAACTACCTACATACCTTCCTGATGGCTTTAGATACTTCCCCTAGCCGAAATCCCCTTCAAAAACTACCTACATACCTTCCTGATGGCTTTAGATACCTCCCCTAGCCGAAATCCCCTTCAAAAACTACCTAAATACCTTCCTGATGGCTTTAGATACCTCCCCTAGCCGAAATCCCCTTCAAAAACTACCTAAATACCTTCCTGATGGCTTTAGATACCTCCCCTAGCCGAAATCCCCTTCAAAAACTACCTAAATACCTTCCTGATGGCTTTAGATACCTCCCCTAGCCGAAATCCCCTTCAAAAACTACCTAAATACCTTCCTGATGGCTTTAGATACCTCCCCCTAGCCGAAATCCCCTTCAAAAACTACCTACATACCCCCGCTAATTGCTACCGATACCTCCCTAGCCGAAAAATCCTTCAAAAACTACCTACATACCTTCCTGATGGCTTTAGATACTTCCCCCTAGCCGAAATCCCCTTCAAAAACTACCTACATACCTTCCTGATGGCTTTAGATACCTCCCCTAGCCGAAATCCCCTTCAAAAACTACCTACATACCTTCCTGATGGCTTCAGATACCTCCCCTAGCCGAAAAACCCTTCAAAAACTACCTAAATACCTTCCTGATGGCTTCAGATACCTCCCCTAGCCGAAAAACCCTTCAAAAACTACCTACATACCTTCCTGATGGCTTCAGATACCTCCCCTAGCCGAAAAACCCTTCAAAAAACTACCTAAATACCTTCCTGATGGCTTTAGATACCTCCCCTAGCCGAAATCCCCTTCAAAAACTACCTAAATTCCTTCCTGATGGCTTTAGATACCTCCCCTAGCCGAAATCCCCTTCAAAAAACTACCTAAATACCTTCCTGATGGCTTTAGATACCTCCCCTAGCCGAAATCCCCTTCAAAAACTACCTAAATACCTTCCTGATGGCTTTAGATACCTCCCCTAGCCGAAATCCCCTTCAAAAACTACCTAAATACCTTCCTGATGGCTTTAGATACCTCCCCTAGCCGAAATCCCCTTCAAAAACTACCTAAATACCTTCCTGATGGCTTTAGATACCTCCCCTAGCCGAAATCCCCTTCAAAAACTACCTACATACCCCCGTAATTGCTACCGATACCTCCCCTAGCCGAAAAATCCTTCAAAAACTACCTACATACCTTCCTGATGGCTTTAGATACTTCCCCTAGCCGAAATCCCCTTCAAAAACTACCTACATACCTTCCTGATGGCTTTAGATACCTCCCCTAGCCGAAATCCCCTTCAAAAACTACCTACATACCTTCCTGATGGCTTCAGATACCTCCCCTAGCCGAAAAACCCTTCAAAAACTACCTAAATACCTTCCTGATGGCTTCAGATACCTCCCCTAGCCGAAAAACCCTTCAAAAACTACCTAAATACCTTCCTGATGGCTTCAGATACCTCCCCTAGCCGAAAAACCCTTCAAAAACTACCTAAATACCTTCCTGATGGCTTCAGATACCTCCCCTAGCCGAAAAACCCTTCAAAAAACTACCTACATACCTTCCTGATGGCTTCAGATACCTCCCCTAGCCGAAAAACCCTTCAAAAACTACCTACATACCTTCCTGATGGCTTCAGATACCTCCCCTAGCCGAAAAACCCTTCAAAAACTACCTAAATACCTTCCTGATGGCTTCAGATACCTCCCTAGCCGAAAAACCCTTCAAAAACTACCTACATACCTTCCTGATGGCTTCAGATACCTCCCTAGCCGAAAAACCCCTCAAAAACTACCTACATACCTTCCTGATGGCTTCAGATACCTCCCCTAGCCGAAAAACCCTTCAAAAACTACCTAAATACCTTCCTGATGGCTTCAGATACCTCCCCTAGCCGAAAAACCCTTCAAAAACTACCTAAATACCTTCCTGATGGCTTCAGATACCTCCCCTAGCCGAAAAACCCTTCAAAAACTACCTAAATACCTTCCTGATGGCTTCAGATACCTCCCCTAGCCGAAATCCCCTTCAAAAACTACCTAAATACCTTCCTGATGGCTTTAGATACCTCCCCTAGCCGAAATCCCCTTCAAAAACTACCTACATACCCCCGCTAATTGCTACCGATACCTCCCCTAGCCGAAAAATCCTTCAAAAACTACCTACATACCTTCCTGATGGCTTCAGATACCCCCCATGGCTGAAATCCCCTTCAAAAACTACCTAAATAACTTCCTGATGGCTTCAGATACCTCCCCTAGCCGAAATCCCGTTAAAAAAACGAAAATAACGACCGACCGGATGGAATGAGAGAAAAAAGAAATGAAATTCCCCGTGAAAATTTTCATCCACGAAACGCGCGTGACCTGGCTCACTATGCGAAAATCGGGCAACCTCCGTCCCCCCACCCCTTTTACTAAGGAAAAAACTTTCAAAGTTAATTTTAATAATTTAAATTAAAACTTTTTCATAATTTTTTTATCAGTTTGGGGGTTTCTGACCATGCTCTATCCGAATCCGAAGAGACCTAAGCTCTAGCTCCTTTCCCCTTCGAGTTGAATCTGGGACATGACGCACAGACAGACAGACGGACAGACACCACAGCAAAATTATTATAGTTGATAGCCGAAAAACCCTTCAAAAACTACCTACATACCTTCCTGATGGCTTCAGATACCTCCCCTAGCCGAAAAACCCTTCAAAAACTACCTACATACCTTCCTGATGGCTTCAGATACCTCCCCTAGCCGAAAAACCCTTCAAAAACTACCTAAATACCTTCCTGATGGCTTCAGATACCTCCCCTAGCCGAAAAACCCTTCAAAAACTACCTAAATACCTTCCTGATGGCTTCAGATACCTCCCTAGCCGAAAAACCCTTCAAAAACTACCTAAATACCTTCCTGATGGCTTCAGATACCTCCCCTAGCCGAAATCCCCTTCAAAAACTACCTAAATACCTTCCTGATGGCTTTAGATACCTCCCTAGCCGAAATCCCCTTCAAAAACTACCTACATACCCCCGCTAATTGCTACCGATACCTCCCCTAGCCGAAAAATCCTTCAAAAACTACCTACATACCTTCCTGATGGCTTCAGATACCCCCCATGGCTGAAATCCCCTTCAAAAACTACCTAAATAACTTCCTGATGGCTTCAGATACCTCCCCTAGCCGAAATCCCGTTAAAAAAAACGAAAATAACGACCGACCGGATGGAATGAGAGAAAAAAGAAATGAAATTCCCCGTGAAAATTTTCATCCACGAAACGCGCGTGACCTGGCTCACTATGCGAAAATCGGGCAACCTCCGTCCCCCCACCCCTTTTACTAAGGAAAAAACTTTCAAAGTTAATTTTAATAATTTAAATTAAAACTTTTTCATAATTTTTTTATCAGTTTGGGGGTTTCTGACCATGCTCTATCCGAATCCGAAGAGACCTAAGCTCTAGCTCCTTTCCCCTTCGAGTTGAATCTGGGACATGACGCACAGACAGACAGACGGACAGACACCACAGCAAAATTATTATAGTTGATGTCGAAATATGCCGCTTACCGTCGTTTAAATAAAAAAAATACCTAAACAATTGCGCCATTGATTCGTCGTGATAAATTCGGCGCACAGCTTCAGCGAGCATCAAGGAGATGTCGACCGTTTTGATCTTGTGGCATCGCATTTTCTGCAGCTCATGGGGCACGGTATTTGTGACGATGACCTTAAAAACTAACTTAGAAAAATTACTATAATAATATCACCTCGGTAATCGGCGAGTTTTCAATCAAATCCGGGGATTCCATGGAGAGCAAACCGTGAGTGGCAACGACGTAGATCTGCAGAAAGTAGATAATTATCTTCTATTAATGTCTAAACACCTTGTAAGCGCCTCGTTCTTTTAATACCCTGGCTGCCGAGACGAATGACTGGGCATCATCGATGATATCATCCTAATTTATGAAAATAATCGCATATCTTAAATGATAATTTACCACCATAATCGCAATCCTTCCTCCAACATCCCCAACAACCGTCAACGGCGGCTTTTCTTTCGTCATTTGTGCTAAAATGTACAATCTTGTACCCAGATCCCTTCAAAGTGTTGCACACGCCTTCAAATACAATACTATTCACTCGCTCGCGCGCTTCTCTGCCGCTATCAGGACACGGAAGTAGCGATACAAAGCGGTTTGGGCGGGTTAGGGATAGTCAAAAACAACATGCATCAGCTAGCCTTCAAACATAAAAAAACGCTGTTAGCCGCAATGAAATTCGGTGGAGGGAATCTCTACAAGCACTTACTTGGAAAGAGTTCATATTGGACGCGGCGACCTAGGGATATCTCGGTTTTTTGTGGTTAATAAGAAAAGCTAGGTTAGTTTGTTCCCGGGTGGGTTGATTGGTTAGAATAGAGTAGAGGATAGAAGTCGGGGTATCCTAATTCTAGTATGCTAATCTTCTAAAATTACATGGAAACAGCTCAAAGCTGGCCGCATAGTTGGGAGGCGGGGATTGCCGGCCATCTTCTTGCCCGGATTCTTCTTCGTCTTTCTGTTCACCATGAATTACCGCCACTCCTAAAATAGATCTCATATTTCGCTTTACAACATCAAACAGAAATAGGAGTGTGTTTAAGATTTCGAAAGAGGTGCTTCACCAGTACATAGTTTGGAGAAGCTTTTCATTTTTTGGGCTGGACTTTACTTTGATAAGCCGGTGGTTCCCAAATTTTTCGAGATTTTCGCTATTTTCTCGGGTTTTTGGCTACGCATTTCAATAAAGCATCAAAAAATATACTAAGATTTTTAATTACAGTTCAAAATATAATACAAAAAGTCATAGCAAAAAACTATGGGGACTTTCGATTAGGGGGAGGCAAAAAAAGTAAAATCCAGCTTTTTTGGGATTAGACGAGCAGAAAGTTGCTGGCAATTACACGACGAGTGCATGGTAGTGCCATTTAGGTGGATATGAATTTTACCCCCTGAGCAACTGTACCATTTAGGCCTGGAAAACTCGGGTTATGCCCTGCAAAAATGTACCCAGACGGAGGCGTTCGGCATAGGAGGTGGCCTTGTTCATGACGCCTGGAGATTTGGCGACGATGACGGCGTTGCGCAGGTCGGAGACCTAACAAAAGATAAGTTTTTAGAATGTAGATTATATTTACATTATCACGGATGTATTGCAGTAAGAAAGGTGAGGCCCGAAGGTTGTCGACCGGGATCGAGAAGAAGCCCTGGATCTCCTTTTTATAGAGGTCAAGGGAAACGAGGCGATCGGCACCTAGAAAAATCATTTGGCATCTAATTTTTCTAGATCAAAATTACCAGCTTTACAAATCAATTCAGCAATCAGCTTCATCGGGATCGAGGAGCGGCGCAGCATTCGGCACTGCTTGCTATAGGGGAGGTACGGCATGACGACTGTGATTTTCTTGGCCATCGAGGTTTTACAGGCATAGATGATGATCAAGAGCTCCATCACGTCGTTGTTGACGTTTCTAAAACAATTATTATAACTTTATTAACAGCATTCTTGCATAACATGCCTAATAATTCCGGGTATACTTACTTGGATGCTGACTGAAGGATAAAAACGTGCTTGCCACGCACTGACTGTCGGATGTCGACAGAGGTTTCTAAATGAATATATAGTTCAGGCTTTTAAGGAATAATATTATTTCATTTGAATCACTTACCCCGATTTGTCTTGTTATACGCCACCACGTCACCCATCCGCACTCCCATCCGGCTAAAAGGGGCTTGTTAATAAATCAGCATATAAATAAATTTTCTCTATGGAACCGAAACCTACTCGCTGACCACCTTGGCCAATTCCGGATGCGAATTCCCTGTGAGCAGCACCATTCCGATGCTCTCATCGACGCGAAACGCCATGCTCGACATGTCGATGAGCTTTTGCTCCCTAGGAATGGACATATATTTTTTAGCAAAAAATTTACTGCCAGCCATGTTGCTTGCCGTTTCCCATATTTTAATAGAGTTCGATAGTGGGGTAATAGATATGGGCTGATGGATGAAGCAGTCGATATGAGGGGGTGAGGAGAGGGCCCGGAGGGGGATTTTAATCAGATCGATCTGAGGCAGTGGGCGGCAGTGAAGCCCGCGGGGAGACTGTATTTGCCTCACAGACCGATCGCCATTTGAATCGGAGGAGGGGAAAAGGGCAGGCCATTAGAAAAACATCGCGGGCAGGGCATGGGGAATTGTGAGGACCCGAGGCTGTGGTTGAGATGACTCACTTGGGAACCTCCAAAAGGGCTTAGATGTTGTTTCAGATCACGGCAGATGCGGTGTTGATGTTTTCAGTCGGTGTTTTGTCGATTTTCTTCTTAAAAATTTTGATACAGTTAATTTTATCGTTCAAAACATCAAAATAAAAGACGCACAATATAGCTAGATATGTCATATAAAGATTTAAACAGAAAAAGTGATGTTTTAGCGTATAATGTTTTATTCGACCGAACGGAAATATTATTAGCTTTCGAAAGCTCATAAAATTCGCATATGAATAAACTTTTTCAAATGTCTACGAATAGGTTGTCTGGCCATAAACTGACGGCTAGGTCGTTCTTTTTCGAGAGCCCCCCTCCTAATCAATATAAGATGCGCCTGATAAAGGGGTCGCGAGTTTGGACTTTAGTATATGACCCCTACTTGGACAGACCTCCGGCCGGAACACAATATTCAAAAACTTTTTGGCCACTTTTGATAACTTGTAGGCTAGCCATAAACAGCGGCGATGTGTTTTGGTCCAAAGCATATAACCAGCGCCTCATCCGCTCGGCCTTCCGCCGGGTGGGTCTTCGTTTCCGGGGAGAAGACGGCTGAAATGGATCCAGATCCGCTGCAGCAATAAAATAAAAGCAGGGTTTTGGAAGCCCGAGTTTTTCACTGTAGTTTGTACCCTATCGGAAAACTAGGAAACGTGATTTGAAGCTTTAAAAAAGCGGTTTTCGGCATTTAACCCCGCCGTGTGTATATTAAAACACCACTCTTTGGTGTTTTGGAACGTAAATCAGTTAGGTATTGGCATGCTTAGAATTTTTCCTCGAAAATACATTTTATATATTTATGCAATTACGAAGCGCACGAATGCGTTTGAATGATTTTATCGGAAAGTATAGAAAACGTACCCGTATTCAAACATAGGATGATCGTGGAGGAAAAAAGAGCTATATATTTTACAATGCAAAAGACAGGTGAACGATATGAGCAGACAACAGGCGAATAAATAGCCTTATCTTAAGCCCTTTCCGGCGAAGACACCTCGTCCTATGCTACCACGGTTGAAGACGCTATTTATCCGTCCGTTTACCGGCGGGGCCACCTCGAATCCGATCTCATTTTCGTCCATGATTTTGCCGACAAGCCGTGCTTGGCCTAGTTGTTTTTGCTGTAAGGAAAGATATACAACGGTTTCGAGGGATTACATACCCAGTCGTCATCTCCACGTTGATGAGCCACGGGCGTAAATCTGGTGTTTAACATGCCTTGTCGTCTCCTGGACCATCGAGGATCGTTATAGGCTTCGAGTACAGACATTCCGAAGCATTCTAAGATAATTAAGTTAAATTTAAAGTAGGATACCTTACCGTTAATCAAGATCAACAGTATCAGCAAGTACAGCTTCAGCATGTTGTATTCTCTAAACATGTCATGCACCGGTATTGCAGTAGTATACAAAAAAGACAATGAGAATGAATACCCCAGCGATCCCCGTTGTAACCCCCTCTTTAAAATAGCCTCCACCATGACTTGATTTCTGAACAAAGTGTAATATCGTCGCCCCTCAATCGCCCCTTCCCTTTTCTACCAACACTGAATGGGCGGAGTCGAGCCAAAGAAGGAAGGATCATAGCTGAAATGGCACTCGCTTTTCAATACCCCTCTAGCGTTCTTTATATGGGCATGTAAGGCCAAAGAGTGTTGCGCGTGGTGTGCCGGAGACAAACATGTCTTCCGCACCATAATCGTCACGAAGAGTTCAAAAGGACAGACTCGTGCTGTGGGTGCCGGAGTATCGTATACCCCGGAGAGATAGACTAGAGGGACTAGAAAGGCAGGATCACAGCAGAACCCATTCATCTCTGGGCGGATCGCCAGGTGGTGGGTGTAAGGACGTGGGAATGTGATTAAGGAAAAAGGAAATGAAATAATAAAATGAAAAAGGGAACAGAGTGGTTTATCCTAGTTTCAGAACTACAACCCGTTTTATGCTAATTTACCCGGGCCTTCCTAATCCCTTACACCGTTTATTAAAGCTTTTTAGACATCTGGAAAAGCTGAGAGACCAGTGGCATCAAAGCAGGGTAAAAAGAATCTAGCTCAATGCGGTGCTAATGCAGTTAGGGGGGGGGGGGCAGTCCAAAATTGGTGGCAAGGCGTAACGAGGCGCTCCGCTTAAGCTATTTGGTTTTCAGCTTAAGCCTAGGCTTAGCATAGCTTATCTTGAGCTTCAAATTGACTTACGAGGTCAAAATGGGTGATTTATCGGTTAACTTAGAACTAAGCTTAGCTTGGCTCAAGCTAACAAGGAGACGTTTTTTAGTGTCCACGGAGTTTCGAAATCGGACCAAGCCTATTTTATGCAGAATTTCGCGCTGACTAAAATCTCGTTTTCAGAATCTGCGAAACGACCAAAATAAGAAAGTTATGACGCTTTAAAGCGCGAAAAACAGCAGAAATTGGCCATTTTGGGCATTTTTCACACTTTAAAGCTTCATAACTTTTGAAATATGATTGTTTCGCAGATTCTGAAAAGTACGTTTTGATCAGCGAAAAATTCTGCATAAAATAGGCTTGGTCCCATTTTAAAACTCCGTGGACACTAAAAAACGTCTCCTTGTAAGCTAAGTTTAGTTCGCTTCGAAGCTTAGCTTTTCCAGAGCCTTCGAGTTTAAAAAAACGGCATTTGGGGCGTCTCGTAGTCAAAATCCAAACTGCCCCCCCCCCCAATAAGTGCATGAGCACCCTCAATGCGTGCGAAAGTTTACTGTATAAACCAAAAATAGCCCTATGACGCCGGCAAACTATCATATCCAAATGTTCATCCGCCCACATGCCCCGACGGCTTTTAAAGGACAAACAAGGTGCGACGCCAACCATATCCCCCCCCACCATCAATCATCCACAACCCTTGTGATCTGGATAGTCGTTGAACGGTCGAAGTCGGTGCATCACGAACGCACCCACCATCAACAGGCCCGACTCGCGGCTCAAAACTGTGTTTATCGCCAGCCTCCGCGCATCAGCGAAGCATTTGCGCGCGGTGAGGCAACAGCTTTGCAGGCAGCCCAATGAGGGATTGATTTATTATAAGGCAAAATGAATGGAGCCCATATGAGGGCGAGATCACAGGGGTTTTTCGAGGGGGTGGCTGAGGGAGGGATAGGGGAAAGTGAATCGGGAGTCACAGTTAGCAATGGGATTGTTTGGTTCGGGTTGGACTTTAGAGAAACCAAAATATTTTTTTTTGTTGCGGGGTTTTAGAGGTTAATTAAAAATTAAGATTTTACAGGTTTAACGGCCGGATCCCAATGTTTATGCATTGAAAAAAAGCATATTAAAGGGATGAGATATAGATCCGATGTAGATCTGGCCTCATGTCAAATTCGCAAAAATAAATAGTTTAGGGTATGCAAAAAGCCGAAAGAGACTCAATCAAAACGGAGCAAATCAGATTTATGATAATTTCACAAGTACACTGATTTTATTCTAATGCAAATAGTCCTTCCTGATCCCCTTAAAGCGACATAAAAATCAAAATTACATACTCATTTCTTTGGCTTCTGAATACAAAATTGAAAATACACTAGCAGACCGACAACCAGTAGAACAATCACAAATAATACAGTTGCTATGACAGTAATTATGCACTTCAGATCACATTCCGGCGGCTTCGTGCCCTGCGCCTCCAAGCTATTTCCGGGCAGGCTACGGTATTCGATGGGACGATCGGCTGGAACAAAAAAAAGTAAAGTCCTGTGTGGGTCCATAGTGAACCCTCTTCATCCCTCGTTAGCACCCGATCAATCACATCAGATTGCTTGCAAAAACCTCGCGGATCCGGGTCAAAAAATCAACGTCTAGTAAACAAACCAAAAATGAGAGGTCGGACTGTTTTGGGTAATTTAAGTATTGTAACAAGTATTTTAGATGATAATGGTCGATGCAACTTACCTGAAAAACGGGCGAGGAGATACGGGAGGCAATCAAGCGCCGTCCCATCTGCAGCTCGACAGTCGTAGCAAGAAGCGGTACCCGCACATTTCGTAAGCCTGAAATTTACTTGTGAGAGCAGCTAAAAAATTCTTTACCATTCAATCGTTTCCCAGCTAGCTGTCTTAAAATGTGCTGCCGTGAAATTTTTGGGATAAAAATCAGCTCCCGGGAAAAATGGGGTAAAGCCTAAAAAAAAATTGAATTTGAATTTAATCTAAGTATACCTAGTACCGAAACAGGCTTCAACGACACTCTTCCATACAAGACAACCGGCACATTCCCGTATTCTAATTGAGAATCGATAGACCGCGATCGGAACTCCATCCCCTCGCTCACCCATAAAACACTTTCGTATTGAGCGAGCGCGTGCTGAATGTTTTTTTGTTATATTTCTTCCTAAAACTTGCCATAATATAAAAAGGGGTAAAAGCTAGGTTATTGATTGGTTGGCTTGATATTAATCCTGGGATGTCGAATGCTTCGAATAATTCAACGTTTCGGACTCCGACCAATTTTCTTGGGAGTGCCGTCTAAAAATTATCATATTTCTTATTGTAAATCCTAGAAATACCTGTGGTGATAGGAAACTGTTGTAAACCAAGATCTGGCGTTCTGGATAATGTTTGTGAATCGATGCTATCGTTATCATTAATTCATTTAGTTGCTCTTCATTTGTAATGAGCATTATTGCGGTATCCTTGATTATTGATTTTCTAAATATATATCTTAAATTAATATTACTTCGCAAAACCTACACTTTATTAATTTTCTCCTTGTTACAGGTAAAGCAGCGGCCGCATAGGTGTTCATCTTTTGGATGAGGGTAGCAGTTCTAAAACGAATCTATAAAATCAATTCCCATCATACCTCAATCCCGGGACAATCGCATTGTCTTCTCTTCCATTTATGTGTAGCCTTCTGGGCTCCAGAACTATAGAAATACAACTAAAACCATAGATTTATAGCTTAAAGTGCGGTCCTTACCAAAATCTGCACAAGGAACAACCCGGAAAGGATAAATAACAGTGTCGTACGAATTTTCAACGCCATTTTATAGCAATGTGGTGAAGGAGTAAAGAAAGAATAGAAAGTTTTAGGGATGGGCTGGGTGGCTAGAGCATATCCTCCGGGCGTTGAAGAAAGGGTGGTGGCTCGTATTGACCACAGCCCTGGTTTCGTCCACTTCTGCCAGGGCCTTTTGGGGCCCCTAGGGCCCCTGCGTCCTCCAGTTTCTCTTGTGTTCTCTCTCTCCCTCTCTCTATCTCTCGCACTTTTTCTCTAGCCCTCTTCCCTTTTGCACCCATGGACTGGTCACTCTTGATGAACCTTTAGCAAATTAGATCGAGGCATGGGATGGTTGGGGGTATTTCTTAACTTTGGCAAAGATTAAACGTCAGAATAACTTTTACATTATATGTTATCTAGTTATCGAATATCTTAGCAATAACGGCTGATACCTACCGTCTTACCTTTATTTTTTCGGCATTATACTTTTTGGAACGGCGGAAATAACGAAATTCGAAGGTGAAATGGACCAGTTTTGGCGATTTGATCGGTTTTTGCCCATTAAAGTCGCCTAAGACTGCCAAAAAAAATGCTTAGACTGAAAACTGTTATTTGCAATGCTTAGCTTTAAATAGATCTAAATAGATAAATAGCATGTCTATAAATAGATAAATGGGGGGCGAATATTAGAGCAAATACAGTATTCAAATTCCCGCTTCTAATGCTTAATACCGGATACGTTGTGGTGGCTCCCCGACATTTGCGCCCCGACACTTGCGCCCACGACACTTGCGCCCCGCAGTTTACTATGCAATCGGGGCGCAAGTGTCGGGGCGCAAGTGTCGCGGTCCGAACAGACGGGGGGCGCAAGTGTCGGGGCGCAAATGGTCGGGGTGCAAATGTCGTGGCATCGTTGTGGTAGCTATTCCGGGTAAATTTATGATTTCACAACCCGCGGCGGTCAGTCAATCATACTTGAACGGGCGAGCCCATTTGTTCAGAGCCGTGCCCAGCCAGGGGGCCCACCCGCACCAGCTGTTCTCCCCCGGGCCCTCCGCACTGACCACTAGCCCCCGTTTTTCCTCAAGCTCCTTTCAAAAAAAAATGCCCTATAGGCTCAGATGTGCAAACAGCCGGAAATAGGAGGCCTCGATTCCATCTGGTACCATTAGCATGCTATTCACGGCACTTATTTTCCGGGGGGTTCTGATTCGTGCCGTGACCACCCACCATTCACCCGTTTCCTGAAGCTTCTCCTCTTTTCCTACCCCGGAAAAGCCACCCATATCTATGTCTTTCACAACACACACGCACCCCTAATGTTAGCCGCGTGGAGGAGAATTTGAAATTCGCCACCGCGGCGCGCCCCGCAGAAGCGCCAATCGGGGGGCGGATGAGTCAGCGGGCGATGGTGAGGGCACCCGCTCAATGCAAAGTGCCATCCGTCCCGTCACCCCCTTTGCTCCGAAAACGCAACGGCTAGTCGTTTTGTGACTTTTCACCCGCCGACACGCGCGGCCGATACTGTTTTGCTCGTCTCACTCTGGGGGGTGGTGTTCGCATTTGGACGCACGATTTGCATATCAGTCATGGGGGAAGGGTTCATCGATGGTTTCAAGTTCAATGTACAAAAGTTAATTTAGGGCCGGTTAGACCTTAAGTTTTCAAAGCGTTTAACTTACTGGTAACGAACACCTTTCTCGTATAGTAGGTGTCACGAATGATGTGCCACTTTTAGTGGTTTGGGGGCATGTCGAATTCGAATGATGGCATTTTAAAGGCACCACTTTAAAGGTCTTCAAAATTTTGTTAAAGGAGCGGGTTTCGTTGCGTTAGAATGTCATTTTCTTGAACCTAAGGGTTTCCGGTAAAACCAGCTTTTTCAACACGAGAATCCTAAATTAACATGCAAATGTCACACTAGTCTGTTTTTCATGGTTTCCGGTCATTAACAACTAAAATAAAACAATTGATCTAGGCATCGAAAACCGCTTGTTTCCGGCGCTTTCGAGAGTCTCTTCCTTAAAGGATCAGGAAGGCCCGGGAAAAAACGTGTTTTAGTTCTAAAATTAGCATAAATCTTCTCTGCTCCCTCCTGCCTTGCCCCACTCATACCCATTTTCTTGCTTTCGCATTTTCGGTTGGCTCGTTGCCAATTATAGATGAACCTTGAGCTGATCCCTTTAAATTTGGAGATCCGGATTGCGGATGACTTTCATGCGGAAATCCTTAAATCACGAAGGAAACAGCTAAACTTGCGCCTTTTTTAGAACCCCCTGTACATCTTTTACCATCACCTTACTTGTCCCCAACAACATTCCCTAAATTCTATCCGGCCCATCCAGCTTGATCGAAGGGGGGCGGGGGGTCAGGAATGGAAGTCTTCGGCGTCCCCCCCTGAAGGGGAATGGGAAGGCCTTGCGGAGTCCTGAGGCTGTTTCAGTCCCGGTCTTTTGTGCGTCCCTCGGGTAGGACGGTGTTTGCGCGTCTTCGTGTGGGCCCCGCACGCCTCCATCCCTACAACAACACGAACCCCCATAGGGCCCTCCTATCGCTTTTTCGCGCACCCTCAAGCCCCCCCACAGGCCCGCCCGCCACAATGCCTTGTCACCTAGCCAAGTCGAATGTATTTTGGTTTTTTCATAGGTTTTACCAGTTTTTGGACCGGAGGCTTTACCTGGTTCGTTTTTAATTTCGGCTTTCAGTCCTGAACGGAGATTATTTCTATTCGGCGCTGGTTACAGTGATTACAGCATTAGTATTATGTGTAGATCGCTACAAGTCCATCTTATTCTGAGGTATTTTTCCTACTAATTGTCGCAAAAAGCACCTTCTCTACCGATCCGGAAGAAACTTGTTTTATTATGTTGTATTCGGATATATCAAGCCTCGCCAAAAGGCTGAAAACCTACCTTTGATGTTCTATAATCATATTATAATTTTCCCAGTTTTCCAAGAGTTTTCCTCCCGTTTCGTTGGCTTTTGATAGATACCCGAACCGCCAAAGTCGGGCACTATATCAAACCGCTAGCGCAGTGTGTTTTTTGAGTATTCTTTCCATCCTTTTGGCTGACCATAACCGAGAGTTTGCGGCTATTAACTTCTCCGCAACAATTCTACCCCACGAACATTCACTTCACCATGGTGTCCGCCTCCCCAAGGTCGACCTCCCTTCTAAGGGGTGTCCTTTGGTGCGATGAACGGGAAGACGGTGATGCCTATGCTACCTGCATCGATGAGGTGTTCGAGTCATCTCGCAATCCTTTGCATGGTTTGGTTGAAGGAAGAGGGGTGAGAGGGTAGATAGGACGAGAGAGGGTTGGTGGGATAGATCGAAGAGGCTATCGGCCCTCCTATCGCGGGGCGATAATGGATGAGCCCTGCGGGGTTTTCGAATGGGACTCTGGTCGTCGGATCGATCGATGGCTGCGTTGAGCAGTGCTGAATGTCCTGTGCTGCACCCTGTGACCCCTTCCTCTTCCCCAAAAGGACCTCAACCCCACTACCCACAGCTGTTCAACGTCTCTCCCCTACTTACTCCAGTTTTTTTCGCTAGCCGCTCCTCCGCGCTTCCACGTAGCAGCAGTATATTTTCAGCATTCAACATTTCCCGAATCCACCGCTATTTATTAATTATAAAGCCACGAAACCGGGTCATCTATACAATTTTGCTATTTGTCAGCATTGCCGCTCCCGCTCTTTTTTGAGCGAGCGTTATTTTCCAAACGACAAAAAGCTTCCTTTCTCTTTATTGAGGGCTGGAAGCTGCTATATAATCTTAATGATTCACATTTTTGTTTTTCAAGCTAAATTTAAATTAGATGCTAATTAGCAATTATTCTTGGCGGGGCTAAATTAACCGCAATATTTGCTATATAAAATTTTTAACCCTTCAAATGTCGGTATTTTCTCTAGTAATTGCCGTCTAATCCAATCATTACACATTTTGTTGACCCTCAAAACACCCAGCCCGGTCAGCCCGGCAATTAGCCCCCCAGAAACACCATTCCGATACCGACAGTTCCCCCTCCTCAAACCCAATAACACTAATGGGTTCATTGGGAGCAAATAATAGCTAACCTTATTCCCTCTCAATAACCCCATTACTTTTTCCTACTTTCTCTATGTCCTATCGGTCGGTCATTGACTGACTTGGCGGCTGTCAGCCAGGGTCGATTTGAATTGGCGCGCCGATCGGCAGTCTTGCAAAAAAGGGAACTCTGCCGCTCGGCGCGACCCGCTTTTTGATGCGCTCATTCCCACGATTTCTCCTCAATTGCGTCCCCATCACCCATTGCACTAATGAGAGGCTAAGTCTGAGTCGACACTTTTGAGCTTGTTCTTCGAGACATTTACCCCTGACCCTGAGTCACTGATCCGTGGCGTGGCGGGCGGTGCCCTCCCTATAATTAAGCGATGGCTCTAGATTACAGCTCGTATGAGTCGCCGTTTTGGGAGGTTTGGGGGAAAAGATAGTCGATGATAAGGAAAACGGCCTCTACATCGAAATAGGTGGGGTGGGTCCAAGAAGTGACCAGGACCAGATTAAATTGCATTAATTTTGTATTTACTTAAGCAAATAGTATATTTCTTATCAACCAAGAACGCTTCTAGTTTTTAATTGTTTATAGTTGTTTATTTTATCATTTTTAATCCGGTGCAGATTTTACTCAAGATGCATCTTAAGCCTGTTACCTAATGGAATTTTTGTATAGAAATCCCAAAAGGATTGTTATCAAAAACTTACATTCAAGCTCACATTTTTTCAATACTCTATCGAATGAGGTATGTTATAGCTGATAACAATTTTCCACCTACGCCAAAATTACTTCCCTTGTAAGATAAACGCTAATTTTCTGTACCCCTTGATTAATCCACATACCTTTACTGCAAAAACTATCTGATTTCCTACTCCTAAAAACTCCTGCTCCTTCTTTCCCCCATCCTCTGCTACCATTTCCCATTCCAGCGCACCCCAGATTGCCCTCCGCCCTTCGCGCCAAATGGGATCTCCAACCCCCCAAATTTTTTTTGAACAGACCGCA